TTATACAGGGTGTAACAGTCAAATAGCCGGTTTTGAATCGCTAATAACTTTTTCGTCCTTTGCTCGAATTTAAAATTTTTTTCAAATCCATATAGTCCATTAGTCAAAGTTTTGTTTTTGGTAACTTTCAAAGAAAAGAAATGAACCTACAGGGCGCAACAAAGGCTCAAAGTCAAAAAAGCTTATTTTTAATGAAAGTTTTGTATATCGACTACGAGTCATAACTCGTGAGTGGAAGGACGCAGAAAATTTTATAAAATATCATCAGAATCAGAAATTTTGACTAATTAACTTTATGGATTCGAAAAAAATTTTAAATTCGAGCAAAGGACGAAAAAGTTATTAGCGATTTAAAACCGGCTATTTGACTGTTACGCCCTGTATATGGTATAGATATAGATTAAAATAAGCAAGTCTTTTTCAGTTAGAGAATCATTTGAATGATTTTGAATAATTTGAAAGCTCAATTTTTGACATATAATATAATAGCTTTTGATATGCAAAACTTATGAAAATTAAATATTTTTTGAGCCTATTTTTGCGCTTAAATACAGATCTAACTTAATCTATCTAATCGATCTATCAGTGTATCAAAAATACTTACGTTTACACTCATTAGTTTGACTTCCAATTGCGGGTTGCCATTCAGTATCTTGATAGAAGGGTTCACATTGTCTACAATTAGGCCCCGTGGTGTGATGATCACAAGCACATTTACCATAAACCATTCCATCAATAGGTGTTTGACCTTCTTCAGGGACACATCTACTAGCATGACCATAACAAGAGCAACTACCTCTAACTTTCATATTCATCATGGCATAATAGTATTTCTGTCGAATTTCAGGTCGTGGATCAAGAAGATCGTCACCCAAAGTATGCAATTTCTTGAAATGTATTCTTAAATTGGTCATCTTAAGAAGTTCTTGGACCTCATCTGAATATGGATCAGCAATAGGAATATTAGGTGGAAGCACTTTGAAGATAACTTCCCCATGATAAGAGGGAGTAACTGCTGAGTATTGAGATTCACAAACAACTTCTCGCAAATTTCTCCTTTGACCTTCCCTAACAAAACCAAATTCCCGTGCACAGTCAACAGCAAAATACTGGTAAGGTTTCCATGTTTTTCCGTTATCAGATGACCTTTCAATCACCATAGCTGCAGGACGAAAGGTTTGAAATGTCATAATGATATGAGTTAGGTGAAATTCAGCTCCTAAATCAAGTTGTATTGTGACATTTTCAACACCATTTTCAGCCTGCCACCAAAATTTTCTGTAGTCTTCGCCAGCCTTTGTAACAATATTTTCAATCCTATGGTACTTTAATGGATTCTTGCGAATCCTTGCAGACTCACGAGAATCACATGTATGACACTTTTTTCTTTTTATGGTATCACCGAGAATACAATATTTTTCAGGAAACACAAGTCCACATGTAGATGATGCACTTAGGTTAGCTTCACGTCCAATCAATAAATCCCCGGTTGGAGGCGAACAACTGTTCCTGTCGCATGATGTAGAACCTAACAAAAGAAATAAAACAAAGAGAAATTTAGTTTGAAGTAAAAGACAAAAAAAAAATATGCAGGGAAGTCATATAAAAAAATGAAAATATGACCATCATAATACATTTCACAAAATTGAAAACATTGAATCAGAAAATCAAGTCGTATCCATCATTTGTTATGAAAAATCTAGAAATCTTAATTCTGACCATAGAGACAAGTAACTGTAACTTTATAGACTCTTATAGATTTGAATGACTCAGGTTAGCAAACGATCCTGTGAAACAATTCAAAGTTGTGTTTGAATGAGTAAGAGTTGACAAATGACCAATAGATCGTTCTTTGATACATTTTAACGCAGAGATGATCCATTAAATTAAATTATGAAATTTTTTAAACTTACCTTGTTCAATAAAATTTGCACGATAACTTGCTGCATCTTCTTGGGTGAAAATGAACGGTATAAGGAAGAGACCAGTCAAAAGGGTAAAAAACAATGATTGCTTGATCGACATTTTTGGTGATACTATCTGTCCACCAGTTGATCAGCTCATTTAAAATATAAAATTCAAATTAAACCAATTATACCAGAAAATAACTATTAATTTAAATATACAAATGCTGTTAAATAATGTGCTCAGACTGAACACATAGACACCACAGATAAAGTTGGGCTGTGCATTTAACATTAACAAGGTTCAAGCTAAAAACAGAAAAACAAACTCATAAACGAATTTTAAGCTAAAAGCTTTCTTCCTTTAACTTTTTCTCAGTCATCCTAATCATCATTTTCTTCTTTCTCTTCTTCTTTTTCTTCTTTTTCTCCTTTTCTCTTTACACTCTGACAGAAAGGGAGGTAAAGAAAGTATTTTTGAGAAAAGGAAGGAAGCTAGAAAGTAAATCTCTCTGTCGACTTATTTCACTCTTTCTTTAGTACAACTGTAAGAGACGAAAATATTTTGTCTCATTTTATCTTCCTTTTCGTCTTTCATCTCGTCATGTACATTCAATTACCACATTAAATGAGCTGAACTTTCTGAGCTACTCTGTAGCCATCTTATTTCCAATATTCATCGTTAATATATCCTTTCATTTAGTTAGTCCAAGAGACTGAAAAATCTGTCTCAACACTCATCTTCCATTTACGCTAATATCTTTCTCTCCTTTTCTCTCTTTTTCTGTTATCGGCTTTTTCATCTTCTTTCTTCTGTTTGCTTACATTTCTTGCTTTTCTCTGGCTTATTCAAGTCAGAAAACAAAACATTCTTTGAAATCTTCTGCTTCTTTGTCCAGGCTTTAGCTCGTAGTTCCTTATGAGTTACAACCTAAGGTTAACTTCTGAATCAAATCGTTTGGCTTTTCTAATTTTGAATCCTTGCGATTTCCCAAATTTATTTTGAAACTTAATGATCTATCTGGTTGCTAACTGTTGATCCTGTGTTAAATCTGAATTTAATCAAAATGTACCATTTCTAACTCTGAAAACAAGCATAGATAGTCAGATTAAAGAAGATTTAGCTTTCATTTTAATGTACTTTCTCTTGTTTTGAGCTTGGTCTATCACTTTCTCGATTAGCTTTTTTCAGCTCTATTCGTTAAATATCAATAATATTGGGGAAAATGAGTTAAGCAAAAAGCTAAAAATAAACCGATAAAATTTGTAAAGTTCATTAAATAAAATGGATGATTCCAAGGTCTGGAGATAAATTATATTGCTCTTCTGTGACTGTTTCTATGTAAACTGGAAACACGTTATCAGTTACAAAGTTTAGCATCTCCAGTTTACTCATCAACCAAAAATTAAACTAAAATGTTAATAAGCCATCTTGAGCTTCTTCAGACTATCTTGTTATAACAGTTTCTTTCTATTTATGGATTGCCGAGAGAGGAAGAGGAAGATGAGGATAATGAGAGGATGAGAATCAACATTTCTCATCTCATCGTCATCCTCAAGAAGCAAAAGCTTTTTTTTGGTTTGTACATAGATAAACAGTTCACTAAATGTATATCTGTCTATGTAATGAAAATGGAAGAGAAACCAAGATGTGTGGATTTAGTTGAAAGAAATGATAAAGTAGTTCCGAAAATTGTTTAAAACGAAAGCAGAATTACATCTAGAATTTATTAAACATAATAAAAAAAATGCAAATCGTTACAAGGTATGGAGTGTTCTTGAAAGATTAGTCATAGGATGAAAGAAACAGAAAAATTTCTGTTAAGTTATTACTAAAGAAGTTGAATCCATTTAAACTCCAGAGTTTTCTTGGTTTGTTGGCCCTTGATTTGCCCACTCTTTATATCTTTTCATCTGAACATCATCGAGGATTCCCGGGATCATCTGCGGGCAGTAGTTGATGTGGCTGTGCATCAAGTGCGGTTCAATTCGATGTTTGGCATTGAAAGGGCAAATTATCAAATTGGAATTAGAGTAAACTTTAGCACATTTCACGATATGAGCAGCAAATCTTTTGGAGGAAACAATATGGCTTCGATTGTATGGGCAGACTTGATCAGGGTCAGAAGAATACGGATCAACGTATGACATGATGAAATATTTAAATAAACGCCAATTTAAACACAATTGAGAATCAATGGCAATGGAGAAGAAAACTGGACAATATAACAAGATAATTGCTGCTATTTATCGGTGTTAAAGTTTTGGATAAGAAATATTTAGCTTAAGTACTGCCATCTGTGGTATGTTATACTTTTCACAAGAGAAACAAATTTTGATTGCCGGACATTTGAATTGCCTTTCCACTATCATTTGATACTCGGCGTATCGAAGTAATCAGTGAAAGCTTCACTTTAGTTGTCTAATGCAGCAATAAAGGCCTTCAGTTCATTTCAAGTTCTGTTAGGCACAGAAAACAATAATAGCTATTTCATCGTATTTTTACAAAATGCATAAAATTTACAAATCAAATGGATTCCACAATCAGAGCCATTTCTTCGTTGATTACAAGGTACTTCATAGGGAACAATTTCACGGCCAGGTATTAAAATTCGTGAAAGTATAGTTCAACACATTTTCCTCATAGGAGGTCATGTTTTTATGGTTTTAAACAGGTTTTTAAAAACCTGTTGCACGTTCAGGACTTTAGTAAAGACGGCAGATGAAATTTTCAATTTGACCGTTACAAAGGATAGGAACAAACAATCGTAAAGAAACGATTCGTGATAAGAAATCAGCCAAAAAATCGTTGAAAGGTTGAAAAATTTCATAGATTATTCGGTAAACCTGTTAAAGATAATTCAACAGGCATGAATGATGAGAACCCGATATTAATTTAAATTTGATTTTAACTATCGCGACATCTATTGATTAAAATTATTAATAATTTTGTTTGGGCGCATGACATTGAATTGAAAATGAATTGAATAATATAAACAACGATTTATTTGAAGTTTATCTAAAAATCTATCAATCCATTCATATTTTCAACTGAACCTGAATCAATTAATTCATTTTACACTTTTTTATTATATTTTTAACCTATCTAATCTAGTTAAAATAACTTTTTGCATTTGTGTTCCAGTTTGAAAATCATTAAAACTCCCGCTTTGTTTCATTATGCAGCTCCACCTAAACTAAAATTGGCTCTCTTTTTTGCCAATGTAGGTTTTTGTCCTATTATTTATTTTCAAAGCGTTAGTCTTTGTCATCGTCTTCGTGTTAAAGTTTTTTCTTATTCTTGGAATGGCTAATCATTGCGAATCCCCTTACCTAGCATCCATCGAGAATCGAAGGATTGCTAAACCAGTACTATCCTTTTCTCGACGTCTTTTAATAAAAGATGAAAATGAAGTTAACACCAATGTTATTCGTCGTGTATCGCTTAAAAGATCTGACACATCGGCCATGTCTCCCTCCGTTCTTGGCTTGGCTAATAAAAAATGTCGAATGACCCCTGTGCGACAGTGTGCCATCAATAAGAATGTAGTTAACATTCCATCTTCAATTCCAGTTGCTCAACCTAAAACGGAAAATGTTGAAAAATCACCCACCAAACTAAAAGAAAGTGAAGCCAAAATTATGAAAGCTGTCCAAATCTCAGAACAAGATCCAGATTTAATTGGAGATTTTAGTCAACAATATGCTTTACCTGTTTGTCTTGGAAAACATAGTGATCTCAAAACAATTACCCCCGAAACCCTTGCCGCTCTCTTACGTGGACAGTACAAAAACATTATCGACAACCACACCATTATAGACGGAAGATATCCATATGAATTTAAAGGTGGTCATATCATTGGAGCCAAAAATATTTACAATAAAAGTATGCTGCTAAGTGAACTTTTGGATAATCAACAAGAGAACATTGATGCAAACAAAGATGGTAAAAGAAATCGTCATATTTTGATTTTCCATTGTGAATTTTCATCAGAACGTGGTCCTAGTTTATTAAGATTTTTGAGAAACAAAGACCGAGAGTATAATCTTTCTCGTTACCCTTGCCTTTTTCATCCTGAAATTTACATATTGGACGGCGGTTACAAAGCCTTTTACGAAAAATTTAAGGAACTTTGTGTACCACAAAACTATTTACCTATGCTTTCTAAAGAGCACAAAGAAGAAATGAGACAGTTTCGCAACAAAAATAAAAGCTCTAATGCTTAGCTAGCCAGAATTTTTTTTGCTTTAACATATTGAAATTTTCTACCTTATGTTTTATCTGTATCTCGTGGAAAACACAGTGATCTGAATATCTTCTTGCTCTTCTGGTCTTGGTCAATTTTAAAAAATAATCATCAACCACACCATCATAGACGGAAGATATCCATTTGAAATTTAAAGGTGGTCATATTGAAGTAAAAAATATCTACTTGAAGGTATCATTACTTTGTCGTTTGTTTCGATAATCAACAAGAGAACAAAGATGGCAAAAATATCGTCATATACTGGAGTTCAATTGTGAATTTTCATCAGAACGTGGTCCTAGTTTATCAAGAATTTTGTGAAACAAAGATTGAGATCGCAATATTTATCGTTAACCTATTCTTTTCCCACCCTGATAAATGAATAGCGATTGCTAAGTTTTTAAAGAAGTTTGATTAACTTTGTACACCACAATATTATGTGGTACCTATGCCTTTTAAATGTAACAAAATCAAATGAAAATGTTGTGCATCAAAATGGTAAAAAAGACTGATCAATATTTTTGGTGATGCTATATGTCAACCAGTTGCTCATGTAAAATATAAATTCAAATTAAACGATTTAGCCATAAAATAACTATTAATTTAAATATGCAAATACTTTTAAATCATGTGTTCAGACTGGACACATACTAACAAAGAAACAGTTGTAAGCACAAATTAATATTGAAATGGTCAACGACACAAATTCTAACTCCTAAACGAATCCTGATTGATAAGCTTTTTTCCTCTAACTGATCTCACATGAGCTTTTGTCAGTTATCTTAATGATCGCCATCGGACTCTTCCCTCTCTTTCTCTTTCTCTTTCTTCTTCTTTGCCTCCTTTTCTCTCTGCATTCTTACAGAAAGGAAGGGAAAGAATGTATTTTTGAGAAAAATAAAAAGCAGGGAAACTAAAAAGTAAATCTAGTTTCGCTCTTGTTCAACAGCAAGAAAGTATTTTGTCTCATTTTATCTCAGCATTCGCTATTTTCATTCAATTACCATCTCAGTTGAACTGAAATTTCTGAATTTTATCTACTCTACAGTCATCTTTATACAATATTGATCGTCAATATATCCTTTCATTTAGTTGTCCTGGAAAAATTGATTTAAACATCATATCTTTCACTTACGCTCATTTCTTTCTCTTCTCTTTCATTGCTTTTTTCATCTTCTTTCTTTCTTCTGCTTACTTACATTCTGTTTGCTTTTCTTTGGCTCTTTATTCAAGACAGAAAAAAATATCCTTTGAAATCTTCTGCTTCTTTGTTCAGGTTTTACCTCGCAATTCCTTTAACCTAAGGTTAACTTCTGACAAATGTGAGTCAAATCGTTTGGCTTTTCTAGTTTAGAATCCCTTAACGATTTTCCCAAATTTATTTGGAAATCAAATGGTCCTATCTAAAGGGTGTTACACTTAACAGCTTGCAAATTTTGAAGATGCGAAAAAATTGAAAAATTTGTTGATATTGATGAAGATGAACACAGATAATGAAACGCCAGAGACAGGAAACCAAAACCAATGGGTCATTGGTCATCAATATCAACAAATTTTATGATAAAGGTAAGCTCAATTTTTTCTCATCTTCAAAATTTGCAGGCTGTTAAGTTTTACACCCATTAGTTGCTAACAGTTAATCTTAAGTTGACTCCGAATTCAATCACAATGTATCATTTTTAATTCGGAAAACAAGCATAGATAGACAGATTAACCAAGATGAACTTGGTCTAACATTTTCTCGGTTAGCTTTTTTCAGCTTCAATTCGATTAGTATCAATAATATTTGGAAAAATGAGTAAAGTCAAGATTTAAAAATAAACCGATAAAATTCATTAATTAAATGAGCAGTAAATGCAAATAAACAAAATAATGCTTAATTTTATTGACCATGATTTAATTATCTTTGAGTTTCATTTGATAGTCCAAGTATCGAAGTAATCGTTGAAAGTTTTACCTTCGTTGTCTAATTTTACTAATCAAAGTCTTTAGTTCATTTCTTGTTTTGTTTATAACATCAATGGAAACAATCTCTGACACAGGCCTTTCATCACCAAGAAAATATTTTTTACAAACTGCATCGGCATTACAAATCAAATGGATTCCACAGTCAGAATTATTTCTTTGCTGAGTACAGGCAACTTCACAAAAATCAAGTTCAATATCGCTGGCACGATCAGGTATTAAAATTGGTGAAAGTACATGAAAAATAGCTTGTGCATGAAGATGATTAACACTTCCTGCAAAAGAATCATAATGTTCAAAGGTGCCATTTTCAGTTGTAAAAGTTGCTAATGTCCAATGAGTTCCACTGGTGGTAATTGCATCGGTTGGTGAATCATTGATAGGAATAAGAATAAGTTGTTTCTTTGATAAATTCATTGATTCCAAAACAGATGAAACATCGGAAACTTGAGACGGAATTTCAGCAGCAGATTTAATAAACTGAGCGACATCAGGGGGAATAAATTTGATAAAAGGCTCATAATCAGAGTAAACTTCGTGTTCCAGATATTCAAACCAGAAACTGATAATGTTATCATTAACCCATTTTCCCGGTTCTAGAGTACCAACATCAGTTTGTCTCAGCAAGGTGTCATGATAGCTTAAAACATTTTCCCCATAGGAGGCCATGTTGTTATAATTTTAAACAAGTTTATGCAAACCTGTTGCGTGTTTTGGACTGAAGTAAAGACAGAAGATGAAATTTTGAATTCGCAGGGTTATTCAAAGGATAGCAACAAACAATCACAAAGAAATGATACAAGATAAATGGATTAAAGGTTGATAAAAGGATTATGAGGAATTTGCAAAATAATCATAAACACTGCGAAAGGCCATTAATCATTCGGTGAATCGTTTGCATATGCTTCGAACAAATATGAAACAAAAGATATTCATGATAAAAACAGATTGTCATTAGATTCCAATGTTGGAATTTATTTTGCAAAAAATTTGATTTAACTATAGCGTCATCTATTGATTAAAATTATTTTTAATTTTTAGGGGGCATATTTGCGCATGACATTGAATTGAAAATGAATTGAATAATATAAACAACGATTTATTTGAAGTTTATCTAAAAATCTATCAATCCATTCATATTTTCAACTGAACCTGAATCAATTAATTCATTTTACACTTTTTTATTATATTTTTAACCTATCTAATCTAGTTAAAATAACTTTTTGCATTTGTGTTCCAGTTTGAAAATCATTAAAACTCCCGCTTTGTTTCATTATGCAGCTCCACCTAAACTAAAATTGGCTCTCTTTTTTGCCAATGTAGGTTTTTGTCCTATTATTTATTTTCAAAGCGTTAGTCTTTGTCATCGTCTTCGTGTTAAAGTTTTTTCTTATTCTTGGAATGGCTAATCATTGCGAATCCCCTTACCTAGCATCCATCGAGAATCGAAGGATTGCTAAACCAGTACTATCCTTTTCTCGACGTCTTTTAATAAAAGATGAAAATGAAGTTAACACCAATGTTATTCGTCGTGTATCGCTTAAAAGATCTGACACATCGGCCATGTCTCCCTCCGTTCTTGGCTTGGCTAATAAAAAATGTCGAATGACCCCTGTGCGACAGTGTGCCATCAATAAGAATGTAGTTAACATTCCATCTTCAATTCCAGTTGCTCAACCTAAAACGGAAAATGTTGAAAAATCACCCACCAAACTAAAAGAAAGTGAAGCCAAAATTATGAAAGCTGTCCAAATCTCAGAACAAGATCCAGATTTAATTGGAGATTTTAGTCAACAATATGCTTTACCTGTTTGTCTTGGAAAACATAGTGATCTCAAAACAATTACCCCCGAAACCCTTGCCGCTCTCTTACGTGGACAGTACAAAAACATTATCGACAACCACACCATTATAGACGGAAGATATCCATATGAATTTAAAGGTGGTCATATCATTGGAGCCAAAAATATTTACAATAAAAGTATGCTGCTAAGTGAACTTTTGGATAATCAACAAGAGAACATTGATGCAAACAAAGATGGTAAAAGAAATCGTCATATTTTGATTTTCCATTGTGAATTTTCATCAGAACGTGGTCCTAGTTTATTAAGATTTTTGAGAAACAAAGACCGAGAGTATAATCTTTCTCGTTACCCTTGCCTTTTTCATCCTGAAATTTACATATTGGACGGCGGTTACAAAGCCTTTTACGAAAAATTCAAGGAACTTTGTGTACCACAAAACTATTTACCTATGCTTTCTAAAGATCACAAAGAAGAAATGAGACAGTTTCGCAACAAAAATAAAAGCTCTAAAGCGTAATCAGCTAGCAAAATTTTTTCAACTGTGATGATTTGGTTTTGAAATAAAATATGAATGTTGACTCAATGAATAACCAATTTCAATCAAACGAATATATCACATCTACGTGTTTTTTCAACTGTAAACTGCCAAAATTTGTTAAGCCTTTGCCATCATTCAGGTTTTTTTTTGTTTTTTAGTTCTACTTTTTTTGCTGCATCTCTCATATTAACTTGAAAACTATCAATTCATTTTTTTCTTGTGCTAATTGATCGATTTAATAATTTGCATTTACATTGACATCATGTAAAGGAATGTATTTTTACATTTAATTCCTTAATAAAATTTCATTATGATCATTATTTGTGATTCTCATAACGATTAATATATAAATTGTTGTAATTTATTGATACTTAAAAATTTTAAAGAACCTTGCAAAGTGAGATTCAGAATTCACTTGTGGTATCTTAAACCATATCCTCTTATTTCCGTCTCTAACCTGTTCCAGAAGGGAACAAAGAAGAGCTCAGTTTCTAAGGCTACCAGAATAAGTGGCATTTAAATACGAGCGAAAGGTGTGTTAGGTTGTTGAAAACGTTGTATTAAAAGTAAAGAAAATTGTCTAAAAATAAAGTCTTGAACCTAAATATTCACTGATTACATTGGACAATCATGGAAATCATTTTAAAACTTTCTACTAAGCAAATGACTAAGGAGTCGTTGCAATATACTTAATTTTATTAACAATTTTATTTATTGTAAGCCTCAATCATCACGCAAAAAATTCACAGAATTTATTCATTAAATGCAGTTTGATGGTCGCTCTTGAGTTTTTTACTTTGCATACAATTTTCGTTGCATTTTTTTCAATTGGGACTAGTATAAAAAAATTTGGAATCATCAATCCTCTTTTTTACTTTCATCGGTGATTGCTGAATCCTCGCTAACTCGACTTTTATCAACAGGATATAACCTGAAAAGAAAAGAAAGATGATAGTTAATTCAAAAGTTAGAGAAAATAAACAGTAAAATGTAATAATTACCATCGTTGATATAAATAGATTAAGAACACGATATCATCTCGGAAAGCAGCAACGCGATGAGCAGTAGGGATAGAAGTCAATATAAAGGCAAAGAGATCATCGATAAATGTATTAAATGCTTTGTACATGAATGCTTTCCATGGCAAGTGAGCAACTGATTTAAGTTTGTAGTTTATGAACAATTGCGGTAGCATGAATAGGAAACCAAATACATAGACACCATTTGCTGCACTTTGAATAAACCAAGAATACCATGATTTGTGTTCAGTATAAAGGAGAGAGTAAATTGCACCAACAGTAACAAGAGGATAGAGGACGAAAATTGATAAATATTTCATCGCTTTAGTATCATATGCATCAGTTGTCTTTTCATCTTTTGATCTAGAATTCATCTTAATCCTAAAACCATCAAATTCAATTTTCAAGGCCTTTTTTAACTTCCATAATTCAATCAAAGCTCCAATATCAGCTGGAATTACAACAATTAAACTAGTTTGTTGATCATGAAGATAGAGTGCAATGATAATTTGAGAAACACAACGCCACAAGAGACTGCTGAAGGAGAGTCCCGCCATTGAATCTCGACGACGCCAGAATTGTACATCATTTTTAAATGCCAAAAAGTCGAAAAGAAGCTAGAAATTAAAGATGAATAGATTTATGTTATTGCAAATATTCAATGCCGTGAAAAGTAAAAAGGAAAAGTTTCCATTCTTACATGAAAACAAGAAACGAATACAGTAACGAGGAGCAAAAATAGACTGGTATCAAAAAGGATTCCTTTCACATCATCCGTGTCATATTCACTGAATCCTAATTCAGGCATAGTTGAGAAAGATGATTCAACCAACAGAATGAAACGAAGTTTGCCAATTGATGCTTGGTCAATGTTCACTTCAAGATGATAAACAGGTTTATCATGCTCGACAGGCTGTAAATAAATTCAATATTATGAGAAAAGTTTCACCCGATCAAAGTTATAAAATGCTTACGATAAGTTCTCGAACCCTGTGACGATTTGAGCTGATATGAAGAACTGGTAGATATTGCCGGTTTTTGTTGACCCTGTTATAATTGGATAAAATTAATAGAAAAGTTGAACCCTATCAAATGTAATAAATTGAAATAAACTTAATTTACTTCAAAAGAGGAGCCATTTCTTCTGTTATAGCTGAAATTGGAAGAGTTTGTGGACTTGAGACCATGTCAATAACAATTTTTGGCTTCCAGTGAGTAACAGGAAGACCCGAGAATTTAGGTTCATCTCTCTTTTGATTTTGTCCTCCTAACAGTTTATATGATGCAGCTCGTTTAGGAATGTAGTGAGTCAGCGAACCAACTGTATGAGACGTTAATTTGCTGTTGATAAGTTCCTTGTTTACCTCTCGGTGAGATCGGGACTTGGTAAGAAAAGCATGTAGAAACAAGGTGCCATTGTTGAGAACCTTATCTTCTAGAGTAATATTAAACTCTCTGGGAACAACAAAAAGCAAACAAACATGATAAGATTATTTATACCGTTAACTATTTACCACACCTATTAACAAGATTTAAAAAATATGTAAGAAATTTTGCTTACAATTTCGGGATACTTTTTGTGTTAAATTTGTCATTTATATAAATCGTCTTCAATGGAAATGCTAGTGGATGACCGCTAATTGAAGTGCATAAAAACAGCTATGATAGGGATAAACATAAAAAATATTAGAATGACAATGTAAAAGACATTTTTTATCAATAGCATAGAGTAACAGTGTTACGCTGAAAACAAAGAACTTACTGAGAAAATATCATCCTCTTTCCACATCGGACGAAGACATGATGGAGAACCAGGATCACAAGGTTGGATAACACAAATTTTGTAAAGGGTATACATGGAATGGAAAATCCAGGCAGTAAATAGCCCGGTGATTATCATAGAAACGGAGGGAAGACGCATTGTCAGTGATTAACAATGTTATATTAACATAAAATACAGTTAAAGTGTCAGGCGAAACATAATTTACCTAGAAAAACCGTCAAAATAAAAAACAAACAAGATAATTATTCGCTTTGATGTTACTATGGTAACCATTACCAGTTGTTTTTTTAAGCAAGCCATCATCATCATTCTGGATTCTCCTTCTCTTTTTTATTAGTGTTTCCATAAAATTTTATTCAAATAAAAGCTGTAAATTATTCTTATTCCCGTTTTAATCAATTGTATCAATATTACTGTATGTTCTGCATTTACATTGAAACCATGTGAAGGAATGTACCGTTTACACAAGTACCTAATAACAAGCATCATATTATGTTTAGTTTTCTCTTACAACAACAAACTTAATGCTCATAATGAAATAACCCATGCTAACAGCAATGATGTTTTAATCAACAATGATTCTAGTGACTTAATTGAATCTAGAGGACATTTGACTGCTTATAACCTTCTATCATCTTCAAAATTGACCAATTCAAACTCATTTGGGTCATCATCATCATCATTACCTTTATCAACTAGTCCTGTGAGTGACGGTGCTAGCTCAAGATCACCCACTCATGCTTTACCAGCACCATCTTCAAAACCATTATCTGATAAGTCAGATGAATCCAGTGGTGACAGTAAATTCTATAAAACCTTATGCTCAACAAATCGTATGCAACCATGTCAAAATTTATCAATAGATTGCTTAGACTGTGCGTATGATTACACCTGTGATTTTGGAGAATTGAAATCGGTGGAATGTAGAGTTAAAGAAAATATTGAATGCCAGGTAATGTGAAATTTTTATTTTACAATTCGTTATGCATATCTTATCTAATTTTTTATTCATTTCTGTTCATTTTCACTTAACAGGGATCAAAAACTGTTTATCACAATTATACTTGTGCCTATTGTTACCAATTTCCTGAAATCAACTACCACTGTACACCAAGTTTTACCTGTCGTATCAACTCCAGATATTTAACTGATTGCAATATGAAATCTCATGTTCTATGCCTCGGAAATAGAAGTTTCCAGAGATATAAAATATGCAATTTTGTTTCTGGCTATAAGTGGTCGACTGCATTATTACTTAGGTAAATAAATTAACCGATATGAGAGTTTAATGACAATGATTTAATTCTTTACAATTCTCGTTCATAGTGTTACTTTCGGTGGATTTGGAATCGATAGATTTTACCTGGGTTATTGGCAAGAAGGTATTGGAAAATTATTCAGTTTCGGTGGATTTGGTGTTTGGACTTTAGTGGACATTATTCTAATTTCAACAGGCTATTTAAAACCAGCCGATGGATCAAGATATATTAATGACTTCAGCTTCAGTTGATGACTCATTTAGTTAGGCGTTACGACAAATTTTCGTGGTGGATCACTTTATTTTCCTATACAAAAGTCCTTGAATATAACATCAAGGATATCTTCAGTGCTTATTTTACCCGTTATGTTGGATATTTCATCAACACACTGACGTAGATAAAACCCAGCAAGAGCTAGATCGTGGTCAAAATGTTGCATAGAACTTTCTAAAGCCTCACAAATTTTTTTCAAATGAGTTTGGTGTCTATCAGTGATGAATATCTGTTCATTTTGAACATTTCCACAGAGACTGCTTATATTATTCCCAATAATTTCTATCAGTTCATCCAATGACTGTTCTGTCTTACAGCTAACTAAGGATGAATTTTCTGCTGGAATTAAGCTTTTCAATCGATTGATTTCACTTTCATTTAAAAGATCCATCTTGTTGATGATATAAATCACCTGTTTTTCACTACTTAAAACATCTTCAAAATTTTGGATGTATTGAGTAAAATTGGTCTTCTCAGAATCTAAAAGTAAACACGATCCATCCACAACTAAAAGTACTAAATCCGCCTCGATAGCCCTACATGGAATAAAAACAAAAATCAGTCAAGAAGTCTAGATCGATTCTAAAGGACAATTAAGAAATTTTGAAGCAATATTTGCATACTAAATTACCTTTGTTTAGCTCTTTTAATACCTTCCAACTCAATTGGATCCTGAATGCAAGTGTCCTTCAAACCAGCAGTATCACTGACTCGAACGGACCAGCCTTTGATGTCCAAGTATCCTTCAACAATATCTCTAGTAGTTCCGCTGATTGGTGAAACAATAGACAAATCTCTACGACCTGGAAATAATTGTTACACATGATATTGAAACCAATTATAAAAGCAAGTTAAAGTGAATATGTAAATATGAATGTTAAATAATTAACTAGGAAGCTGTAAAATTTTCCTTTTTAAATGTAAAAAGTTCCAAAATGAGACAAAATGCTGCTCAGACTTACACAATTTATTCAATAAAGTGCTTTTGCCTACATTAGGCAAACCTATTATTGCCATGTTAACACCTCCTTTGATTAATTCACTTCTTCGTGAAGCTTCTTTCAGAAATTTCCCGATAGACTCTTTTAATTGAACCATTTCTTCTTGAACTTTATCCAGAATGGTCTCATCAATCATTTCATCTTCAGAAAAATTTATAATCGCCTCTAGATGAGCTATCGATTTGAGTACAGTTTGTCTCCATTGCGTATAAAGTTTACTCACATTACCGTCTAAAGCTTGCATAGCTAAACGCCTTTGAGCATCAGTTTGGGATGAAATTAATGATGATAATCCTTCTGCTTCTATAAGATTTAGTTTTCCATTGATAAAAGCTCGTCGGGTAAACTCTCCTTCTTCAGCTGGTTTGAAATCAGAAATTTTCCCAAGAGTTCGAAGTAACAATGATACCACAGCTCTTGATCCATGAACATGCAATTCAGCCGTATCTTCACCTGTATAACTATTTGGCTTAGGAAACCAAAAAACCAAACCTTTGTCTATTAATTCATGGGTACCTGGATGATTAAGGTCGGATAAAATTGCTTTCCTTGGATTTGTTTCAAGTTTTCTGCATGATTTATTTCCAACCAACAAGGAAAGGCCATTAAATGTCGCATCGCCAGAGATCCTTATAACAGCTATGGCTGTTCCTTTACCACTTAAACCAGTAGAAAGCGCATAGATTGTTGAAGCTTTTCTAACAATTTGGTCGATTTGGGTCACATGAGATTTGAAGATCAAAGTACGAGAAATAAATCTGTTTAACATTGAAGATATCACTTATGGCACAGATAAATTGTTCATAGTTTTATTTCATTGAATTGTTATCTTTGAAAGTGGAGCATCACTTATAACAGAAATAAATCACGATATGCACGAATCTAATGCATGTAGCATGAATATGAAGCGGATATAAACAAGAAAACAGTATAAATCAAAGACCTATTAGAGGCATCAAGTTTTGAAACCAATCAATTGAAACATCTTAAATTAAACATGTTTTGATCCGGAACATGTAAACAAAATCAGCTGTTTATATTCACTAAATTACCATTTACATTTCTCAAACATATTTAATCACTAATTACTGTGTATTGGCCATTATGTGAATATATTTTCGTAAATTTGTCTCGAAAACTTCAAAGACTGGATGAAATCAATGATCTTTTGAAAAAGTTACAATCAAATTACGCGCGGTTTGATTACCAGACTTGACTTGTTTGTTTTGAAACTTGATGCATTTTTATCTCAGATTTTTTTTGTGTTTTGTGTTTTAATTATACAATTTAAGCAATAAATTATCCAGTTATCTTCTGTAGTAAAAGAATGGCAACTTTCAGGTCAAATAAAGTCAACAAGAGACAAACCAAATATCTTAAATCTCTCGCAAATGATTTAAATATTGATGTGAATGTTATCGAAACTCTTTCGCCGGTAAATATCAAGATTAATGTCAATTTTATTTTAATCTCTCGACTTATAATCTGGGTCTAATCTCATTAATTGCAGTATGTTTTTCTTGGAAATGTTGGCCTTTTAACTGGAAACTCATATGAAGATATTTTTGATTTATTCTACCCATGTAAATCCATTCAAAATGTATTTTTATTCAACAACAGGCGATACTCGCTGTTAAAATTTGCCGATTCTGATTTTGCGTATGATGTAGTTAACAAATTTAATGGAATTTTCGCTTCCAAAATCAATAAGGTAATCTATCTGTTTCAAATTGCTGATCATGTGGCTCAAAAATTGGTAGATACATGTCAAGAAAATATTAAAAAACTTTTCTCACAACAACCTGAAGGAATGAAAGTACTGAACGAGATTATTAATGAAGAAGACGAAGCAATGCTGCTCAAGCTTATCGATTGGAATTCGGATTCTAAAGTCGAACATCTCAAAAATAGAAAAGTCAAACACTTTGGTCGACGATTTGATTATTCAATCAATGGTATCATAGATGACAGTATGATTGACCCTATTCCGGATTCTTTGATAAAACTAGCTACAGAGTGGAAAGAAGCTCAGTTAATTTCATATATGCCTGATCAAATAACTGTTAATATGTACGAAAAAGGCCAAGGAATTCCCATGCATATTGATACACACTCATGTTGCGAAGATGAGATTGTTTCACTGTCTCTTGGTTCGGATATAGTTATGGATTTTGAGCGACTAGGCAATAGTTGTAAAAAGCACGAAGATCGTAATAATTGTTGTGTTTTGTTGAAAAGACGCAGTCTTCTCATCTTAAAGGATAAAGCTCGCTATTGCTGGAAACATGGAATAGCTTGTCGCAAATATGACGCATTTCATAGACCTGAAGATCTTGACCAATTCATAATCAAGGAAAGATCAACTCGCGTCTCTTTTACCTTTAGAAAATTTAGAGACACGAAATGCTCCTGTGGTAAATTGATTTAATTTTTGTTTAGCTTTTATAAAATTATTAAAATTTTTCTTTATTTTTCTACAGATTATCCTGAATTTTGTGATAGCCAAAAAGATAAAGCGGTTGATATTGCTGATTCAGCACAGATGGAAGATGAATTTGTTTACAAAGTGTATGATAAGATTGCTGGTGATTTTGACAGAACTCGGTACAAGCCATGGCCAAGAGTAAAACAATTTCTCGATTCCTTACCACTTGGATCAATTCTGTGCGATGTTGGTTGTGGAAATGGAAAATATTTGAATATTAGCAAGAACTTAATTAGTATTGGATGTGATACTAGCTTGCAACTTTTAGAAATATGTCGACAAAAACAAATGGAAGTATTAGGCTGCAATATTCTAAATTTACCTTTTCGAGATTCATCTGTCGATCATCTTATTTGTATTGCTGTGATACACCATTTAGCATCCAAAGAACGGCGTGTTGCATCTCTCATTGAAATGTCACGTATTCTTGTGACCGGAGGAACTGGGCTTGTCTATGTTTGGGCTTTGGAACAGGTTAAAGATGGAAATAAGAGTGTTTATATCAAAGCAAAAGGAAATGCCGAAACTGATAAAATTATTGAATCTGCACCAAATTTACCAGTTCACTGTAATAGAACAGAATTTAAACAGCAAGATTTATTTGTTCCATGGAAAAACAAAAATCAGGATAAAGAGTTTCTTAGATATTATCATGTTTTCAGAGAACATGAGCTAGAACTTTTATTTTCCGATGTTCATGGAGTAGAAATAATAGAATCATATTACGATCAAGGTAACTGGTGCGTTATTTTCCAGAAAAAATGACAACTATAGCTATTCAAAAAATTTTAAACGATTTTGTATGCTGTAAAATTGATGGTAAGATTGTATTGACTTTAGTAAATTTATATTTTATCATCTTTCTGGTGCAATAAACGCAATCTCTAGTGATTTACAAATCTTTTTCCAACTATAATTGTGAGATACTATTGTTTCAAATTATTTAGTTGTGAAAAAAAACCAAAAACGGTTAATAATCCTTGTTCAGAATTTAAATTAAATTTAAAAATATTGAGGAACGCGCCATATTGCGTTTTGTATACATGAAAAAGAGAGAAAAAAGACAGAAAAAAAGAAAGTAAAATATTAAAGTCTTATTTTGCTAGATACATTTTATCAGTTATTTTTGTGATGTTTACCCTCATTTTAATACTAATTATTTAATTAACTCAGACAAAATCAACTTATCAAATTCAACAATCTAATTATTTTAACGCCTTCTTCCTTTGTTTCGTCTTGCGTTACGCATTGTCAAATCTGAGATTATTATCTTTTATCTCTGTATTGTACATTGTTTGTGTTGTATTTCTCAGATACTGTCAGCTGTTTTTATATTTTTCTCTTGTTGGTACCTTATACCTTATTTCTCAAGTGCACTTTTACCCTCTGTCCCATTTTTCTTTTATTTTAAAAATCCATACGCTACTATCTAGGATACTATTGAACTAGTCATGTCTGAACTATTCAATAGCTTTAAACGGACTGGTTATGCCATCGCTGAATATATTAGTCCTGTTCTCAGAGAATCCAAATTCAGAGAAACTGGTGTATTAACTCCTGAAGAATTTGTGGTTGCTGGCGACCATTTAGTTCATCACTGCCCAACGTGGAGCTGGTCAGCCGGAGATCCAGCTAAAACTAAAAGCTACCTACCCAAGGACAAACAATTTCTTGTTACAAAAAATGTTCCATGCTATAAAAGGTGCAGTGCAATGGAAATCACTGACAATTATGAGAAAATCATAGAAGTTGGTGATGACAACGAAGGATGGGTGGATACCCATCACTACGATTTGAAAAATGAAGAATCTGAAGTTGGTCAGATGACCGAAGAACTAGGTGCTTGTAAAATTGATCCATCTGTCGTCAAATCTGGTACAGATGAAATTAAGCTGGGCTCTGGAGGTGATGATAATAAAGATAAACCGAAGAGTGATGATGATGATAATGATGATGATGACGATGAGGATGAGGATGATGCATGTGACATGGATGAATACATGGCCTCAGGACTCATGGACAAAGAAGATCAGGTTTGTTGGCTTTTTATGTTGCAATTTTGATTTAAGGTTTACAGTTTTGAATTGTTGTTTGAATGAATTCTTTATCTTTCTGATCAAACAGTCGACGGTGGAAGTTAAACCCAGTAGTAGGAAAAAGTCGGAAGGTGATAACAACTCTATAGTTGCTACTCGTACCTATGATCTTAATATTACCTATGATAAATATTATCAGACACCAAGGTTATGGTTAACTGGATATGATGAAAATCACCACCCCTTAACAATCGATGAAATGTATACAGACATAAGCTCGGATCATGCCAAAAAAACTGTAACAATGGAAACTCACCCGCACATTCCAGGTCCTCCTATGGCATCAGTTCATCCGTGCAGGTACATATCACATTTTCATTCAAATAATGCAGTATAAAATCGAGGTAATCTATTAATTTTATTTCTTTTCTCTTAGACATGCAGAAGTCATGAAAAAAATAATCGAGACTGTCGAGGAAGGCGGTAAGGAACTTGGAGTTCATGTTTATCTAATTGTATTTTTAAAATTTGTTCAAGCTGTAATCCCGACAATTGAATATGATTACACTCAAAATTTTACAATTTGATCAGCTATTTCATATAATGAACTAAACATTTTGTAACTCTGATTATATTGATTTTCCTTCCCGGAAAACTGATGATTTTATCCTTTCTCAAACTTTCTCCGTCTCTTCCTTTCCGTTTTTTAAGTTCTAAAATCATATCACCAATAAAGATGATTTCAAATCTTCGATAATTGCAAAATGAAAATATAATTGCCAAGAATTGTAGTCAATGAAATTGTCGGTTTGCAATTTGGATTAAACATGTATGACTTTGACTTAAACGAACAATTTCTAGTAGATTTTCATCTTTACTGGCGATAGTAATTTATTGATTCAGATGCTTGGATAAAAATAGACTTATTTTTTTTATAAATAATAGAAAAATTTAATTTAGTTTTATAAATTAAGTAAAAATGGATAAAATTGTATTTAGATGAAGTAACGGTGGTGTGTTTCATTCCAGGATGGATAAATGGTCGATGAAAGGGTATTAATGCGGAAAGGTTTATAAGAAATAAAATTGGATGTTACAAGTCCAGTAATAACCAGTTTAACCTAAATTAACAGTTAGACTGTCCTGATCCTGGGGGAGAAAGAGAGACAAGAGAGATGGACAAACTCTCAACCTTTATCTCAACTTGTACTTATCAATTAATGAAAGCAAGAGAGAAAGGTTAAAGATCAAGATTGATAGTGTTTGTTGATTCTTTAGCCTGGATAGTTCAAGTATTCAAATATTATATTCACCTCGATTAGTGAAATAAAATCGCACTTTACTGATGTTGGATAAGCAGAACAAAACGAAAGGGCGAAAAAAAGTAGGTGAGAATAATTTAGATTGAAGATGTTGATGCGGAAAATGAATATGGTCTCGATGATTTAAATAGTTGCAAATAGGATGAAGACATTAAATTATGATTATATCAAGTTTAAAGCATCACCTCATCTAGCTTTATTGGACAATTGGAAGCTGGGTGGTTTGAACTGCAGCCAAATCAGCATCACCTTCTCTCGTTACATTAGATGGGCAACCAGTCCTATCGCTTAACTGTAAACCTGATCGGTTGATTTTCAGGTTATCCAATTTTTCATAAATATTCTGACGGGTTGGATTACTTAAAGATCCGTCACGAGATAAAAGCCAAATATACTCTGAAAAGGCAAAGAAAAATAAGAATGAGAATTAATCAATAACACCACAAAAATGAACAGTTTCAAGCTCCTTCATAACCAGTGAAAATGTTTATTATGAAAATTGGTACTCAAGAGCATTTAATTTTATCGGCAAAAATCTTTCAATAATAATTTACTAAAGTTACTAATTCTAGATATAGTTATTCATACTTACCAGAGTGAAATAATCCGCTGAGCAAACTGTTTGTACATGAATAGATTAAGGCATATTCATTGTAATCAGTATCAACAACTGTTACTTGAGTACCTTGCATCGGCATTCCTAATCCATATCTCACATTATAGAAACCAGCTCGATTAATATCTTGAATCAAACCATCACCAGAAATCGAAACAGGAATACCACCACTAATTAAATGAATAAACAGTAATTTAAAATATATTAATGAAGATTTTCAAATTAAAAAACACATGCTTACAGTGAAACTCCTTTAACAGCTACATCAATGGAGCCATCTTTGTCATCGGAATATTCAACAGTCATACATCTCATCATCAGGTCAAACATTGAAGGAGTCTTTTCAGTTTCAATCCAATGACCGAAGAACTGTAAAAAAGGCGCAAATTTTGTATTTCTAATCAACCTAATAATTAATTAAATGATAATTGATAAAATTTAAATTAAAAAATATTCTTACCTTTTGTTTTTGAAAGTTTTCAGGAGGATCAATCACTGGACAAGGACCAGAAACAAAACGTTGAGCCAGTGAAGATGTTTGAAGATAACAGAGTATGGCGGTGATCAGAACGAATTTCATGTTTAAAAATGTTTTTATATTAGAATTAAATTTAATAAAACAATTGAAATGATTGGCTAAGAATTAAAATAAGATCAACTTTCACACTAAATGGATACACAAGACTCTGATTGATGGGCAAAATTGTTGCGACTGAGGTGAAAGCGAACTGAAAAAGGGAACAAGTTGGTTTATCTTTTTAACAAAAAAGGAGAAAATCAGTGAGAAAATGATGAGACTGATGTTGTAAAAAGATGAGGATAAATGAGCTGAATTGAGAAAGATGAAGATGATGATGACGAAAGAGGCAAGGCCTGAGAATGAAGGATAAAAACAGGGCAAATAAAATGGCTATGATTGCCCAAAAATTCAAAGTTAAATGAACTTTCAAAGATAAACTTGAAATTGATCTCATCAACCTTACACTCTTCAACTCTCTTCCCTCCTATTTCACTACCACCACCACCACCACAATCATCATCATCTTCATCATTCTCATCTTCAGTTGAAACAAGATTTTCAAGTTGGCTAAACATTGAATCGGTTAATCATTAGCTAAACCATAGCTGGCTTAATCTTGGACCAAAAAAAGATTGAAAATTACAATAGTTACAGTCAACTGTTTGGTTGATCAGTTTCTTAACCAAGAATAGCCATTAATACCATTAAATAATTAAAGTATGAGAAAAAATTATGAAAATTGTTGACCATTTGCTCGTCAAATTATTTTACAGGTCACTGAATGTGTATCTGTATGTCCAAGACCAATAAAGCAATGAAGCAATCATGAAGCAAACCATTAAATTGGTTAAATTTGAAATGAAAGGGTAAACATTTTAATCAATTCCGATTGATTGATGTAATTTGTTGCGCTTCAAATGATCAAAATGACCAAAAAATTGTATAAAGGTGACAAGAAATAAGCTTTTATTATATTTCAATGTATTTCAATCCTTTTTTTTCCCTAACAATAAGATACTCAATCAATAGTTTATCGTTTCCTAGTTTGATTGTTTACTTCAATTGAGTGTCACTTCACTATGCAATGTACATTGTATTATCATTCTTGTTCTTGGATATCAATTGAGTTGTAATTCAGCTAAAAATTTAAATATTAAAACCAAATCCGCAACAAAATGCCTCATCTATTCAATCAACTACCTTTCAATTCAATTGGCAATTAAAGTAAAACAGTTTGAATTTGTCTTTAAATTTAGTTAACTAAGAAAGGCCTATGGATTTTCAAAATGTTATGCATTGTATTATATAATTAACAGAGGAAGGGTCCAGGGCAATCGTCTATAATTTAAATTGTAATTCACAGATTTATGCCTTTATTTATCAGAAACAATAAAAATGTTATTTAAGAGATGAGTTTCAATCTGATTGAATTCCTTCTGGTTTAACCTTGATTTTGATGGACAGTGAAAAATAATAAACTTGACCTTAATTTTATTCATGATCATCTCAAGATTATCAAGTATTGAGATGTGCACTGTTGACAGAAAACGAAAGGATCAATTAGATTGAGTCTTGTCAGTTAAATCTAAAAAATATTTAATTTGATCATTGGTTGAGCAAAATTTGCTATCAAAAAATCATTATTTATGGAGTAAGCCATATTATATTACCAGATGTAACCAGAAAATGATGAGAAAGTTGAACCCAAATATGACACTTTCAGTTTTGTCTTTCATTTTATTGGTAAACTGGTTGGTAATCACTTTATTTTGTGTCCTCATTTGAATTAAAATCAACTTATTAATAATAACCAGGGCTTTTCAAAAGGCATTAAATCATTTTTTAATCAAAAAGGCATAAATTTTATGCCTTTCGTCTATCTTTTCCCTTTCTTTTCTCTTTCTTTTTTCAATTTTATCAACCTTAATCTGTCCTAAATAAAAGATAGTCGCCTTTTTTTTGACCAATCTTGTTGATAATTTTTCCCATTGAAAATCAATGGACTTTTCTTAGGTTTATCTTTTATGCCTAAAAGCATATGCATAAGATAGACGAAAGGCATAAAATGTGAAAAGCCCTGATAATAACCCACAAAAAGTGTAGATTAACATTCAAAAACAACAAAAAGCAACACCAAAAGCAACAAAAATCAACAAAAATGATGACCCGATACAAGAGTTTTTTATCAATAATCTTAATCTTATAATTTGCTAGTCACCATCTTCACTACCTTATTACGTTATCAAGTTTAAGTAAGTTTATCCGCATCTTTTGAATTCAATTTGATCCACCAATTTTAATGGTTACTGTTTGGTTTTATTTTTATTTTTCATATCAGTTCTGTTGGTGAACCTAAAAAGCCAATCTTTTTATCGGTGTAAACCATCAAGGATGTACAAGTAAATTACGTAAATCAGCAAGATTACCTTCGTCATCGCCTTTTGATCACCATTTGGTCTTAAATATTTCTTAATTGTTCTAAATAAATTTAACCCGATCACACCATTGCTTGGCCTTATTTCAATAGATTACCAAACTAAGCGGTCAATTGTGTTTAACAGCCTAACCGTTGACTTTCAACTGGTCACCATTAATCATTAAATCATGGTATGTAACTGTATTTTTACAGCTTCAAACAAATTAATTACACTCAACTGGATCAGTTGAATTGATGAAATTATCATCTTCAATCTCTTTCACTCTATGGTTGGTTAACAAGCCAAGGTTACTATTTATAAACAGTAAACAAATGTAGTTAAGGGTTAACTTGTTAGAAGCAAAGAAATTAAAAACAATTGTAAATATCAGTGCAGATTGGTTTTAATAAACGATCAAGACCAAACACAATTAGCTTAATCAACACTCATGCGATTCAAATAATTGTCTCGGTAATGAATGATTGATGAGACTGGAAATAACCAGAAGTGAAACAACTCGGATTCCTTCACACAATTAATAAAAGACAGTTAACCTGTTGGTGGTTCAACAATTCGTCAATCATTTAAGGACGAGTCAAATTAACAATTTCAATAGCAATCAGAATGGTTGAATAATTGTTTTATAATTAAGGTAAATAAGACAAATAAATAAAAGTCCATAAGAAGTGAAGCTATTAGTCTATGTATATAAGAGACTCCTATTAATTATAAATATTTTCAAGTGTTCAATTGATTGACCTTGGATAATTGCACCAAATCAATTTTAAGGTCAATTTGAATCTATTCTAGATGATTAAACAATCTGATTCCATTGCTATTTATTTCAAGTGTATTTACATGGTGAGATTTTTGATTCGTAATTAATGATCAGTCCCTATCGATATGAGCTCATTGTTTTGCAAAAAAATTAGTCAATAAGGTCAATCTATGCAACAATGTGCCTTTTCTCAAATAATGTTGTATAAATGTTAATTTGTTTAATCTTATTTTATCATTAGAGATGTGAAGTTTATTATCATTTTGTTATTCGCAAGTCAACAATCAGTCGAAATTCCCTTAATTGGTGCAATCTAATTTCAATTCCAAGTGTATCTTACAAAGTCTTGGCTCAACTTATACCAGGCAACTCTAGTACCATTTTGAATTGCCATTGGAAATCTGCTAAATAGCAGACTTATTCAAATATTTTTAATAAATTTGCCTGACAATCATTTATTGATACTTCTATCCAAGGTGATTACAATTTAAATGAAGGTTAATTTGTAGTCAAGATCAACTGACGAGATGTGCGATAAGGAAAAGTTTAACTCAATGTCTTTGTTGCAGCTTCTCTCATTTCGTTTAACATGATGTAAAATTGATTATATTGATTTCAGTCTAGAAACAAATCATCAATACTATTCAAGTCAATGATTAAATCAACCACCGAAGAAATCTTTTACCGAACATCTTGATTGGTTTATCGATGGATATTAAATAAAAGTGCAAAACCAAGATTGTAAACAACCATTCAAAGGCAAAGCAACTTTAAATCAAAAGATATTCTCAAGTTATTAACTGTTTGGAAGCTTAATGATCGATATAAATAAGTATCAATAACAGTTGAACATTCAACAATTATCTATTAAATTATTACGATCTACAGCAACAATATCAGCAGGGATAAAAACTAATTTCACACCAGGATAGCAGAATACTTGGAAATATGTTGTCTTAATATTGATTTGGAGGTGTTGATATCAAATACTTGCATTACAAGAAAGACATAAATATACATAATTATATTACCCGTTCGCTAATTCAGTAATTTTCCGGAGAGCAATTATGGTGATGTGTTCAAATCCAAAATTTGGGAAATTATTGCCTGATTAAAACATTTCTCATCCAGCTGTTTATCAATTAGATTACAAAAGGTTAGAGCAAATTATTGTTGCTCGTGATCGATGTGGCACCATGTGGCCGATCAAAATCTTATCAGTTTTAAAGGACGGAAACATTTCCATCACAGACTCTTTGGTTCGAGAAATTCAGATGATTCGAATGGATAATTTCATCTTGAATCTTGAAATGGTATTGTCTCATTACGAGTAGCAAGAAAGCTAAAATTGATGGTTAAATTCCGAGGTCCCCAAAACAATTATAGTGATGTGTTCATAAGCCGCAAAATTATGGTTTGATTCGTTGAAGATGTTTCAGTTGACAATTAATGGTGCAAATTGATTATCAAATCAGATTAAATCTTAATGGTTTAAACAATGTCATTTTCAATCGTAAAGGTTAAGAGTAAATTAATATAATTTGCAAAAAAAAGTGCCAGATAAAATTCATCTTTGCACTCAGCTCAAAAAACAATTGAATCTCCAATTATAAAATTAACGAAAGTAATAGTAATAGAGGATATAAAATTGTTACTAATCACTTTTCGAGTTGGTAAAACTCTAACGCTAATCATAATCTCATTCCACTGAATCAGACCACCAAGATAATCAAATTGACATGTAACCGTGTGCAATTTACAATTGAAACTGTGTGTGACATGAGAAAGTTTGCACCAATCATTGGGGATCATTTTTTCACCTCTATTCTATTAGTCCTTGTAATCAAATATTTCATCATTAGATTACAATAATTACTACAAGCTTGATTTTGGCAGAGTTAACTTCATGATGAAATTCAATGTTGACTGCTTTTTTGTCTACAATCTAACATTTTCTTGTTTCTTCCCTTCTTTATTTTTAGGATTGGCAATTTGAATCACAATTTATCCTTGTATTGGCTGGTCATTGAAAATGTACTAATGAAAGACAATGAAAAAGCATAAGAAACGGAAAGTTGATTATTTAAGGGATGTCTTTTCATTTATCTGTTTCCATGCTAATTCCCAAACCAGATTGAAGGATTTTTAAAGTGTTGCTTCGGTTTTGGCTGTTCAGCTACTCACCTGGACAATTAAATACAATAAATGCAAAATTAAACGGAAATCCGAGCCTTGATTTACCAGTAATTAAACAAAGGATGTCTTGTTTACAATTAAATGTGTTCATTTGATTAAATCAAGTCCATATGATCAATACTCGCGGTCGATCAATGTTTGTGTGAGTGAATCGCGATAGTCGGTTTGCAGCTACGTTAGTAGCGAACGACTGGAGCCAGTCGGTTTAGGTTAATACACTTTAATATATAACAATAGGTATTTACAATAGGTGAAGTGGAGAGTTAGGGTAAAGGAGATAGACTGGTTAATGTGCCATTGATGGCTACTCTATTTATATCTATGGGTTACGCCATCAATGGCTAATCTAGAAAGTACTAGAAGGTGAATTAGGGGACGTAATGATTGCACCATTGCCTTGACTATCTAACTGACAAGTCAAGGTTATCTAACACGCCCGCTCAATCATGAAGTCCTAACGCATTGGTGAACCTTTCGTGCTTTACTCTTGCTAAGCTTTTCGTCAATACGTCGGCAATCATATTGTCGGTTCCTTCATGATCAATTCTTATTGAACCTTCTTCGACTCTTTGTCGCACAACATGGTACTTTATATCAATATGCTTGGTCCTTGCATTTGTAACGGGATTGCTTCCAATTGAGATTGCACTTGTGCTATCACTGTAAACTTGAATTGGGGCTTTAACATAATCTCCGTGACCAAGCTCTTTCAATAACTGACATACGCCCATAGCATCATTTGTTGCTGTAGCCAATGCTACGTACTCAGCCTCTGCTGAACTCTGGGCGGTAACTGTTTGTCTTGCCGATCTCCATGCAATTGCTGCACCGGCCAAGATAACCACATAACCTGATGTACTTCTTCTGCTGTCGGTATCAGAAGCCCAATCCGCATCAGCGTATACATGAAGCTGCTTTCCTGTTCGTCGGTACACTAAAGACTTATCTTTAGTTCCCTTTAAATAGCGTAGTATACGTTTAGCCGCCTGGAAATGATCCACTCTTGGATCCTGGTTGAACTGCGATAACTTGTTAACCGCATAGGTAATGTCTGGCCTCGTATACACCGACAGGTGATGGAGTGATCCAATCAAACTACGGTAAGTTTCTTTATCTACCGACTGGGCGTCTTTATCAAATTTCAAATTCACTTCCATTGGGGTATTAGACGCTTTACAATCACTCATTCCATTCAATTCAAGAAGCTTTTCAATAGCAGTGCGTTGCGTTATCTGAATTCTATCTTTATGTCGGTTAACCTCCAGACCAAGGATGTTCTTGACTTCTCCTTTGTCGTCCATGTCAAAGTGATTTGACAACATCTGCTTCACTTGTTTGACTGCATTAACATCTTTAGCAGCTATAAGCAGATCATCGACATAAACTGCTATCAGTACGCCTTTCCTTTCATATACGCACTGGTCACTCTTCATTGACTTGAAACCATTACTTTGAAGAATTTCATTTAACTTCAAATACCATTGTCGCCCGCTCTGTTTTAGGCCGTACAATGATTTATTTAGCCGACAAACTTGACCGCCCGGAACTCTGAATCCTTCAGGCTGGTCCATGAAAATAGTTTCATCCAGTTCTCCATTGAGGTACGCCGTTCGTACATCCATCTGATGTATGCAGAGACCTTTCTCGATGCAAATTGCTATGAACGTCCTCAGACTTACTGGATTCACGACTGGAGCAAACGTTTCATTATAATCTTTACCGAAGCGTTGAGTATAGCCTTGAGCCACAAGTCTTGCCTTGAATTTATCGACACTTTTGTCGGGCTTGTACTTGATTGCATATACCCACCGACAACCAACCATACGTTGATTACTTGAAGCTTTGGTAAGAGTCCATGTATTATTCTTCATTAGGGAATTGTATTCACTTTTCATTGCTTCCCACCATTTGTCGGCATATGGACTATTTGTTGCTTCTTTGAATGATGATGGGACTTGAATCTTCCCGTCGGTTGATTGCAGCAAACCCAGTCGTTTTTCGTTTCTCTTACAAGATCGATCCCTCTTTTCTCGTTCTGGGAGATCTCTGTATCTTTTAGTATACGACCGTCTTGTTGTACTCTGAGATTCATTTACCGGTCGTACCGACTGGTTGCTCGTATCCCGATATTCATCCGCCGGTCGTACCGACTGGTTGGACGTACCGACATCAACATCTGAATTGACTTCTTCTTCTTCAAAATCTTCAGCATCTTTGAAACTTTCGTCGTCGGTCACAGAACTTTTCTGAACTTCTTCAGACTGTGTACACTCTACCGACCGGTCATCAATTTTAGCTGGATAGAAGTCAATCAGGAAATCATTGGCGGTTTCTGATTGAACATTTTCAATGAATCTAACATCTCGTGCCTTCTGCACCTTCTGAGTCTTTGTATCAAATAGGCGGTATGCTTTAGACTCAGAACAATAACCGACCATAATCATCTTTTCACCACGCTCGGCGAATTTACTTAAACCAGGTTTCTTATTCAACTTGAACGCTGGGCAACCGAATACGCGTAAATGTCGTACGCTAGGCTTTTCTCCATAGAACATTTCATAAGGAGTCTTTCCATTGATAGCCTTTGATGCAGTGCGGTTTCTAATATAAGCTGCCGTCGCTACTGCTTCTGCCCACAGTCGTTCATCTAAACCTGTATCATTTAGCATTGATCTTGCCATCTCAATCAATGTACGATTAGCTCTCTCAGCTACACCATTCTGCTGAGGAGTATACTCAACCGACAACTGATGTCGTATTCCTTGCTCTTTGAGATAAGTCTCATACTCATTATTAATGTACTCCCGTCCATTGTCCGAGCGTAACGTCTTCAACCTCTTGCCGGTCGTTCTTTCCATTACGCATTGGTACTCCTTGAAACAATCCAATGCTTGACTTTTACTCTTTGTAAAGTATACCTTAACCGACCGGGAATAATCATCTATGAAGGTGATGAAGTAACGTGCACCGCCATAGGAGTTGATCCTCATTGGTCCACATACATCTGAATGAACCAATTCTAATACGGTACGACTACGGGACTGAGACTTTGGAAATGGCAATTGAATCAATTTATTCTTTAGGCAGCATTCACATTGCGTATTACTAATCTGCTTTGGCTCTAACCCGTACACCGACTGGGACTTCATCATCTCTCTGATGGTATCAAAATTAACATGGCCAAAGCGTCTGTGAATGAGCATCATCTGGTTTGTCAAACCAGGCTTCAACGTAGCTAACTTGGCTGTTACGACATGCTTGTATACGTACAGACCATTTTCATGTTGAAAGTTCATTACTTTCTCTCCCTTTGCATTGGAGATCCAGGCTACGTCAGATCTAAAGTTAACATAATTTCCTCTCTTTAGAAGAAGACCGACCGACAAATAATTACAATCGAGCTTGTCGGCATATAATACATCTTTGATCAAGACACTTGTCGAACCGACCAGCATTTCAATTTCACCAGCTCCAATGATGGGTATTTGTCGTCCATCAGCAACAGACATAATATTGCTTTCTGGTGGCTTCATATGCTTGAAATAACGTTTATCACAACATACATGTGCCGTTGCACCGCTATCCAGGATCCAAAGGTTCCGGTCGTTACTGGATCCTAATGAGAGTATTTGTGATTTTCCGGTCGTATTGTCTTGATGTCGGTTAGCCGACTTGCACTCAGATGCTATGTGTCCAAAGCGATTACATTTGAAACACTTAATTCTACGCTCTTTGCGTCTCTTTGTTGTCTTTATTGCAAAGGCAGCATCTGACGTTTTCTCCTTTCCGGTCGTCTTCCTCATCTCCTCTTCCAAAAGCTTTGTCTTTAAAACTGCTGAGCTGGGCGGTGTGTCCTGACTTGTCACTGCAATCACGAACATCTCATAAGCTTCGCCCAGGCCGACTAGCAAAGCCACTGATATTAACTTGTCGTCTAGAGTAACACCTAAGTCCACCAATTGATCAACGACAGCAAAGTATTCAGCTAAATAGCTTGACATGGATGTAGTCGGTTGATATCGCATCGTAATTAACTTTTTGAATGCGGTGAACAATAGGGAAGGTCCAGTCTTTGCATAAGCATCTTTCAAAGCATTCCAAACTTCTTTGGCGGTCTTAAGATTCTTGAACAGACGGTAAGCTGAAGGCTTCACACTTAACGTAATTTCAGCTTTTGCTTTTTCATCTCGTCGGTCCCAAGTCTTATCATCGTTGACTTTTTCACCACCAATCACGTCCCATAGATCATTGTGAATGAGGACACTCTTCATTTGGATACTCCAAGTATCATAGTTGTCGTCACTTAATTTTTCGACTTGAAGGAACGCATTAGACGCCATAACGTATTGAGGATAGAAGACTTAGCACAAGTTAAAGATAACTATATTAAAGGTAACCAGAGCAAACCAACCACGCTCTGCTACCATGTGAGTGAATCGCGATAGTCGGTTTGCAGCTACGTTAGTAGCGAACGACTGGAGCCAGTCGGTTTAGGTTAATACACTTTAATATATAACAATAGGTATTTACAATAGGTGAAGTGGAGAGTTAGGGTAAAGGAGATAGACTGGTTAATGTGCCATTGATGGCTACTCTATTTATATCTATGGGTTACGCCATCAATGGCTAATCTAGAAAGTACTAGAAGGTGAATTAGGGGACGTAATGATTGCACCATTGCCTTGACTATCTAACTGACAAGTCAAGGTTATCTAACAGTTTGCATCAATGAAATCAATGAACTTGCTTTTATATCAACACTGACTTATCCCTCCAGATTTTTTTCCTGTTTCATTTCCAATCCAGTCAACAACCATTCTAATAATCTTAATACCTGATCAATATAACTTCTGATTTAAGGCTTTAAAAGCAACAGTAATATACAATTTAGATGATTGTTAGAAAGTTCATTGTCTGCACATTCATTGTATTTGTTTCTTTTCATTTGATCATTTCCTAGTCAAAGCATTGTTGACTTGCCTTTTGTCATCAATATATTGTTAACATAGTTTTCATAACGATCTTAATCAAATTTGCTGAATTTTTGTCTAGTAATGTTGATATTGATTTTAATAGTCTGAATAGAGTCAACATTGAAATGGTTTACATAAAATCTAGCGAAATCATGATTTTCAGTCGTTAAAATTTTAAAACACTTGATGTTATTGAAATAGATTTAATTTTAAAGGTTATTTACATGGTTTAGATATTTATACATACAATTTATAAATTGTGACAACTAATCAAAGGTCTAAAGCAAGGTTGGTCATTGAAAAACGCAAAATACTTTCAATGATTCAAAGTCATAGTCGGGAAATGGAGATTCAACTCGACTTCAGAATCAGTTAATTGAATTGTTAAATTAACCAGTTAAATAGTCTCCTCTATTAATTAAATTGCCTTTTTTATTTTCATACATTCAAGGTAAAATACTTGTAGTTGATAAAAAAAGCAAAATGTCTTCCGCTTTCTTCAGTCAACCTGAATCTAATGTCAATCAAAAAAGTGTAAGATTTTATGAAAAGCTACTTAAAGGTCCATTGAACTTGTGATTGTAATCAAAATCAAGTAACAGTTTAGTTTCTATTACCTTAATCGTAGAGTCTATTAATCCATTTATATCTGTTAATCTATCCTTATAAATTCATTTATCTGAATTTGTAAGGCTTAAAGTTTCTCGATATTTACATCTGGCAATATAAAGAAATAGCAAACATGAATTCTTATGTGTTTGTAATAACTTGTTTAATTGGTTTGATGTTAAAGTGTCAACAATGTATATTAAATATTACAACAGTAATTCAACAATTAATGATCAAAACTCTTTTACATTTGTAATCTTGGTTCTGGACAATCACGATAGTGACATAAATAAAAATTATCAAAATATTATCCTAATAAGTATACAATTTGAATCAGATTGATGGACAAGAGTTTTGACAAAAAATGGATCAAATAATGAATGGTTTAGGAATCTGTTCGGTGGATAGATAACAATTGTCGCAAAAGCTAAAAGTGAAACTAAAAAGCTTAAATAATTTGATCAAAAATAGATTAACAATTGTGAAAAAGAGATAAATTTGTGACGAGAAATGGTTTCTTTTGATGAAAACTGTTGAAAATGGTGTTTTGTATTGGTAATGTTTAGGAGATGAAATTATTAATAAATGATGGCATTTGTGGATGATAAGACCAATTTGTTAACCATTTGAAATACAAATTGCCAAAACTAGACATTATTCATTCCAGATCCAGGTGAATGATTATGATTATAATGACTTCGAGATAATGAGTTATTGTTATTGTGACTTCCAGCATCTTTCTGGCGACTCAAATCAGTATCAAGGATGACCTTTGTTGATCGATTTCCTGGAGTTTCCAATGAAATGTTTCTAAATGTTCCCAGTTCAGTGTTGATACTTTTACCAATCACAGGGTTATGATTATGATTGTCACCATCACAGATAGAATGATCATCAGACATTCGACAAGCGTTATTAGTTCTACTCAGATCAGGTGAACTTCGTCTAGAATCACAGCATGTTTTGGAGGCGCAAGTTGTCTTTTCAGGACAGTCTAAGGCACAATCTTCCGAGTTATCAAGAGATTTGACCTGAAAAGATAAAAACGAAAATCAGTAAATACAATAGAAATTTACAGGAATAACAAATCAATATTAGTTGTTAATATTAAAGATAAATTGTCAAAGGCAAACATGTCAACTCATTTCTTGACAATACAAATACAAGTTTACAATCAAATTAAAAATACATTTGTCTTCTCTATCAATAAAAGCAGATATTTTAATAAAATAAAATTTATAATTTATAAGGTTGAACAAGTTTTCTTTAAGCCCTTCAATTGACAAAGAAACAATCATGGTTTATGAATTCTGTGAGTTACAGCAATCATGATAATGGATATCAGATTGAATTGATTATTCAATTAGACAATGAATATCTAAAGTAAATCCAATGTGTTTCAATTGTTTGTTTGTTATTTCCGACTAACCATTAATGTTTTCTGTAATTATTGTAATCCATTGTTGATATTGTGTGTGTTTGAAAGGTTGTTCATTTGTTTGTACTGATCAAAAGACCGGTTAAGATTGATTAAGAAAGTCAACTATTCAAGGTAAATTGTTATTAATGAATATGATGATAGACATGATCATCCCCATGAACAAGTGGGAATGATAAAGTGGCTAAGAGCCGTGTGAATAGGCCAAACTTGTTGTTTTAAATGCGCTTTTATATTTCATGTTGATGATGCTTCATCTGCAAACCTTTGCAGTCATCACTAAACTCTTAATTAGTGTTCATTTCCTACCCTCTTTTATCATCATCAAACATCATCACCATTATCATATTTATAATTGCATTTGTACGTGTCGGGTTAACAAGCAGTTTCAATGTTGATTACAATTAACCACAAGAAACACCAGCAACAATAAAACACGCAACCTAAGTTGACCAAAAAATACAATAATCTTGAGATGATAAAAATACAATATTAAACCTAATAAACCAACATAATATTGTAATTTTTTTGCAACTTTCTGTATTGTCTTAAATGACAGTAAATATTCAATCTCAAGGATTCTGAACAGTTGAAGGTTAGCTTGAAAAATGCTAACATTTCTGGATTGGGTGAGAAATGCAAAAATAAAATTAAAACATTGAAATGATACAAATTATACTAATGATAATAAAGCAAGACTTGTGACCAGTTTTGGGTGAGAAGAAAAAATCTTAAGAAATTATGAATCTATCATGAAATTTCAACATTACGTAGGCCGAGTTGCTAGTCTCGTGTGCTTCATTTGTCTTGCCAACAATCAATGATTGAAATTGTTGTGGGTTGATGGTTATGTCAAGGTAGGTCAATTGGTAATCAAAGGGAAATCGTGAAAATAGTAATTTAAGTTAAGTAAAAGACTGTGATTGAAAAGCTCAAGATTAATATTGAAAGATGAGATTGAATAGGAAATGGGAAAAGATGATCAGATTTACATTTTCCCATTTTAGCTTTTCATTGATTAACTTGTTAATCATCTTGATCAAGCACAAATGCACATTAAGCTTTTGCATTGTAATCAAATTGTTGAAATGTTATTTTTTTACTGTCAATTTGTCTGTTGTCATAAAACCAATAAGGTTTCCGATTTACTCTGACAAGAATCATTGACACGATTCAGATTTTTGTTGAAATGTAGATGATAATGGTGATGAAGATCATGAGCAAATTTTCCGGACCTCATTTAAAGCAGGTTAAATAAGAGATAAAAAGGGAAAGGATAAATGGATGATGGAAAGAAAGACAAATGGATAATGTTTGTCGCTTTGATTGTCAGCTTTTGATTGTATTTATATTGTAAGGTCGATTGAATTGTTGATGATGAACAATTTTTGATGCATGTTCATCATCATTTTGTCTTGCATGCTTCTTGATCAATTTCAACAAAACTAACCTGATAATCGATATCAACAAATTCAGGTTGAATGGTTGTTGAATGGATTCCTTCATTGTGGAAAAATTCTTTAACTTTCTCCGCAATTTGCATGTAATCAGTTAAATTGTGACAACGAATGTGAGCTGAAGCTATTATACGGTCACCAGCAAGTTGCCAAACATGAAACTCGTGAACAGCAATTACACCGTTGATCTTCATTGGAACAGATAAGAAGCCAAAATGAAAAAGTAAATAAATATTTGATTAGAAATATTGAAAATTGTTAGTTGTGAGGTGAAAACTGTTTGATTAGTAAAGCTTTTACATTTGCCAGACATTAACTATTTTTTGTTTAAAAGAATCAGATGTTCTTTAGCCAACTTGACCTTTGGTTGATTAGTTAATTGTCCAACAAAATGTTTATAGTTTTTACTATTTAAATATCAAGATTGGACTTACTTCTCGAGTCAATTTTTTACGTAAATCATCAACCTCAATGTGAGTTGGAACAGTTTGTAGTAAAATCATGGCCGATTCAACCAGCAATGGCCAAGTACTGTACATAATTAGGCAAACCAATAAAACGGACAAAGTCGGATCGACATATTCCTTGATTGACCAATTTGTGAACATTATTATTAAAGCTGAAATGCAGACTATAACCGATCCCAAGGCATCAGCAAGTACATGTAAGAAAACTCCTCGCATATTCATCTGTTCACTTGATTGTGGGGCTTGTTTACTTGATTTGTCTGTCAAATAAGTATTAAAAGACATTTGATTAGATTCAAGAGAAAAGATAATTAACCAAGAAATGCTTTAATCATACCTTTTTCTCCATGGCTGTGTCCATCTCCATGAGAGTGTCCATGACCGCCACCGCCACCATGTGAATGACCATGTCCACCACCAGAACCTTGAAAAGGACGAGTAAATAAAGGCTTAGTAATACAATTTATGGTTGAGTTGGAAAAATTGATCAATCCAATTAACTATGGTTTGGGTATTGAAGGTGAAATGGGTTAACAATTTGAATATAATTTTTGATTAGGTTAATTATTTATCACATGGTCAAGTTGAAATATAATTAGTTATTGGTAAAGTCACTGATTAGTCTCAGTTTACCAAGGTTTTTAACTTTGTTCACAATCTAACCTTGATAGTCCGACTAATTTCAGCATTATTGTTTATTTGATCAGTTGCAATTAGATGATGATATTAAGATTTTACTGTTGATTATTTGGCTTAAATTAATAACAACAAAAGGGTCGAGCTTGATCCTTAAATCAATGGATTTACTTTCAGTATTTGAAGATGAGCTTAAGAAATGATGATTGTTTGCAATGAGAAAAAGTCACAATTTATTCTTGTTCATTTTGATATTTTCAATCAGTCAAATAACATCAATCACTATCGTTAATTATCACTATAGTCAACATGGTAAAAATTGATTTCAACTCTTTCACGCTATTTTAGTCTTGTGTTTACATCTCATTGAGTCGAAAATAATTTTCCAAGTTTAATTTGATTGGGTGAATTAGAAATACTTTCACATTATTGTGATTGTAATCGTTTGATTTGATGAGGTTTTAAAGATTTAGAGATTTGGCTTTTTACATCTGCACATTATATGGAGAAAATTGACCATTTATGATAAATGGGGTTTCTCAATTGTTGGAAATGATGATGAAAGCCAGTTAATTCAAACAAATTGATTCATAGTTTCTTTGTTGACTATTATGTTGTCGGTTAAATTGTTTTGAGTAAAATTAGATACAGAAGTGGTCGAAAAAATCTGCGATTTCGTTAACCCTGACCACTACTGTATTAAAAATAACCAAAAAAACAAAAGAGTCTGAGAAAACGGTTAAACTGTGTTGATGAGTAATTGTAAAAATTTCCGGCTTCCAGCAGATTAATTGAAAAGCGATGGGTTAAATGTTTTCGCGTTAATCAGAAAACATAAATTAAAATTAATAACAATAGTTAAAAGTAATAATAACGACTATAATCAACTGGTGGAATAACAATTGACCAGTAAAATGAAATAAAAACAAAATCTAATAAAAGTGAAGCAAATACAAAAATAAAAATGATTTTTGCAGCATTTCATAATAGACAAATTATCATCTAGTTGTTGGAAATTGATATTTAGAAAATAATGAATCATAAACTTACCATGAAATAGGAATAGACCAATTACATTGACTACTAGGCCAGCAAACCCAACTCCTAAGATTAAAATGGGTGCATGAAGCTCTTCTGGGTTGTAAAAACGTTTGATTGATTCAACCAGAATAGAGAAACAAAGGGCAACCAGGAAAACTGCATTTACCAGAGCACCAAGAACTTCAGCTCTAGCCCAACCAAAAGTGTTTTTAGCCCACTTTTTGGGTGACATCATGACTGAAATGTAGGCAATGATGAGAGCAATAACATCGGATAACATGTGAAATGAATCAGCAACCAGGGCCATTGAATTGGTAATATATCCGACAATTAATTCAACAAAAAAGAATGAGGTTGTCAAGACTAGCATAAAAAGTAATCTTATTCGTGCTCCTTTGTTTTCAGCTGACATTTTGATTATTGATGTTTGGCCTTTATTATCAAAAAGGATGAGATATGTTAATTACAATTTTTTTGATTGTAAATTTGAAACAGGACAATGGAAGTATTCACTTTATTAACTAGTGTTAGTTTCAGTCTAGATCGTTGCAAATCAGTTAACTAGAGATGGAAAGACACATTATAAATTTTCAACGTAAAATGGAGTGTAAATTAGAAATAATACGATATTAAATTTAGCTTTGTGTTAAGTTATTGTAAATTATTGAAAGTAAAAATAAAATAAAAATGATGATGTTGTGGTTAAGGGTGAATTTATAAAGGAGTGATGATTAAGCTCGTTTTTGGTGGTGAACAAAAGTTAAGTTGGACCAAAGGTAAGATAATTTAACAATTAGACACCGTTGAAAGACCAGATAAATTAGTGTTGATTGTAAAAATAGTTAGAGTAGACTTATCGTGAAAAACTTGAGACAAAAAAATACAGGAGAATTATTGCAATTACTAAGAGAAAAGAGCAACACAAATTATTAAGTATCAATAGGAAAATAAAAACAGTTGATCAAAAAATCTGTTGTTGTTGAAGTAAAGATTTGCTGTGATTCATTTAAAAACACGAGACATTATTCACAATTAAAGTAATCAACATGCTAACAAAAAGTAAAGTAAAACAATAATGTTGATCGAGTTTGTATTTATTGCAAAAATAACAGAATAAGATACAAACTTCAATCAACGAACCCTTTTATTAGCAGTTAGAGCTCAGGATTTCAACTGAGCTTATTCAGATTTTTGCAGTTTGCACTAAGCTATTCCAGCAGATGGCGCTTTAACTTTCAAGGACTGGATCCTTTCCTTCCTTTAATTTTCCTTGAGAAATTACAAAAGTGTTTCTAATCTGATCTTAATCAATTAACTTTTTTGTTTTAATTCTTTATTATTGTTCAATTGTAGGACTATTGAGTCTGAAATCAAGTATAGAGATCACAGGTCCTCAAGTTGGCTGCAAACCGACGCAATCTAATGGATAAAACCTCTCTAATATCCAAATATCGGATCTGATACTTGTAAATTTATGGTAAACCAAAGTTCAACAGTTGACAATCGTTTTGTTTACTTTCTGTTAATCAATTCACATCAAGATCAACAACGCCTACTTCAATGGAAAAATGATACTTTTGTAAATCCTCAAAACATCGCTTCTTAACTAAACCAGATCACTTCAAAAGAAAACATGGCCCTTCTATTTAAAATTATCAACATTAACCTGTTACAGTATTTTCTTCTCGCTGTGGTCATTTTTACGAGTGCAATTTGCTCACCATCTCAACCTTTAACATCATCCGCAAATGGGCGGACACTGGTTACCATAAGCAATCCTAATTGTGGTGATTATCAATCATGCCTTAAGCTTACTCCGAAACCTGATTTGGTGTATACCCATTCAACAGACAATGATACTTCAATACACTTCATTTCCAGTACACTCGGAGGGTTTCCTGGTTTTTTTATTACCCGAACTGCAACACCTACTATTTTACAAATCAATTGGGACTCGTTATTAAATAATTGTTCCGATAGTTTTAACCTTCCTTCAATCCCAGACGATTCGATTGGAGTATTATTATTAAGCTTTTTTAACATAGACCATAAAGACATTCACTGGACATTGGACAAGAATGGTTCTATTAACTGTGATTCTTCAACTTGTAAATTTGGTTATACTTCATCTGAACAAAGTTCATTAAATGAAACCATTTCTATTAGCTTAGAAATGAAGAATAAGCAATCTTCTTTTGAAGATTTACCTCATCTCTTGTTTAGCCCATCCTCAATGCATATTGATTTGCAAATTACAAATTTGGATAAATCCCAAATGAACAAGAGCGACGGAATTAAGCTGTTAGTATTTTCATCATTCAATGAATACAAGGAAACACTTGAACGAACTATTGATGATGAAAATTCACCCGGTGTTTTCACGGTAATTAAGATTTATTTTTATACAGCTGTTTTTTTCTAAAATTATTCACTGAAAGATTTGCAATTTTGCATACATTATTAATATCTTATCTCCTGAGCGTCTAGTGTTTTATCATTTTAGTTTTGCAATTACTTTATTTATCTTTTCTTCTATTCACAGAAACGCACATTTTTATTCTCACAGGATAATGAAAACAACACAAATTTTTTACAATGGAAACCAGTGGCCTACAATTCTAAAGAGCGTGTTATGTCCAAAACAATGGAAATAAACTCGAGTCACTTGACTGATGCTGAATTACCGCGACTTAACTATCCTCTTTACTGTTTTCACAAGCAATTTTATTCCAACTATTCTGTCCATAAGTTTAATGCTTCATTTGTCCAAGAAGGCAAATCATCTGCTACTAAAATTGATCTTATTACTTGGTCTCTAATTTTTGGTTTGGATCAACCACCTAAAGAAAAATTGTCCACATTTTTACAATTAATGCTATTTGTAGGTGTTGGAATGTCATTTGTTGTTATGTTTGTCAGTCTGATTTACGTGGTGGCAAAAAAATGGCAAAAATCTAGAGCTACAAATGAGCCTACCTTGATTAATGAAGACATATTAGACTATTAATGTACATCGCAAAGCATAATGTAACTTTTAAATATTTATAATCTCGAATAAATTCCACAAGAGAAATAAAATAAAAGATTTAACCTGATTCCAATCAAAACCAAAGTCTTAAATGTATAAATCGGGTCATGTTATCGAAAAACAACGAAAAAAATGTTCACCCAGATAAAGTGGATTTCATCAATAGACAATTTTTTAGTAAATCAAAGTCAAAAGACGTAGAATACACAATTTATCTTGTAAGCTAATTTCTTCAATTCTATTTCCATTGAAATCAAAATCAGCAATTTTCAAAACTCGACTGGAAAACGATTGCCATACTAATAGACATCTGGTGTTGTCATAATCAATTAATTGTCATTAAATAAGTGATCATTTCTTTTGGTTGATTAACTGTTCAGTCAGCCATTGAATACCTTCTTGAAGCCCTTGACCAGTTATAGCATTGCTTGCTTGAATATGCCAAGGCCTTTCTTGTAAAGACTCCAGTCCTAAAGCTTGAGAGATCCTAACACTCGATAAAGCGTCTCGAAGGTCCATTTTATTGGCAAAAATGAGTAAAGGAAGATTTGGTTTACTGGCAATCTCATCATGCTTTAGCATCAAATCCAGCTCATCTTTGGCCACGACAAGACGAAGAGAGTCGGATGAATCGATAACAAAAACAATGGCATGGATTCCTTTAAAATAATGTTCCCAAAGGTTACGATAACGTCCCTGTCCGGACATATCAAAAGCTGAAAAGGTTAAATTGTTTACATGAAAACTTTCCACATTGAAACCAATAGTAGCCACAATCTCTTGACTCTTATCTTCGTCCTTTTTGAAATTGTTCAAAATGGTTGTCTTTCCACTATTGTCCAATCCAACGACCAGAATATTAACTTCTTTCTTCTTTAATCCCAAATAAGAAAGCAATCTGCTGAACAATGACATAATTAAGCTTTATCTGTAGTTTATTCAATAACAAGGAGCAACACACAACAATAAAACTCAATTCTGAATGATAAATAAACTAAAATTAAGTAAAGAAATTAATAATTTTACGATAATAAAGAAATAATATTAATAATTTCAGACATTATTAATCCTCTTGTTTGTTGATGTTTTGGTTCATTCAACATTTATCCATAGACACCGTGTCCAGGATGCAGTTCAACATCAACAATCAAACAATACAGCTACTGTTACCATGTAGCTATGAAGTATTTCAACCCAAATTACAGAAATGTAGAAATAATAAGAATAGTCACAATCATGTTGATGATTCTGGCGAAACTTCATTCTTTGTATTTTTAATGTTTTCGTATCACTCGTAGTAGCCATGAACCATCGAGCATTCCTATGATTCAGAATAACGTTCAATTCTGTTTTCAAATCTTTTATTGAATACGTCTTTTTATTAATATTTTTGCTCTTATTATTGGTGATCCGGTGTTAAATCCGTTATTAAATGGTTGTGCGTTCTATTCATCTACCGGTCCTTTGATCTTTTCCAGTTTCAGTTCAGCCAAGCTTGTTTCAATTACTTCAATCACTGGTCAGTCTTATTTAAATGGTAATCTTTTCCATTCCATCTTTAGTGGCCTCAAAACTTCCTATCGAGATGAGATAATGAAATCTGTAATGAATAAAAAAAAGAAATTTGTAGTTACATTTTAAATCTTCCTAATTTAGTAAACTTAGCAAGGAGTTACAATGATCAGTTTAATTTAGCACAAAAGGAGTAAGGACAACTCATAATAAAGATACCTTTGTAAAATACTTTAGTGCTGTTAGTTGTGTGATTAGATTGAAATACTTACATGAATTAGATGAGATTTATTCTTTATGACGTACATTACGTTTTAGATGTTAAAAGAGTTCAAGCCAGAGCTGAAATTTCCATCTTTTGACGAAAAGATTAGAACAAAATCATGGATTGGCCATTTATCCAAGCTTGAAGTATAGTTGGACTAAATGCCCGCTGGTTACGCTGAACTCTGAACCTAATTGTGCTCAATCGGTAATCACTTTCTTAGTCAATGCCATTCATCCATATTTATCGTCTGATAATGTTCTTGTAGCCCAACGGTTTACCTGGATACTTTATCACATCAGAATTCATGTTTTTTTTTATGAAAATCAACTGATTACAATTACATCAGGGTAATAGAATAAAATAAATTCTGAAAAGGCAACTTGAGATTATTAGTGAGATGGACCATATGAATTCAGTGAATTCAACAAGTTGGAAAAATGAAACGATTACGGATGTTTAAAGAGATAAATGTTTATGTGTGCAATTTATTTTTAATTATTACATGAAAGGAACACACAAGGTGAAAATTTATTGTTATAATTAATTTGTCATCATAATAATTTAAATTATGATATGAGCATCTGCTTAGAGTTAGTTTTGTTGTCTTAAAAAAATGAAAGAAAGGTCAGAGTGAAGCAGACAAGAAATGAGAAATGTGTGAAATTGCCTTGATTGAAGAGGGAATCAAGATTAAGTCTCTATTTCGCTCATCGATATACAGCGAAAGAAAATGTGTCTCTTTCCCCGCATCTTGACATAGCAAAACTCTTCGAAATGAGATCAGAATGTAAACGATTTGCTTGAATTTGTTCATGATGAATAACCAGCATTCAATTGTCAAGAAATATTTACATTTCGATCTTATTCCCAAATATGTTTCTGTGTCAAGATGTGCGAAGATAGATTTGTTGAATTACAATTCAATTTCTTTGGCTGATATTTTGTATAATTTTTATCCTTTGAAAAGGAATGACTTTTTGGTTAAAATATAATTAAATAAATTAGCTCGCTTCGCTGGAAATGAATAAAAATTTAAAGCTGGAAAGTTGTAGTGTTTTTGCATCAGATTGGTTAATAAATACTTTAGAATGATGTTCTTTTTGAAAGTATAATGATTTAAGGTTAATTGTATAATTATTTACGTTTCGATGCAAATTCGTGTAAAATTTCTCGAGCCATTTCAAGATTATTTTTGGCGATTCCCAAAGCACGAATCACAGACTGATTAGAGTAGCCTTCACCTGTTAAGATAGCGATGTAATCCATTTGCAGATTTTCATAACTTGCTTTAGCTTCATTCTCTTTGTTGTCAGATAAACTGGTTCCTAGGGCATATTTGGCAGAAGTTGATTTGGACCTGAAATATTAAAAAAGAACGATGGAGAATTATTAGAAAGATTGTCAGAAAAGATTATCACATAAAATTTCTGTATAGCTATTAGGATGCATGGACATAAATTAACTACATTAATATTGAATTTAGTTACTTTCTAACTGAATGTGAGAATGAATTTGTATTGAATAGAGATGACGATGACGATGAAGGTGTAATTGAGTGGAGGTTTGACACACTAGAGGATGATGTTGATGTCAATGATTGCACTCTAAGTAGATCTTTTGGTGTCCTTTCGGATGGTCCTTCGAAATATGAATAAAATAAATCAAAAATTAGTTCATCAGATTTCTAAATAAATAGTATAATTATTGTTATTAGAAAAAAAATCTACCTCTGAGATCCGTATTAGCATAGTCAGGTTCATTATTAAGATTTAAATTAGAAAGATCATCATGTTTTGCAGTTGAGGCAGAGTTTGATGAGGCTAATGATGATGAAGAGCTTGTTGATTGTGCTGTCAATGGTTGAGAATTATGGGAACCAAAATCAAAGAGATCAATTTCACTAGAGACTTGACAATGATTATCTGACTTGACTGTTGATAAATGTGTTGTAGCTGATTGGGTTACGTTTTGTGGGTGAATAGGTGAGCGATGGTGTTGGGAAATGATGTGAGAATGAGAATCGTCAAGAGAATTGAAAATATTTTTAGAATTATTTAGTGTGGATTGTTGTGTATTAACTGGAGTAGGTTTAGGTGATTTGACTCTATCAATTGTTGGACCAACAGGACTTATGGAAGAAATAGAAGAATTAGACTCATCAATGTTTAGCAAGAGTTTAGATGATGAAGGTGAAGTTGAGGTCATCAGAGATGGAATTGTTGATGAAAGTAGAGTTTGCTGTCCTATTAAATTGGTTTTACAAGAATTTTGATTGCTGGTTGTATTGTTTATAGAGGGTATATTTATTGTCGTCGTCGTAGATCCAGTACTAGGACATATTAATGGACTTACTCCGATTCCTCGATTAGACGGTGATACTAGGGAAGATATAGAAGAGGTTACAGAAGAAGACGATGATAAAGAAGGTGAAGAAGAGGGTAAACTGGTTGTTGGTCTACATGGAGATCGGTGGTGATTCTCACCAGGATGGATCTTATTAGGCCGGCTGTCTTTTCTGGTTAAAGGTGAAACAGTGCTAAGTAGGGATGTTTCACTCTTAATAGTGATCAAGTTGCCAGTTGGAATAGAGATATTTGTAGAGCCATTGGGCAAGGGTGAAATTGAATCGATAAGGGTTTCATTTGAAGTTGTTAAGTTGATTGAAGTAGATGTTAAACCACTGAGGGAAACTTGTTGCCTATTAGAGTTGGGTGGACTGATTGGGATCAGTGGTGAAAGATTGGTTGATGACGGTTTCAGTGTACAGGAACTAGAGTAACCAGAAATGTGGTGTAAAGGAGATGAGGTTGGTGATTGACTAGGAGTATTTGTTGGAGATACACGTCGAGGTGGGATCGGCGGTGGGATTGTGGACGATGATTGCACAGTTGTTGTTTGTGAAGTTGATTGAGTTGTTGATACAGATGATGTGCATATTGTTAATGATGTACAAGTTACAGAAGCCAATGAGGCTTGCTGATTAGGTAATATGTTAATAGACGGTTGACATTGCAATAAAAGTGGAGCCATCTCTGGTTTGCGACGGTTTTTTGGTGATGCATGTGGTGAATTGATTGGAGATCGTTCAACCTGTAATAAACAAAATTAAACATTAGTATTCCAAATTAACTACAGCATTAATTTAATAGCCAATATTGAAATTCTTACTTTATTGGTCTTTTCACTTAGACGATTACAAGGCTCTAATGATGATATCCATGCATTTGGATCCTATCATAAGATTGGTTGAAAAATTGAGAAAAGGAAACGGAAAATTAAGATAATTATTGGCTTGATAAAAAATAAATTTAGAAAGATAATGATAAACAATGCTTTTACACCATGAAAATTGAAACTTTTCTCGCCATTCTGATTTCTATTTACAGACCAAGTTATCTTAATAATTTACATTATAGTGACAAAAGTCTTGCAATGTAAACACACTGCTGCTTGTCATTTTACATCAAAAGATGAAAGATACATAATTATAAAGCTTCTGATAATGGCAGTTATAATAAAATACTGAATTAAATTCCTAACGGAGTCTGAGAGCTTTGAATTTTGCCATCTTGTGATTATTATAGAGGCTTTCAATGAAAACTTATGGAGGTGTTGCTATTAAAAAATTTAAGGTGAATCAGATTTACATGAATATAATGTAACAAATTTTCAGGTCAATGATGTTCAAAAACAGGAATCTTAGAGATGAAAATATGGTGAAATATGTTGAAATGAAGAGGCTCAGGAAGATGATATTGGCGTTGCTTGGTTAAAAATAACATTTACGACTTAGTTTATGTTTGATTTGTATGAGTATGCATTATCATATAACATATAATGAGAGTTTTAATTGTTTATCAACTATGAGCCAAGCAAAGTGAATGTTTGTTAAATTAAGAAACAAGGAAGCAAAGCAAATAGCAAATAGACAAAGAAAAAGACGGAAAAAAGAGAGAAGAGAAAGATTGAGGACTGAAAGAGAGAAACAATTACAATTGACAATTAATAACCAGGATACATCATGATACAATAAACAATATCAAACGGTACATAACAGTGACCATAATTATGAGTTTTGGCTCGATTGAGTATTTGTTTGAAACAAAAATTATAAATTACCATTTTGTTTACTCGTTGAAGAGCAAGATTGATGGTGACGGTGGGAAATAGAGGGAAGTATAGAGAGGTGGGGTAAAGTAGAGGGTAAAAAAATTGGGATTTAAGGGGCAGAGCAGGTTCCATTTTCAGTGGCAATTCAATAAATATATCTACATGGATGTAAATTGTGTATTTGCTTGTGCAAAATATTAATCATTCATTGGTTTTTCAATCATTTGTGTTATCGTATCGATGAATCCTTTCAATTATTATTTCAACGGCTGATGATGTCGTACTTTGTCCGTTGATATTGTGTATCAAGCTTATAAATTTTTGATAACATTTGGCCAAAAGTGAGCTTCCATTGACCTGGATTTGGTTTCTTAAATCTACAATTTATCAAGAGTCATCTCTATCAATTAATAAAATTATTTCAGCGGTTTACTTGGTGTTGGATGTAAGTGTTATTTGAGGTTAAACATTTTCGTCTATTAATTGTGCTCATCGCCTCAACCATCAATCCATGTTTCTCCGATGTCTCTTGCCGTTAAAGAAGAGTTCATTTTTGCATCTAATTCATCTTGATTCGGTTTTTCTCGAGTGTAAACCTCAAGTATGAGGAGACATATTTTTTCTGAAGCCAAAAGGGAAGCCAAAATGAAAATATAAGGTGAAATTATAAAATAATAAGGTGAGGTAATTAACAGATGCATTCATTAATTAACACAAGGCAAGAAAGGGTACGTGCATTTGCAGGTGCTCTAATTAAAAGGGAAAAGGCAATAAAAAAGGTAAGTTAGCGGGTAAACTGAAGGGAAATATTTTTGTATTTCAAGCACAGCATTTCAGATAAAATGTATTATATAATAATTAATTTACCAGATGATTAGTAAAGTTTAACAAATATTCAGGTTAGTTTGTTAGTAGGCTTGTTGATAACATTGACCAAATAAATCTAATATGAAAATCATTTTTCATGATCATCTCTTCTTAATTCAAACCACTTCTTTTCTTTCAATCTATTGATAAGGAAATTGAAACTTACCTCAAAATTTTCATCCTCTTCAATATCAACTAGATTCTGATCACGATTGGCTTCTTTGGTGGCTGACCTAGGATTTGGATCAAATGGATCAACCACAATAAGCTCAGTTCCTTTAATTTCAGCTCGACAAAAAGGGCAACCTTGTCCTTCTGAATCCTAAAAGTAGAAACCAGAAAATATTTTAAATGATTGAAGGTAAAATTTTACAAAATTTGAAAGTAAAATCATTCAAAAGCTTGACCGGTTCAAAATGTTGACAATATCGTTATCAAAAATTACTTTCTAATGTAAGTGATCATTCAAATTTGGTTAGCCATAATTAACCAAAAGCATTTCACAGATAACAAAAGCTTATATCAAAAGTAATACATGTATGAATAGCGACTCAATACATTGTGATGGAAGTTCATTTTTTAAATTTTCAAACACTTTCATAATCTTTCAACTGAAGCTGAATTTGTGTTTGTAAAATTATCCAAAATAATTAATTCAAATTGAATTATTTTTTCTTTGCTTTGTTTGACTTTGAATTGCTTTGGTTAAACACTTTGAACGTCATCTTTCCATTTTTGTTTTGTATCATTTTACATGAGCTACTATTTTTCAATTATTAATATCCAATTATTATGTTATTTTACCTGCCAGGATGTTAGACAAGGTGTACATAATAAATGGCCACAAGGTTCAATTCGAATATCCTTGTTATTTTCTGCACAAATTTTGCACAATTGAAAAGTGGATCCCATTTCACAATAGAGTTCGTATTGTTCCTGGGTTACTCGGATATGATCTTCCGGAGTTGCTTGCACAGCCCAACTTAAATCAGGATTGACATTTCGTCCATCAGGATAGAGATAACTAAAAGACAAAAATGAATAAATAACAATTAAAATTGTCAAAAATTAAACTCTAAGATTACTTCCAATTGACTTTCAACTTTCATCAAATAAGATTTTCAGCAATTTGATAAAAGACTGAAAAATTGAGGAATGTGGAAATGCCATGGAAGTAATCAAAGTTGGTTTAATAAACCAATGAATCTTCAACTTACAATCCTTCCCGATAACCATCTAATAAAGCTTGACAAAGTGATTTATTCTGAGGAATGGTTTGCAATATATTTCCTTCTGGAGTTACATATCCGATTGCCCATTGTCCTAATCTTGTACAGCTTAGACGAAAAACGTAGCTAAAAGTGTAAATAGAGAAAAGGAAAAGTATTATTAGCAATTAGATTAAATCAATTATAAAAAATCTATTTTAGCCTTGATTTGATTGACAACAATAGGATATAAGAAATGAAGTTAAAGTGCGAAGTGAAACATGGAAATGAAAGTATCAGTTGAATGAGTTTGGTAAAATTCAACATGCATTATTAAACTGAGTTAATTTCATGGGAACACACAGAAAGAGATAACTATTAGAGGTAAAAAAATAATGATTAAATGGTAGTTCATTTAATAATAATAATGATAATTTCATTGCCTGAAGCAGGTCAAGGTTAATGGTCAGGGATGAAATAAAAATATTTATAACATTAAAATGCTTAGCCATTAACTGGAAAAATATCAAAATTTGATTAAATTGCAACAAAGACAATTATATTATTCAAATCAACAATAAGAGAGATTCTTAACCATAAAAGTGAACATATTTCAAAGCAATTTTGAATAGATTTTGATTGAAAAATAAATATCAAAAAAGCATAAAATTTAGGAAAAGCTAACAATATAAAGTTGGGTTATCTTAATTATATCTGATTAAATATTTTGCCTGCAACAAAATTAATCAGGTATTATTAATTAAAAACAGTGGGATTGATTAATGATAAAACGAGGCAATTTTGTAAGGTTAAGAAAGTGTTAAGTTATGATTGTATAGAAGTTGAATTATGATAATAATGATAAAAGAGGCCAAAATGAATTTGATCCCAACAATAAAATCAGAGGAAGGCTGATGTTCATTTTCATGATATTGGGAACAAATTTCCTGAACAATCTGTCAAATTGTTAGTGTAAATAGCCAACTGAGCAATTGAGGTTATTTTTGTTGATTCAATTTTTTACGATCAACTAATCATAAAATATAATCAACAGGTTAAGGAATCAATCATTGAAATTGCTAATTTAATCTTCAATTGTTCAAGTCTGCTCAAATTGTAATCTAATGAATGAATAATTTTGTTAGTTTCACTATTTCATGGTTAAAGAAGGATGAAAAATAAAACCTTTTTCAATGATTACTTTTCATGAGTTATTTTTGAAATAAGAGTTCAGAAGAGCTAAACAATCTTGCAATCTTCATTTCTATTTCTGAATGTAAACAGTGAAAATTTACGACTAAATCATGGTAAATAGTAAAACTGTCACAAAATAAACTTTCAATATCTAGATATTGATTTTTCAATTTGATTTAAGAAATAATTCATTATTTCTAACCGGTATTTATTCATGATCATTGGATTGCATCAAAAGAGAAATGTCAATGAGAAAAAAACGGTTAATTAAGATTAATGACATTTTATCATTCATGATGTGGATGAAGAATGTGAACAGAAAAAAATGAATGAAATTGATAGCAATACTGGAATACTAATGCATAAGGATTATGCCATTAATACATCAAGGATTGTCGAGTATTAGATGAAGTTAACGAAAAAGATAAATAATTTTTTGGGTTACAGTGATGAGTTTAGGTTATACGGCTCTTAAACTTGTTAGACATTGGGTTTAATGAGTTTGGATCAACAACGATTCTGTTGATTGAAATGGCTCATGTTGATGCCAACTAAATAGCAGTTAATTGGTAAACAATTGAACAATAGCCTTAAAAAATAGGAATCAGTGATGGATAAATGGTACTGTGATTCCTAAACAATGTGCGTTATTAATGTTGAAGCCAAATTATCATTGCTCTGCTAGCGTTTAAAGGTCAAAATTTGAAATGAAACCTAATCTACTTTTTACCCTTTTACATTATCCAGTGATAAAGCGCAAGAATTTTCGGTCTGAAAGCTTATTGACAGCACAATAGAGTCAAGTTAAGAAAAAAATCATGCAATGAGTAAAGCTTTGAAAAGATGAAAAATGGGAAAAATTTTCAGTTTTTGGATAAACATTGTCAGGTTTTGTTTTACTGGTAAAATGTGCAACCGATCAATTTTATGAATCAAAACTCAAGGGATTGGAGATAAGAAAGGGTTATGATTGGAGGGGAAACAATTAATTTACTCGTGATTAATGTGGGAAAGTGATAATGAAATGGCATCAAGAGGTTCAATTTTAAAGTGTTTAGATGAGGCCAAAGTGAAAGTTGAAATAAGGTTAAGTAAGTGGTGCAAGTATCCTTACCTCCCTGGTTTGTTGATATATTTTTGAAGGCGAGCTTTGACTTCATCGTAGGTTAAAAAAGCAACATAACCAGGATGAGTGACAGCTAAGATCTGCCAATTGCGAAGGAGCGTAGACCAAGGTTGGAATAATCTGTAATAACAAATCAAGATGATTATTAAATTGCAATAATAATAACAATGACAATCTTTCAATCAATTTTTTTAAAAGAAAACAATTTTCTGATATACTTGTAAGTTTACAATCAAGGGCTACAATTGTTGAAGGAGGCTTTAAATTGTTATCAATCCTCATTCATTAGTTCAATTATGAAACAATTGTGGCAAAATGAGCTCTCTGTAATTTCAGCTAACATGATACTCAGGGTAGAGAAAGTAAATCAACTGGACAACATAAAAAAGGATGAAAATAAGTGAATGGAAATTTGGAAGCAAAAAAATGTGAATTAATTGATTGTAGTTTTGTCAAGGGAACAACATGTGGTTAGATGAATGGTTAAATAGGGAGAAATGGATGGAAATCAATAAACTAGCTAATCCAATGAGTTGATTAACCTGGATGAAATTCATTAACTTTGATTTGGTATTTAGATTTAGTATGAATAATGTTGGCAGTAACATAGTGAAAGGAGCAATAAAAAAGCAGCATCGTTCAATTTATCCGGAAATTGAGAGAACAGTTAAATTAATTAGTTTGCTGTTGATCAGATGATTGATTGAAGCTAAAGAATGAGTGATATTCCTGAGAAGCTGATGAAAATCTGATTCACAGTGAAACATTTGAAAGCAATCATTGCGTAAATAGTTTTGCCGTATCAAGCTCAAGGTTATATCATGAATTTTTGTCCACCGTTATGAATGACAAACAGAGAGACAGAGAGAGAGAGAGAGAGAAGGGGAAAGATCTTCCGTTCTCCACCCTCTCAGTCTCCCAAGAGGACAGATATATGCATAACAAGCAAAGTATATTAATTCAAGTTGAGTACGTCCGGTTGTTGGTTAAAGCCAAACATAGAGCGTGAGCTTCAAACAAACTCAATAAAATTAATTTTAACACTGACAGACCGTATTTTTTTGCTGCAAACCTACAGAGTTGGGCTAACGCCTACTGAAATACACAGTAATCAGCAGAAAAAAAGCATGAAAAGACTGATTCAGTGAAAAGTCACCAAAATTTGTTGAGCTCAAGTGTCATGCTGTTTCTTTTTTGGCTCATTGTCTTTCATGTGTTGACCAAATAATTGGGATAGTTGAGTGTAAAGGGTAAAGGAATGTCTTTTTTGTTTCTTTAAGTTGTTGTTTTGGCCGAGTAATGATTGAAAGATAATCATGTGTTGACAGTTGGAAATTTTTCACGCCTTTTCATTCAGTTTTCATCTTAGAGAGAAAAATTGATTACCTGGTAAATACGTCAAATTCAAAATTAGATATGTAATCATTACATGTTAAGTCTATTGTTGATTTAAGAGCCATGGCTTCTAATCCTGATCCAATTGGATGTTCTTGGTGTAAAGTTTGACGAAAGATTCTCCATGGGACAATTGTTCTGAAAAGGGTTAAACAGAAAGAAATTGTTTGTCAATTAGTATTTGGATAAACAATGAGTGTTCAAAATATGGAAGGAAAAGAGTTGAGAGAAAACTGGAATTATGGCGAGTTTAGTGAAAAGGGGAAATAAGATGATACTAATTATTGTGATAGACACATATGTATGAACAACCCTTTTCAACAAATGACGGATCGAGATCAAGTAAATCACACAAAGTGATGAATACAAATAGACATATTGAAATGAGCAGAATTTATCTCGTTTCGAAGAAACTTTCGCCGGAAATGAACACTATATGACTGCAACCGGATTTTCAGAGGACTTACAATGTTGACGAAAGAAAGAGGAAGAAGAAGAAGAAAGGAAGAAAGGGAGAGAGAGAGAGAATATCTTTAAATATTTAAATAGGAATGTAGTGGGAAAGAAGACAAAGATCAACGGAAGTTGAAAAATGTCTTTTTGCTTCTCTTTTTTTTGCTGCTTGATTGTAATCAAGTAATCAGTTTGTAGAGCAACTGATTGATACAAAATTGTTTGAATGACGGTCAAAAGTATAGAGATAAATGCACAAAAAATGCTAAACCAATTATCCTCTTGAGGGATAAGGTATGTTTTACTTGTGAATTAAAGAGGCAAAGTGGTAGGTATTTGTCAAGCAAAACTAATTGTTAAAGATGAAAGTGAAAGATATTGATGATGTATTAATGATGCTAATGGTGAGATGACGTGCGACTAAAGTTTTAATTTTTTTTCAAAACTATGTTTTGTTTGGCTATTAACTGTTTTTGACCGTCATTACTGATGTAATTGACCAGATAATGGTAGTCAAGGTACACGGTTGTAAATAGAGCTGTTGAAATGTCCTGAGTATGAGTGTAGTTGATGTAAAAATGTGTAACACAGTAGGAAGGAAAAAAGAAATGAAATTTTTGAGTAAATCAGGATTTCCAGTTGTTGTGTTGTAGCAATAACTATTAATAGATATATATTTATATATCTTTTGATCAAGATTTAAATCTTGTAAAGTGTGCGTAAACAAAATGACGGAATCTTTGATTGCTTACCTATCACCGAAATGATTTTTCCAAAATTCAGCAGCATCGGATTTGGTTATACGATAATTTGATCCGGCAAAAAGTCCATCAGGAAAAATTGCTTTCAATTCTGACAACATGTGACTAAATACTAAACTTTGTTTAGTTAAATTCCTGCGACATGGACCAGTTTCATCAAACATTGCATCTTTCCCTTCCTTGAATAATCTAATTGTTTCTTTGCACTTTTTATTTAGATTATCGATATATACTCTGAAATATTCATTTTCATTTAAATAATTCATCCGATCCTCGTACTTATTGTAAATTAATCTAAGATGTTGGTATGTATCTGTGAGAAGAATAGAAAAAAAACATACAATGAATAGATTGAAATATAAAAGGTAAGGAGAAATGAGAATAAAGAGAGAAGAGATAAAGACTTGATGGTAATGGCAAAGAGATATAGCTAGAATGTTTTGGGTGAGAGGAGAAACATGAGATTATTATGAATGAAAAGGACATTCAACATGAAATTAACTGCAAAATGAAAGACAGACCAGGAGAGAATAATAGTAACAAGATCAGTTGATTAGAGTGGTTGAAGATTGGAAGAAGAGAGAATCAGGAGAAAGAGCAAAATGTATGTAAATAATAGATACTCTACCTGGAAGTATATCCAATATAAATGGAGGTGAATTTTTGAGAATAATTTTAGGATTGTTACACAATTTAACAACCTTGTTCATTAATTTCCATGTTTTCTCAACCGTCCTTTTATCTATGACCAATTTGGGTGATTGTGATATGGCCTCAGAGAAGGCTCCCTGAATTTTATTAAGAAGAGAGGTCATACCAAGCTAATGGTACACATACAGTCAAGAGATGTTGACAATGTTTGTCAGTCAAACAGTTAGCAGAACACAATTTAAAACAAGGTGAATCGGTAGATCGATGGTGAATTTATATTAAGAGAAATTAAATAATGGCAGAAAAGGGTCACCAAAACAAAGTATTGATCAGCAATAAAAGAGTAAAATAATTAAATAACATGAAATGAAAGATGAGAGACATAAACAGTTACAAAGAATTGTAACAACAGTCTTTTTGATATACACAAACCGGTTGGAGACAGATGATCAATATAAATAAAGATGGATAATTTGTAACATTCATGGTTATTCAGACAACTAATGACTGTATAAAAATTGACCAAATGAAGACAAAATATCAACTAAATTTAATTGGCTAAAGATTAACTAAATTTTGATTAAACAAGACATCATTAACACCATCTTTGGTTCAATTATTAAAACATTATGAAGCTTGAATCAGCTGGCCGAAGGTGGTGCTACTTTCAGCTTTAAAGCCTGTTTCCATGGAATCGCATTTGCATCCAATTTTTTGCTCAACTTTCACGTTTTAATTATTTATACAATTTAAAGTGGATCTTCAAATTACGAAAATTATGTAAATGTCTTTCTGTGAAACTCTTGTGATTTTTAACCAACCTAATTTGATTATCATTAAGTGAATACAGAACAAGAGTAAAATGTATTGCTCTAATCAATTGCTTATTTAGCAAAATTACCTATGAATGTTTATAAATCATGAACAATCCGTATCCATTGATCAACAAAATTTAAGTTGAGGAACGTCTCTTTATCGAGATTGTATAATATTTATGAAATATTATTATACTGCCTGCTACTTTCCTCCCCCACAATGAATAGATTGAAACAATTGGCTTGTTGTTATAGTAAAACTTGTGATAAAGGATTGATTTATTTTCGAGTCAAAAGTGATTCTATCGAAATTTTGCAAAATCCTCAAACATTTTACTCTAAATTACAGGTAAAGTATTTTTGTTAGTATTTTTTTTACTAATTTGCTACTGTTTTTCTTTATTCTAGAAATTGATTAGTCAAAGTAAAAAACGCGTAATTCTATCATCTTTGTATATTGGAACTGGTGAACTTGAAGAAAATTTGATAAATTCATTGCATAGTCGCTTGGAGGAAACAAAAGATCTCCGTGTCAGTATTTTGGTTGATTACAATAGAGGACAAAGATTGAAACAAAAGAATGACTTGGATTCATCAAGCAAAGGTTTACTTCGGAGTTTGGCTCACAAAGCAAACATATATTTTTTCCTATCTCCAGCATTCGGATCTTATTTTAAACGTTATTTCATTCTACCAATCCAATCAGTAAATGAAAGTTTATCCACGCAACACATAAAATGTTATATCGGCGATGATGATGTGATCTTATCTGGAGCCAATTTAAGTGAGGATTATTTTACTAACCGTCAAGACCGCTATATCTATGTACGAAATTGTAGAGAATTGTGTGATTATTTAGAGAAAATAGTAAACCTTGTTGGTAAATTTTCTTTCAAACTTAATAGTAGTGGTAATTTAACGATTGAGGACGAACGCAACTTTATTTTTCATGATTCCAATAAGTTTGGAACCATCTTTAAAGATAATCTTCAGAAAATCCAAGCAGGATATGAAAAATTGAGTCAGTTAGAAATGGAAAATACGCAAACATTAATCATCCCAACCATCCAGATGAATTATCTTCAAATCACCGAGGATTTCGATTTAACTAGAATATTGTTCAATTTAAGCCGCAAATTTTCAAAAACTAGTCACTTGGTTTCTGGATATTTCAACTTGACCAAAGAATATATTGATATATTAACACAGCCCAACTCTTCTTCAATATTGAATATACTTGCAGCTTCCGAGGAGGTCAATGGATTCTATCGAGCTGATGGACCCAAGAAATTGATACCTTCAATATATACCCAGAAGTCTCGAGACTTTCTTTCTTCTGTCCAAAAATCAACAGCAAATGTTAATTTTCAACTTTATCATAGAAAGAACTGGACATTTCACGCCAAAGGTTTTTGGACGCACTTAGACGATGGATCATACATTACAACCATTGGATCATCAAATTATGCTTGCAGATCAGTTGAGAGGGATTTAGAGATGCAATTTTTGGTAGCAACCGTGGATAAAAATTTAATCGATAAACTAGAAAATGAAAGAGCTCAATTATGGAGATTTGGTGCACCGATTAAAGATCAAAACGAATTACCTCAAGTGCCATTAACTGCAAGAATGCTATCAAAAACTCTAGGAAATTTTTTCTAATTATATTTAGTGGATAAAACTTTATCCAATTCAATTTAGATGAAATAAAATTTTAGTCTATTTGAGAGCCATAGTTTTATTTGTTTGAAACAGAGATCCGAAATAACATGAAATATTTAACCTGATAATAGTAATTACTGAATTAATTCTTAGCGAATCATTATAATATTAATGACCACTTTTCATCTTCAATCAGCCTTGTAAATCGATTAGATTCTTTAGTAATTACAGAGTGTGGCTTTTTCTTTCTTGCGACTTTCAATTCTTCAATTTTATTCTTCAAATCCAATCCTTTTTTGACAAATTTGTATTTAGCATAATTGATGCTCGCTTCTGTATAGATTGCTGCGATTTTGGAAAATATGTACATAAGCACGATAGCCAATAAACCGACGCATAGGACAACCACCAATGGATTTTCACTTTGGTACTTTAAAAATGAATATAAAACATTGTTAGTTTGATTTCTGATTTGATCGTTCTTCTTAATTTTTGGAGCAATACTTGGTGGTGATACTGGTGATGGGATATTGATTGTTTTAATTAATTTACCATTGCAAGTATAGTTCCCATTATCATGGTGACTCAATGGACCCCTAATAATTAGATCATCTTTAACAAATATTACGTGATCATAATCAACATATATCGGTTTTCCATCTTTAAGCCATTCTATTGTTTTATTTACACCGATCTTACAAAATAACCGCATTTACAACCAAACAAAGATATTTAAATACCAACCTAATTTAAGAAACTAATTCAAGAAAAAACATCAAACTACTGGTGATATTTGAGGATTTTATAATCAGATTCTGCAAGGATTTCTTTGTTATTGTAGTACAATATCCTTAAACTTTTTACAATCAACTGCTTGTGGGTCAAGACTGTGGATTTCGGACAACGTTAATTTTATTATTCAACCGATATCATGCGTTTATTTGGAATCTACTTGGTACTTGAAAATTCCTCAGAAAATCCACTCAATTTGTTCGAGATTAACCATAAAGGTCTGATTGATTGATTGAAGATCAAAACGAGTTACCTCAAGCTCCATAAGCTGCAAGAATATCAATAACTTAAGAAGATTTTTCGAATCGTCTGTTGCTCTATATAAATACGCCAATCAATGCCTTTGTTATTTGTTAATTATTAATTGGTAATGTTAACCATCGTTGTATATAAACACTTTTTTACACTTTAACTAAAAGGCTACTGCGTGTTAATTAAAACTACGTTACATAAATCAATCGTAATGTGAATTTTCAGCAACAATTGATTTTAATTTATTTTCTAATGAAAAGATTTTCATATGAAACAATCATTAAATATATGATAGAGACTTCCACAAGTACTGATATTAACTTATTTTTACATCATCAGGATGAATAAATAATTAAAATTGATGAAGATTGTCTCTAGCATTGGCTTAAGAATGGTTGAAAAAGATTAGACTAACAATACTTTTTGTAAAACATGAATTGTTACAATTTTGAAATATGAATTATTGAATCTCTATGAATTCTTTATATTATTTTTTATTAAATGAATCGCCATTATTAATCATTCCCTCTTTACCAGTTTTTATGATGAAAATAAAATTGTATTTCCCTCCATGTTGATCTATCTCCTCCTCTTCTTTTGTCTTGTAAACAGTTCTCCAAGTGTTTACCAAATAAAATTTCATATCACATCAACGTTTTATTACTCTGATTAAATATCTTCTGTTTTAAATTGTTCTTTTCTTTGTGAACTGTGACTTCGCCTTATTCAAGGTGAAACAAGTTTAAATTAATGAAAATGACAAAATCAGGCAACATTGAAGTTAAAACAATTCCTTTTACTGAAGAGTCTTTCAAGATGTTCAAGAAAGCCATGAGAAACTCATGTACTCCTACTGCTTTGGAAGTCTTTGATTTTGATTATGCTTTTAAATTAACTAAAAAGGCTAAAGTATCTCCTTATGCATTTATGTTGTCCTTAATTTACATCGAAAGAGTCCGTCAACAGTCCCCCGATTATTTTAGGAAAGTCTCGCCCTGTGACCTGTTCTTAGTTTCATTGGTAAGTCATCATTATGTTTATATTTTCAATTTCAGGATTTCTCTCCATCTCAACCCATTTACAATTTGTTCCTCCTCTGTTCCACTACGTAACATGATACGAGCGTCTCAGGATGGGTTAAGGATGTAATTCTAACACAATAAAATTTACCTAACCAGTTGATATTTTTGCATTGCTCACCATTAACATTTTATTTCTTATTTTTATATTTTTACAGATGGCTGCATCCAAGGTACTGATTGATGAAGGAGAAGATGAAGAAATTAAAAATGATCGTTGGGCCACTATTGCTCAGTTAAAACTACGTTATATAAATCAATTGGAACGTGAATTTTTATCAGCAATTGATTGGAACTTATTCGTACACCAAAAGATTTTCTATGAAACAATGGTCAACATTATAGTCACTATAATTAGAAACGAATGTAGGAAAAGATGTTGGAATGGATTAACATACAATGAAATTATGGTCCTACTTGAATATGATGAGAAATTTAAACAAGTCTGTTTATTGGTCTATCAATATATGGTTAAAGTCATGTTGGTGTTTTCTCTCACATATTCAGCCATAATTCTCAGCGTACTTTCCACCGAACAGAGCTTACCTAACTGACAATCATTGTGTTTATAGCTTATCTTTTCATCTTGTCTCCATGCTTGTAAAGGGGTAAAGTTATTTGATGTTTTTCAATGTTTCATTTCCCAAGTCAATAATCTAAACTAATACTCGAACATGACAATTGTCATGGGTTGGAACTATTCTACAGCATTCTTACCGGTCAACAAATCTTTAATTATGAAAGATCCTTTAAGTAAACCCCTTTCAATCAACATCCAATCCGAATTGGGCATCAATTAACATTTCTTTCTAACGATCAACTGGTGTAACAAAATTTGTATTTGAAACATTTTGATCAACATTTAATAACTTGCACATTGTAAATCCCTAATTTTGTTGTAAATTTAATCTCAATTGCTTCTCGACTTTAAAAAGGCTGAGAATTGGAAAATGGACTTTTTCGCCAAGATTAAATAAAAGATTGAATATTTTACAAGCGTATTAAAGTTCAATTGAACAATCATCCAAAATTCGACTATTTGATCATTTCAAGTCATTGTGGTTTTATAATCGCGCAGCATTTCTCTTCAGTTGAACATTTGCACATTAAATCGATCTTCTGTGCTCACTAAAGATTAAAATGAATTCTCCAAGAATAATTTATTTTACAATTATGCCCAATTTAGGGTTCAAATTTTTGCATATTATCATTATCTATGTACGTAATCAGGATGGAAAATATTTAACGTAGCCTTATTTGTCTTTAGTTCACTGATGTTTGCTGGAATTGTTGACTCAATCCAGTAACAAATGTTCCTCTTTCCGTTGGTAATTGGTTTAGTCCGGGATTTATTGGGTCAACAGATAAGTTATCATTCGTGACCAAATAAATGACCAAAATTAAAAACAAAATTGCAATCAAGATTGATGATAAAACCCAAGGAAACAAAATAACATGGAAAAACGTTTCAGTTTTAAAATCACTTTTAGAGGGATTGGTAGCAGAATCAGCTGTAAATAATTATAATTTTAGATTTTTGATTGACCAATAAATTAAAGTAAAATTTAAACTTACCAATTAAAATATAAAGAGTTAAAAATATTTGAGCCACAGCTAAAAATGAGACATTACAAAGGGCAACAGCTAAAAGAAGGTAACGGTTCCGTTTTTTCTTAAAATACTCTGAACCGAGAGAACCGAAGATGTGAAAAATTGCCGCTAAACCCATTATCTGAAGGTGAGCTTTAGCTTCGTAAAATATTGATATCATTCCGATAATAAAAGAGATGAAACCTAAAATAGATGCACAATGATTGAGGAAGGTAATCTCCTTGTAAAGAAAATTGGTCACCTTATTTCGTTTAATAATAGAATACAATGGATCATCTTGAATGTTAAAATTACTCGATAGTTTGTCCTTTAAAGCTTTGATGCCCATTATCATCCAATCTTTACCTAGAGTTTTCAATTTTGATTGTCTTCGACGGAAGGAAAGATTTTCTCTCCTACTAAATAAGAGTTAAATTCAAAGAGTAAAGAAGTCTTCTTTACTCTTTGGTTAAATTGCAAGGGTGAATGGATGAAAATACATTGTAAATAGTATCCTATTAGTAATTTGAACAATTCACTTATTTGTTTAACAAAAACATTCATTTTATTAAGTTAAATTTTAGATTTAGACTTTTTTCGGTTACCAGTTGGAGGACCAACCTCATTAGGATTGCGTCGATTATGTTGGGCCACATTTTGCTGCTTAGTGAATCGAGATGCACGACTGTAAACATCTTTCATGGCAAAAGGGTTAGATCTACATACATAATCAGGATCAGAGAGAATTGTTTGTAAATTTAAAGCCTTCTTTTCTTCATAAGTCATTTTTGATGCTCTGTTCTGGGGAAGCCTCTGGTCTTCAAACAGGATAGGGTCGTTTGAATGTTTCCCTCCTTTGGGCATAGGTAATGAGTAACGTGTACCTCGGGTACTGATTTGTTTTTTAAAGTTAATCTGAATCACCTTTTCTCCTTTATCGTTAACAATGACAGACACCTTTCTAAGAGTTCCAAGATTACCACAAGCTGGACAAAACTTCTTATCCATCCTTGTCGTTGTTTTAAAGCAAGCATGACATCTTAATACGAATTGTCGCGCTTGTTTAATCATTAAACCTTTGACAGAGGCAACTTTCAAGCCCATCTGAATAAGAACATTTTGTATGGCGAAATCTGATGTCATACAAGCTACAGGACATTTTTCTTCTTCTAACAATAGATTTTTCATCTTTTCCTCGGCTTCTGCTAAATTCTTCGGAGTTATCCACGTATCAGGCTCGTCATCTTCATCAACGTTATCTTCAGTTTCTCTATTATTGCTGTCTTTATCATCTTCATCGAAATTTTCTTGTTTGCTATCATCCCCATTGTTTAACTCCGTATCACCATCATTTTCGGTGTGATCTTCATTGTTGTCTTCTGCATCTTTATTCTTTTTTGGATTGAAAAATCCAGGTAATTTTACAGGTCCACCTTGTTCAATTATGACTCTTTGATCAGCAACAACGACTTTAGGTTCGGTCTTGAGATGATCAACATTACCACCATGGGCTTCTCTATCAAGTGAATAGGTTAGAGCGATTAATTTCAAATCAACGCCTGATAAACTTGCATAATCTCCAGTTTTACGACTAAATTGTGTGACTACTTTACAATCTTCTGGTTCAGCTTGTCGGAATTGAATTTCATAAGGTAAACAAGTAAGCCTTTCACGAGTTTGTTTGTCTTTTATTTCATAAATAACTTCAGGAATAGTCACAATGTTTTCAGCTAGTTCATGAATATCAGATCCATTGATGAAGCCAGAAGAGTCAACAATCAGCCACTTAAACTTTTTCTCCATTTTAACACTAAGATTTGTTTAAATTTAAACAAAACACAATAACAAATAATAAAATTAAATTATATTTAAACCAGCATTGAGTGCACAGGTTATAGAAAAAAAGACTTGAAAATTGTCACATGGCCCCTACACTTGCTTGTGATGGAATGTATTTTAAGTGCAACTTGTTTTTGTTTACATATTTTCAAACCAAATATCAATGAGTTTTCAACCGATTTTATTCAATTGTTAGAGTAATCAACTGAATTTTAACTCGTAAAGACTTCGTCTACTTCTTTTAATGTGAAAATTGAAGGTAGGTGTAGCTCAAAATATATAAATTTACCCGAAAAATAACTTAATCATTTTCTTTTTTATGCTGTATTGATTTGTACCAATAGTCACACACCGTTATTAATTTATTATTGAGCTTGATTTGGGATCACCCTTTAATTATTAAAATGGCCAAAGAAGAGAGCGATTTGGATAAAGCGATGGAGATACTTTATGACATTGAAAAGGTCGGAGAAAAGATAATCATTGACAAAGAGTTGATTATTGATTTTGATCGCAGACGGAATAAGAATAGAGAAGCACTTAGGTATGTTTAGATCTGAAAAGGTAGGTATTATTGAGATAAATCGGGTAATAATTTAATGTTTGTACAATCCATTTAACTTAGATCGATTCAACAAAAAAAACCCGAAAAAGTCTGGCTTTGTTTTGGAAATATGTTTGTTCGGGCTTATACAGACAAAGCTAAAGAGATAATTGAGAAAGGTATTTATTTTTACTTAATACCGTCATGATTATAATGAAATAAATTGTCTAATTATGTTTTACGATTTTTTTCTAGATCAAGCTCATTTAGATACAAATATTAACGCGTTGAGAGATTCAATCAAGGAAAATTACAATGATTTAAAGCGAATAGAGGGCAAAGAAACTGATGATTCTTTCAAACTGAAGGCGCTTAATAGCAAAGAGGTTGAAGCTTTAAGTGACTTATTACCAAAAGTTGTATTATAAATATTGAATCAATCCTGTTTAATTGATTGTATAAATGATTAAAAAAACTAGGAAAGAGTAATTTTCTTTCTTAACAAAACGCTTTTTTAATTTAAATAATACAGAAATTCTTTGCAGATTTATTCTATATAATTTCACAATCAAGGAAAAAAATCAAAATAATCATGCCGAAGTTATTATTTTTTACGACCCTTGCCTTTATCACTGGAAGATGCAACTGTGACAGAAGCGGAAACTGATTTTGTTGCAACTTTTTTATCAGCGGCAGCCTTAGTTTTAGCTTCTTCTTTGATTCGCTTTTCCTCTTCTCGTTTCTTTGCAGCTTCTTCTCTTTGTTTTTTAATCACAGCCAATCGTGCCAAGTCTTCACGGGCTTGTTCAGTTTTACCCTCCATTGTTAGTTTAGCATAATGTTCACGGGCTAACTGCTTCTCAAGCTCTTCTCGTTCACGTCGTGATAGCTCGACCTTAGCGTTAGCCAAGCTCTCTAGATCTTTCTTGTTTGGCTTTTTAACCAGTCGATTAGGATTATTCACTTCAATCAATGGTTCAGTAGTTTTTTTAGCATCGTCTCCGCCTTCAGCTGCGCCTTCTTCTTCGCTTGACGTTTCTTCCTCCGAATCACTTTCCTCTTCCTCTTCAGAGCTACTTTCAATTTCACCGCGACGTTTTCTCCATTCTCTCTCTTTTTCTTCTTTCTCTTGTTTAGCAACCATGTCCTGAGGATTTGTGAATTGACGACGTCCTCCTTTGTGTGTTCGTCCTTTACCTGAATAGTTAAATAGGATAAAACACAAGAAAGATGCAATTTTTGATGATCAAATAAATAACAGAATATAAAAAATAACAGAACAACTTATTTGACATGACTCGTAATTTACTTACCCATGATTAATAGTAAATAATAAAAATTTGTTCGATAAATTACTTAAACAGTAGAAATAATTAATTTGGAATAAGTGAATTTAAGTTAGTGAGTTCACTTTTTATTCAGCTGCAAACAAAAAATCAGTTTACGGAGTAACTCTATGTAACAGTGACTATTGCTGCCATGTTGGTGTTGGGAAGGGTCCAGTACTGAAGTGTTAGTTGTATTTATTGAAACTAGATGGCAAAGCATAATATTTTTTTTACAAAATTTCAGTCAACAAATCAGCAATTTAATAAGAATAAATTTGAATTTTGATTAAACAGCGATTTACATGTTGAATAGGACCAACCAAAATAGTTTAAGTCAGAACCATCCTTGCATTAGTCGATGACAAGAAATCTGGTTAATTTTTGATGACTTCCAATATTTTTCATAAAAAAATTCTACAAATTATTATGAAAACTAACAAGGGAAGGTTCTATTGAGTTGCGAATCGTATGCTCGGGTATGCTTATTATTTCAGTAATAAGCTATGAATTTACCAAGTTTGAAAAAATCTGACTCTGCGATCTGAGAACCTTCCCTTGTAAGATTTAATTGCAAATGCGGTAACAGTCTAGTTACACGGACACAAGGCGTAACTAGCAAGACTTTTAAATCAGTAACCAATCAAGACAATCTGTTTGAATTTAATATCAATCAATTAAATGTAAAAATTGAGAATAATTCAATAGAGATAGATATTAAAGCTAATTCTGAAGCGGCTTGCTGGTCAATTTGTTTGTCCACTAATTCAACAATTGAATATTAGCCAAAACATCATTGTTATGTAAAAATTATTAAAACACATGAGTGCCTTTACTGCGATTGGTTTAAATCCTGTGTTAAATTAACGCTCCTCCTTGTGTCCGTGTAACTAGACTGTTACCGAAAAATTAAATAATTTGAAAAAAGCAAGGAGATCAATTTGAAAATCAGACAATTTTTATTGATCTGATAATTTTTCTTTAAATTAATACAAACAGTCCATTACTATGGTACTGATAATAGAAGGCGACATCATTATGATCTAATGACGACTTTAACATATGATGGTCAAGAACAAAAATACGTCGATTAAACTGTTTTAGCGATTATACCATCCTTTTTAGCTAACCTTAAAATACAATCATCTGATTCACCCATTCGTCTAAGATCACCGCAAATGGCATAAGAAGTGGTTGAATTGGGGATCATCATACCATCTTCATCGACATCAGCAATGTTGATTTGGATTGAAGCATGATCCTTAGCATGAATAATCCGGTTTGACGATGAGCTGGATAAAACAAATCAGAAAATCATTAGCACACAATACTTTAACTTCACGAGATGAAGGAAAGAACAAAAAGGTATAGAAAATAAAAAGTACGTACCATTTTCTTGGGATGTAAAGATCAACACATTCACCTTGGTCGTTTTGCATCTTGACTAAATTTAGTTTTATTGATTGTTAATCAAAATAATTTACTATAAATAATTAATTTTAACTTACAGTAAACCCGAAATCAACAAAAAAACAGAAATATTGAAAAGTCAAGAACTTCCAGTTCCGGTTAAAATCTGAAAACACAGCACGCCCTCTAATGAGAGTAATTGTTACTGAATCAAACCGGGAGTTTTGATGAGCTCGTGACTAAAAGTTTATCCAATCAATAATAAAACGAAAATAAATTTCTTTGTAATAAGATTGAATTGTATTTGATGTTATTTAAGCAATTTATTAATTTCAAAAAACTTAGTGAAATGTAAGTAAAATGGCGATGAATGCAACATGACAAAGGAACGAAGATTAAATATTAACAGATCGAGTTTTTAAGATTCATTGTTTTTTACATGACACAAATTGATAAGACTTTGATGACAAAAATTTATAATGAAATTTTCAATGACTCGTTGCGGGATCATTGAACTATTCAATGAAATCGTCGATAAAAGAGCCAGATTTTTTAAAAAAAAACTTTATTATGAGCATATCAACAACTAACATGAATATATGTGAATATATCAGTTTTATACTTTAACTTGACGATTTAATCCGTAAAGCATATTTTTGGCTACACCTAAACTTTCCGAGCAAAATCGGGACTTGAGATGGTGGAAATTTGTTCATCGATGTACTTAAGAAGGGTCATGTGAAGGTTCAAAATTTTACCAATTGAAGCTAAAGGATCATTAACATCTTTTATCGTGTTGATGGAATTAAATTGTTCAATGATTACTTGAATATCCAGTGCAATCCCTTGTAAATCATTATTTACAGACTCTATAGAGTTGTAAAATTTATCTTTCTCAGAGATAGCTTCACCTTCCATCAATTTTAATTTTTCGGCTTCTAAAGGCTTGATTAGTTCTTCCAGTTCAGCTTGTTGTGATTGAATGAAATCGATCTGATTGTTTATTTTAGCAGTTTCTGACTTGAGTTGATCCAATTTTTCATTAGTTTGAGATAATTTGTGAGCATTATTAATCAAGATTGAGTCCCACACATTAATATTCTCAGCTTGCTCATGGAAATCGTTTTCTAAGCTAGTAAATTCATCCAACCATCTGTTGATGGTATCTTCCAATTTTGCAAAGGTCATTTTTTCAGGTCCAGCTTTCATCTGAGGCATAAGTGAAGATGTGTTAGCAGCAGTTGTTGCAGGTTTAGCGGCGAGCGGAAATGTGAAGGTATTTGTTGCCGGAGTTGTTGATGAAGACAGAGGTAATACATTTGTTGAAGTGCTGAAAAAAACAACATAACTTCATTAGCACAAAGACCAGAACAAAGAAATTTAATGGATGATTAAGTACAAACCTTTTCCCGGCAAGGTCAACAGCTTCTCCTTGATTAGTTTGCATATTTGACGAATTTGACACTAATTGTCCGACAATGAAAACAATTTAACAAATTGGCTATAAAATAATACCAAAAGCACAGTTGTTTCAGATCACAAACATGAGCTTTCAATTTCAATTTTTCAAAAATATTGAGTAACGAGCCTACTGCCCTCTGACGGTATTGATTGATACTCGATCCAACCGGGGCCTTTGATTAAGAATACTTTCTCTGAGCTTTGATTGTTGAATTGATATAGAAAGTTCATATTTGCAGTATTTTTATATTATAATATTTGATCTTAATTATTGAACGTAAAGTTAATTGTACAATTAAATAATGTTTTTCAGCTTTCATCAGTTTTTCACATAAATATATTGTTTATAATAGTGTTAAGCAAAATGTTTATGTTCGTAAATAATCATTTTTAGAACCGTTGAAGTACAGTTAGAGATTAAATAATAATTATTCACAGATTCTTGAGCTTGAGAACAAAATATGATGAAAAATGAAATATGCGATAAAGTAAGACTATAATTGTATTCAAAGAAGAAAATCCCTGCAACGAATGAATTATTGAGATTTATATAAAAGCTGTTTATTTTGAGAAGATACATTTTTGACTTTAACGTCATATTTAATCAATTGTACATGTTTGAATAGACGCATATATGTATATCCTTTGAAATTTGATTGAACATTTGTTACCAATCGACTGTTTTTACTCTTAAAATCTGTTGTTATTAGCAGATTACTTTATACTTTATGAGATTATTTCTTGTTCAATTATAGACTTTTCAGATAATTCTGCAATCCATAATCTATGGAGTCGTGTATTGAAGCATTGATGGTCCTGATGTCAGATTATTTGTTAAATTTGAGTGAGGAGTTGAATTGATTCTAGTTAATGCAGAAAAATTTTTATTATACCAATCATCTGAATTTGAATTTGAGCCCATCGAGGTAACTGTTCCTGTACCTGTACCCATTGTAAAATGTTGACTTGGACTCATATGGTAATTTGTTGTTGTTCCTGTCAGGGAAACTGAAGATGGTGATGATGTGTCTTTAAATCCATTACCATTATATTGATGATGACCATGATGATGAGTTAAATAATTACGAGACAATGGATGTTGATGATGGTGATGATGATTCAATACAGGATGATGAGTTGCTCCTGTTGCTTGATAAATGTTTCTCATTAAAGTGCCATTACATGAAGGTAAAACACTTGCACTTGGTCCTGATAATGCTTTTTGTAATTGTTTCTCTTGTTTACGAAATTTAGCTCGACGATTTTGAAACCAAACCTGTATTCGAGCCTCATTTAATTTAGTTATTCTTGCCAATTCTTCACGACAATAAATATCAGGATAATGACTTTTATTAAAAGCAGATTCTAATTCAGTTAATTGTTCCTGTGTAAATGTTGTTCGATGTCTTCTACGAGCTGGTGTTGGTGGACAATTTGGTGTTGGAGTTGAATTATTTGTTCCTGTTCCTGTTCCACTTGTACCAGTAGTTCCTGTACCAGTTGTAGTTGGAGTTATTGTAGATAAAGCTGAAGACAATGAAGATGCTAGTGAAGATGATGATGATGAGGTTAATCCTGGTTCGACTTTTAACTTTTTAAATGCTCCTTCAACTGAGACACCAACACCTAAACATATTAATAATAACAATAATAAATAGGAAGAAAAAAGATAATGAAAATGATGAAAAATAATGAAATGAAATAAAAATTCAAGGTTAATTCAATAATATTGTTTGCTATACAGATATATAATCAATTAGTTCCAGTCAATTAACTATTGTAACTATCAATTACTCTATTACCTTTACACAGATTAATCAATGAATTTGATTCACCTTTTAAATGTTAATAATAATAAACAAAATTAATGTACCAATAGTTGAGTAACTCAACAGTAAACTACAGAAGTAAAATATTTGTAAACATATGATAATATCTTTAAGTATCAGATCTTATAACTTGGACTAACAAGTAACTTAAAAGTACCAAACAATGGGCGCATCTAAAATTGGTGATTTCAGTTCAAATATCAATTTCAAAACAACTCTGAATGTCTGGTCTGGCAGCCTGACTTATTAAGTACCAACAAAGTATCAATGATCTTGAAAATGGGTGAATTCAGGTTCAAGCCTGTATTCACATCCATGAAGGTCTTGATTCATAAAGTATAAAAATGAAAGTAAATGACAAAAGTTTCAAACAGATGACAAAAGAAAGAGCTTTGTATATAAAATAATCTGTTGATTGAAACTGGTGTTGGCTTAGGTTAGGTTACGTTATGTTACTTCACTTTTTTTAGATTCAATTTTTTCACTTTTCTCACAAAAATGCCAATTTTTAAATTAAAGTCAAATAATATTGAAATAAAGGTTCAAGGTAAAGATTGCAATGAGAAAGACATGTTAAGCTAAATTTAGAAACCAGGACTGATGGTAAAAACATGTTAACCAAGTGACAATTGACTAAATATTATCATATCAATAGTTGTGACTAAATTTTTCTCTCAAATTACAATTAAGTCTACATTGGACTAAATAATGAGCAAAAAAGATGAGACAAAATGAATGTAAAATCAGCAAGACTTGATAAAAAATAGGCTTAAGAGTCGGGATCTTTGAATAGCACTTTTCATCCACATTGTGATGAAGAGAGGAAAAGGTTTATCATCATCAATAACAATAATCTGAGTCTAAGCTTAAACATCAATTCAACATTGACTAACATTGTAATGTACATAAAAAAAGCTCACAGATTGAGCCTTTAAGAGGAGTGAAGATGGATTAATTGTTTAGGATTTTGTTTGAATGAACAAGATTTAGTTTAATCTTACTCGACCTCACACTGATCTTAATCAATACATTACAATGATCAACCAACATTGAACAGTTGAGAGTGTAATTCATTCATTTTTTACATTCAGATCAAGTTGTCTGTTGAAGCAACTCAATAAGTCAAGTGTAATAGCAGCTAATCAACAATGTAAGATGTTACTTGTATCAATCAAATTTAATCAGATCAAAGTGAAACCAGACACGTGTTAATCAGTAGGATAATAATTAACAATTTGATGGTTTCATTGGCAAAGGTTGTTATTGATTATTTCAATGTTTAGGTTACCAGATCATTGACATTAAATGTGATAATTGATTCAAACACTTGAAACATTTTAATCCTTTCAGTTGAATAATCATGATTTAATCACTTGAGTTTATATGTGTTCATTGAAACAATTCAAAATCACTTTGAACAACTGATTATCATTGAAATGATTTTCAACTAACAGTTGATATTTAAATAATCAATATTGGTTGAAGGATGAAATGATAATTTACTCGTTTTAAAAGCAATTTAACTATTCAACCATTTTCATCGCCAATTTACATATTTATTAGTGTGAAAATGGAATATAACAATTTGAAGAATTAAATGAAATTGTTCAAATTATGATGATTTGAATGATAAAATGTTGAGATTAGTTGTTCACAGTTTGATTAATGTTAAGGTTAATTTGATGGGAACTTGATTGGTTATATTAAAGATGAAATTTAATGTCGTTGATTGATTCATTGAATCAATCACAATATTGAATATGTAAATAACAAAGGGATTTGTTTACATTTCAATTGACATTTTGTATTCAATGTAAAGAAACATTCAATTATTGAAACAATTTGTTTCTTCATTTGTAAATTTGAATCATTAATTTACTTACCAAATGAGTGATTAAGATGATGATTTAGATGATGATGATTATGATGATTAAGTTCAATAGCAGTTACTGTAGAGTCCATTTGTATTGTCTTGTTAACCTTTGATGTTGACCTTTTCTTGTTATTCTTGTTATTCTTGGCTTATATTGAAGTTAGACATTCAATGGTTAATAGATGATGATGTTGATGAAGTTGATTGAAATTTGATAATTGTTTAATTTGATTAGATTTAACTGTGAAACTTGAAATTAAATTGTGTTATTAATTGATTGAAAATAAAGTTAAAATGTCCGATTGATCAGGTTGATTGGTTTGATCATGACAACAAACACCAGTTTTATCACAGTAAATAGCTTCACAACAACAAGCATAATAATCATAATAATAATGGATTGTGATGAAGAAGAAGACCATCAGAAGAAGATGATGATGAAGAAAGAAGGATGATAATGATGATGGAGATGAAGATAGGGTTTGTATTGAGTTATAGGTTGATGATGAAGATGATGATGAAGATAGATGTTAAAGAAAGAAGGAAAGAAAGAATGAAAGAAAGAGATTCTTAAAGAGAGTTACAAGACTTACTTTGAGTCTAACCAAGTCTTGTTGACTCGTGCTAAGCCTTGCACTAGTTAAGTCAAGACTCAGCCTACTTTGGCTTCCATTGGTTACAGTGATGATCATCTTGATCAGTGAGTCTGAAGGAAGATAAAGAGAGTTGAAGAGAGACTGTAGATTGAGGATCAAGTGATGATAAAATGATGATCAATTCACTCCCACTGAAGTTGTGATTGGATAAACTGACTCGTTATACAAAGTATCGTTAAACAGATGAACATGAAAATCAATAAAAAGGTTTTCACAAGAAGCATCCGTAATGATGAAGATGAAGAGCAAGAAAAAAAAAGGTGAAAGAGGAAGATGATGAACATCCAAAAAAAAGGTTGAATCCATTGAATATATTTGATCAACTTTTCTTGTTCCTTCAACTTTCAATGTCTAACCTAGTTTTATCATCTTCATCATCTTCATCCCCATGAATTATAGGCTGCGAATGAACCAGAATAATCATTTTGTCTCTCTATATACTTTGATATTATATAAATTACAGTTTATTTTATATCATTTTGCCTTGATCTGATTTTATCAATGTTTTTTAATCGTAATCACAAAAATGATACATTTTTTTACATTTTTTGACGTTTCTGTTTACCAACATTTTGTTTACCTTTTTTCCTGGTTCTTGTTGTTTTTAAAATCATATCTTGTCTTCATTCACTTTTCATTTACATTTACATTTGTTTTCAATTGAATGTCATTTTAACCCATTTTCCAGTTCGCCATACAAACCATATTATATTCAAGATCAACTTAATTAACTTGATTAATAACATTTAATAGCTATTGAGTGAAACCCAATTTTACCCATTAAATAAATTTATATTATTTATCTTCAAGTCTAGACTTTTTTGTCTCTCACCTTTTTTTGCCAGGTTTACAGATATATATATAAATATATTTGGGTTAACTGTAACTGTAAATTAAGTTAACCTCAAAGTAAATTAAAAAAAGACAACAAATTATCAAGTTGATCAGTTTAACTTTACTTTTATCTTGCAAGACAAATCAAATTAATCCAATTGATAGGAATCAAGTTATGTTTCAAATGTGTTACAATTAATATAATATCAAAGGTACTGGGAGTAATTTAATTGATAGTACATTGAAAAGCTAAAAAAAGGCGATTCATTTAAAACTAGAAACATTGTATTTCAATATCAACACTTAACCATTTGATTCAATTGATTAACAAAATCAAGTTATTAATAATAAAATTGTCACTTTACAATCAAATCAATTTGTCAACGCTCACTTAACATACAATTCATTTAACATTTTAATTGCCATAACGTTTCAATCTGCTTAATCAAAAACATTTTCACAATAAATTTCATCTTTTATCGCATTCACTTCGAATTTAAAATGCAATTTTCTGGTCAATTTTTGGTATTTCATCAAAATTGGGTTCAAATTTTGGTTTCTTTGAATTGATTTAGTTCCAACCTTAAACACCTTTGATTGTCAATGGATTAGCCATTGGATTAGAGTTAAATATGAACAGAAAAATGGATGAATAAAGAGAAAAAAACTCTCTGGAAATAGTTTTGATCAATGATTCTGTTGTATTCATGATGTTACTGATGATGATGAGTTTTTTGTTCAACTCTTCTCTATTCATTCCTTGTTACATGCATGATAATCATGATAATGTTAAACTGAATGAGCTTACCAAAGCAGATGAAAAGGCTTGAGTAAAATGATGTTCATCAGATGAAGACAAGAAGAATGGTAAAAGATGAAAAAAGACTAAAGTCAACCTGTATCTATAGGGAATGATAAGATGAGGAAAATGATGAAGATGATGATAATGTATTATCATCTCGTTTAGCTTTCAACTTTCAATAAGAACGACCTTTGAATATTATAGAGAGTTTCTTATAATTGACTTACCTTCACTAATGTTAATGGACTTTGGCCAGCATCAGAGAGCATCTTCCTCATCTTTTATCATCTTTTTCCACTTTCACCGTCTTTACCTTCTTACCCTCACTTTATCATCTCTTTTTATCCTCCTCTTATCATCGTTAACTTTTATCATTCAAATGCATTTCTGTTTCCCTTCCCTGTTTCACTTGATTCTGGTTGAATCATGAACTCAATCAGAATGACAATGATTCATTTTCAACCTTTTTTCCTCTTCTTCTTCTTCTTCTTCTTCTTCTTCTTCTTCTTCTTCTGGTTTTTGTTATTCCTTGTCACTATTTTACCTTATTAATAGGTAAACTTTCACTTGACTGACAATTGAAATGATTTACATTTATTATGTTGAAACAATTAAAAAGTGTTTCATTTTTCTTCTTCTTTGCTTTTCACCTTTTTCATCGTTTTTTCAATGTAAGAATCAAAATGACAAACTTTATTTTAATTGTAGCGTTGAGTTGTTGAAGTTTGGTTAAGTGTTAACATCAAATCTCATCTCTTAATCAACTTAGCCAGCTTTCAACATCAAACCTCTTTTGCAGTTCAACTTGTCCTCATCATAATCAAGGGACTAAAGTAATCTTTTTGTTCAATACAAAAGGCTCTTGAGATGATGAGGAGGAGGAGATGAGGAATGGTAAAAAGATGATGACATTTGATCACACTAGAGAGTAAGAAAGAAGATTAATGAACAATTGAATAGATGAGGATGATCAGGTTAGACAGAGGAAAGACAGTTAAGGAGTGAGTTAACTTAATATACAATTTGTATTCATTTTTATCATTTAAAACCAACAAAATTGCAAGTGAAAACAAAGAACCAATTGATGAAACAATTAAACATGATAATCATTTAACCAACAAACAAATTGACCTTCAGACCAAAACAAATTTTTAATCAAAACAATGTATCGACAATATTTAACGATACTATCGATAAAATGAAAAACCTTTACAAAAATTACAAAAACCTAAAATCATTTTAACCTTTCATCTTCAATTGTATTCAAAGATTATCTCAAAGCTTCCAGAATAGATTAAGTTTATTAATTATTAATATGAATTAATAAAATAAAATTAATTTCCAACCAAATTGAGCAAAAATTGTCATTCAAGGTTTGAAGAAGCTTTTGACCAGAATAGTTACATTAGAGGAAATTTTTCGACTCTTTGCCTTCACCATTTACCATTGAAAGGGTAAGTTAATTTTAGATTGAATTTTACTCTGAATTTGCTGTTTACTCAGAGATTCCGATTTTCAAGTCAAGAAATGAACAGACTTTTCATCTTTTCATGCCTTTATGAATTTCAACATTAAAGTGGAAAAAGCTTTTTGACCAAAAAACATTTCAAGTTACTAATAATGAATTGTTTGATGCGTTTCATTGAAATACAAGATGAGGAGTTGAAAAACAGGGAACAGTAAATTTGATTGAAATGTAGATTGAAGACTCACTTTTCATCAATTTGTATCTTCATCTCTTCATTATCATCATCTAGTGGTTATGGAAGTAGGAAAAGATGATAATGAACAGAAGAAACCAGGAAAAGGATGAAAAACCTTAGGAGGTCGCATTGAAAGTAAAATTTACTTTCTCCTGTTTCCATCAATATTCATATTAATAAAGATAGACCCAGTTTTATCCTCACCATTGTCATCATTTTGCTTCATCTTCCTCATCATCTCTTCAACTTGCTGAATTGGCTTACAATTGACTATTAAATCTCTCTGTTGATACATTTTCACTCTCAACTCTCAACCTTTCATAAGATCAACAGAAGTAATACAAAATGTTGAGTTTTGTATTACTTCAACTTATCATTGGCGTCTCTTTTAAATAACAAGTTACAATGATTACAATAAATGGTCACAATAAACAAGTGATATCATTGATAATCAACTTGATAACATCTTAAAAATTGTTACAATTCTTGACTTTTATTTACCTTCCATTCATCTAACTTGATACACTTTGATTGTCAAGAGTCTGTACAAATCCATTTGTATTGCTGTTATTATTATCATTTATTAAACAATATTGAATTTGGTAATTTTATTTCCTTTTTTTATTATCATCGTTATTATTGAATAATAATAAAAATAATATAATGGGAATGAAAGGTGAAAAAACAATAACATTAATAGCTTTTTTATCCTGTTTTTTAGGTTCAATTTTGTGTTGACTTTAATTAATGAAAGTTAATTGATTTCTGGTTTTGTCATGATTATTACAATAGTAACACAGTTTCATTAACCAATTAGTATTTATTTCAATTACCATTTTATATCTAATTCAATTGGATCCATTTAAATTGAATAACTATCAAAGGAACGAAAAAATTTCATTCAAACATTTCAATTCTTGATCATTTTAAGACTAAATTTCACCCTTTTATGATTTTTCAGTCGATAAATTGTTCTGGTTTATTCATTTTTTGATCAATTTAATGCAAATTGGTTATGATTTGAACTTGAAAGGGAAAAATTTCATCCAAAGATGTTGATATGATCAAAGAAGGAAGAAGGGAAAATTTTAGCTCAGAATTGTTTCAATCTTCAGCATTTTCCTTTCAGATTTGATATTGAATAGAGTTCCAAGAGTTTTCAGTATCTTATTAATCTATCTTGAACCATTTTCATGGTAAACTTGAATTGAAAATAAGTCAAAGAAACTGGTTTGGCTTTACCAACCAATGGAAGCCAAAGTAGGCTGAGTCTTGACTTAACTAGTGCAAGGCTTAGCACGAGTCAACAAGACTTGGTTAGACTCAAAGTAAGTCTTGTAACTCTCTTTAAGAATCTCTTTCTTTTCTTCTTTCTTTCCTTCTTTCTTTAACATCTATCTTCATCATCATCTTCATCATCAACCTATAACTCAATACAAACCCTATCTTCATCTCCATCATCATTATCATCCTTCTTTCTTCATCATCATCTTCTTCTGATGGTCTTCTTCTTCATCACAATCCATTATTATTATGATTATTATGCTTGTTGTTGTGAAGCTATTTACTGTGATAAAACTGGTGTTTGTTGTCATGATCAAACCAATCAACCTGATCAATCGGACATTTTAACTTTATTTTCAATCAATTAATAACACAATTTAATTTCAAGTTTCACAGTTAAATCTAATCAAATTAAACAATTATCAAATTTCAATCAACTTCATCAACATCATCATCTATTAACCATTGAATGTCTAACTTCAATATAAGCCAAGAATAACAAGAATAACAAGAAAAGGTCAACATCAAAGGTTAACAAGACAATACAAATGGACTCTACAGTAACTGCTATTGAACTTAATCATCATAATCATCATCATCTAAATCATCATCTTAATCACTCATTTGGTAAGTAAATTAATGATTCAAATTTACAAATGAAGAAACAAATTGTTTCAATAATTGAATGTTTCTTTACATTGAATACAAAATGTCAATTGAAATGTAAACAAATCCCTTTGTTATTTACATATTCAATATTGTGATTGATTCAATGAATCAATCAACGACATTATCTCTGATCATTAAATAATAATAATATTAATCTCCAGGGAAGGCCTTGTTATCCGTCCATTTAAAAATACAGATTTAATGATTATCATGTGTTATAATCAATGATAGATTAACCAAATCCTCAAGAGAGATTTATATCAACCTTTCAAGATTTATCAATGATAATAATCCTTCAATATACACAGGTTGTTACAATTGTAACAATTAGATGATAACGATAAGCAAATATCAATTGTTTACATTGATAATCAAGTAGATAAGCTGTTATGTTTGGAACAATTTTTGGTGTAAAATAAAAATTGTAAACACAAGTTTGATTTACATGAGTTGATATAAAAAGCTCATCTTGATTAATATTATTTTATCTTTAGGGTATTAAATGACTTGTAAAGCATTTCATTTACAATTGAAAGATATTGTTAAGACATTACATTTACCTTCAGGCAAATCACTATGTAAAATTCAACAAATTTTATCATGAAAAATATCAATGAAAATAATGAAAGATAATCATAAATGGAATCAAGAAAAATGATTTATTTTACAATCAAATCGGTTTTATTGAGTGCTTTACACAAAATCTTGTGTAAATCGTTTATCAATTAAAACTGGTAAATCAATTTATTTTTGACGATATTTCAATCAAGTTTAGATTCTCTAAATAAATTAAAAATCATTAAAAATCATAAAATTGTTATGAATTCATAAAAGGCGCCAGCGCCAATCTTAAGAAGCAATGGATACCAAAATGATTGAATAAGAGGTTAACATATGTGCAAAGTCATTGTCAATTTTTCTCGTTCTTTATCAATAGTTGTTAACATAATTTAATTTTTTATGTAAATTGTTTTCTCTGTATTTAACCTTGTACTTGTTAATTGTATCTACCTGTCTCAATGAAAACTAATACAAAAATGTCATCTTCAACTTGGACTTTTGTGGTGACAGCAACACAGTGAATTGACTCTTTTTTTGTCAAACTTTGAATCTATTCAAAGTGATAACCTTTGTGATGAATAATTTAGGATTTAACCGTTTATTTTTTAAGATGATGGTGATGATTGAAGAAGAAGATTCATTTTGGAAGATAATTTTTTAACAATTATATCAACATCTTTGTGTACCAATCTCTGTTGGATGTCCAATCATTTCCTCTTCGTTTTTTCCAGTTCCTTTTATTTTTCCTATTTCCTTGTGAACCTTTTTTTCCTCGAAATTCTTCATTATTTCACCTTCCTGTGACCAGAATCATAATGAAAATATTAACAATACTTTTAAGAATAGTGTTCGAAACATAATCATCATAATAATTCCTTTTAATGTTGTAGTTACTTGATAATCAGCCTCTACCTTTTCTCGGTAAAAAAAGAGTCAGAAGGGATTGTGAATTGGATTGTTTTGTGATTTATCATTTTGTTTTAATGTTGCAGCTGTTTGATTTTGATCTACAAAATTTTTGGTGAGTTTCAATCAATGACCAATGTTTAATAATTTATTTATCAATCGGTTGATCCTTTTGCTTTCACTTTTTGCTTGAGTTCACAGTTAAAGTTTTATAGTGATATCCATAGGTAAAATAAAATTCAAGTAGATACTTATGACCCACTTGGATCTATTCAATATATATATCCAATTGAACTTTCAACAACATTTCAACAATTGGCATTCAACAATCATTGAAGATGATAATGACGAAGAGGACAATGATGATGACATATAATCTGTTTGACAAGTATAAAGAAGAGTAGCGAAGAGGCAAAAAGGAACAGAACGATAAGGAAAAGGAGAAAGAAAGGATTGTAATCTTTTGGCCATTTTATTGCGAATCTAAAGACGGATTGAAGGCAGAAGAAATGATCTGCATTTCTTAAAAGTACACAGAAGAGGTAAGAAAACTGGATTAATCAAGGTTAAGCTGAGGAGTGAGCATTTAATGACACACAACACTGTTGTTTTGCATTGATTGTTCATTTTCAATCGACTCATTCAATTGTCATCAGTTTACCTTTGACAAATTTGTGTTACAAATTATTATTAGCTTGACTAAGCCCGTCAGGCCCAATACATAATATACTAATCTTTGCTTTCAAACCTTTTCTGCATCTGTTTACCTTTCCAGTTAACCACATTTTGGTCATTGGCACACATCCACAATCAAAGCCAAAGCCACAGCCAAAGCCTAAACCACTGACACACCACATATTATTGATACCACCACGTGCTCTTGTCATACCTTTGGAAGCGTGTGTCTTGCACGTGTAAACAGTTAATCTAATACAGATTAGTTAGCTATTTAAATTTCATGATAGTTACTTTGTTAAATTTGTAAACAAAATTTTGAAAGGTTACATTAGGTTAATCTTAGGTTCAACTCGTTTACCTGTTAATCCTATTCAATATTTAGGTTTAACTTGATTCCCTTTTGTTAGTCTATTTTCACTTAATCATCATCATCGCCATCTTCTTCTTCTTCTTCTTCTTCTTCTTCATAGCCATTATGACTATCATCTTCAATGCATCTTTTCTCTGCCTTTTATACATTTCTTTATCTTGTTCATCTCAGATTACTCTACTTTATGCGCTACTTTTGCTTTCTTTACTCATTCATCTTTCAATCTTTCGCTTCAGGTTGTCCTTTTCATCTTCATCATCTTGTTCATGCATAATTTTCCCTCTTTTAAAATGAATGGAGATATAAATGAATGATAATCCAAAGTAACTTTGAACATTTTTGCTTGATTGAATATTGAAGAGCCATGTAACAAGTCATTTGAAAAAGACTAAACCATACCGATCATCATTACTCTTCACCTTTCTCCTCCACCATTTCTATCCTCTTTATTTTTCCTTCACTTTCCTCTTCCCCATCACTTTCTCCTGCTTTCTCCATCATCTTGTTCATCACCAGTAACATCTCTTTCTCCATCTTCTTACTCTCTTCTCCACCTCATTCTCCTCATCCTCCTACAATTACCTACTTCTTTATAATTCTTGTCATCATCTGTTCCTTTACTGTTTTCACTATTCTCCTCTTTTTTTGCATCATTTTTCCTTTTCCATTTGAATTTAGACTCTTTTTTGTATTATTATTGAATACAAAATTGATTGTAGACCCTAAACATAGTGTTATTAGGTTTTGTTGGTGATAAAAAGAAAGCTTTTCATCATCTTCTTTCATTGTTAGCTCAAACCTTTTCCCTCTCTATTCATCCTCATCATAATGATGATAATAAAAAGTCCTGTTGAAAGATCAGACATTTTTAAATAGACTCAAAGGAACCACATTTTATCAAGTCCCGTTAGTCGCTTTAGCTTATACCAGCCTTTTTCATCTACTTTGTACACTAATGTAGACTTAATTGTAATTTGAGAGTAAATTTTACGCCAAGCTAACAATTGATATGATAATATTTATTCAATGTACAATTGTTGTTGCCACTTGTTAACAATAACATTGATGAATATAAAAAGAGTACAGGTTACATTATAAAATATAAATGCTTATCGACAAATCTGTGTGTTATTGAATGATTTTTTGCATCACAAGTAAGACTAATGTCAAGTTGAATCACTGTCAATTGTTTTACTAATATAGATGAAGAATATCGTTTCATTTGTTAGCCACTTTAGCCTTGGACTAGTACACGTAAATTTTTGATACTGAAAACTGACAAACCTAAGATCAACGGGCAGCTGTAAATCATTACCATTATCTCATTATCACTCTAAATATTTTATTTACCTGAATGTGAATACAGATTGGAATTGAAATCACAAATTCATATTAGCTCATTGGTAGATACTTAATAAATCAAGTTACAAGATCAGATAATCAGAGATATTATCATATGCTTTACATTGTGAAATACACTGTTTCTGTGACTTATTTTAAGGGTTATTCAACTATTGGTACATTAATTTTGTTTATTAATATTAACATTTAAAAGGTGAATCAAATTCATTGATTAATCTGTGTAAAGGTAATAGAGTAATTGATAGTTACAATAGTTAATTGACTGGAACTAATTGATTATATATCTGTATAGCAAACAATATTATTGAATTAACCTTGAATTTTTATTTCATTTCATTCTTTTTCATCATTTTCATTATCTTTTTTCTTCCTATTTATTATTGTTATTATTAATATGTTTAGGTGTTGGTGTCTCAGTTGAAGGAGCATTTAAAAAGTTAAAAGTCGAACCAGGATTAACCTCATCATCATCATCTTCACTAGCATCTTCATTGTCTTCAGCTTTATCTACAATAACTCCAACTACAACTGGTACAGGAACTACTGGTACAAGTGGAACAGGAACAGGAACAAATAATTCAACTCCAACACCAAATTGTCCACCAACACCAGCTCGTAGAAGACATCGAACAACATTTACACAGGAACAATTAACTGAATTAGAATCTGCTTTTAATAAAAGTCATTATCCTGATATTTATTGTCGTGAAGAATTGGCAAGAATAACTAAATTAAATGAGGCTCGAATACAGGTTTGGTTTCAAAATCGTCGAGCTAAATTTCGTAAACAAGAGAAACAATTACAAAAAGCATTATCAGGACCAAGTGCAAGTGTTTTACCTTCATGTAATGGCACTTTAATGAGAAACATTTATCAAGCAACAGGAGCAACTCATCATCCTGTATTGAATCATCATCACCATCATCAACATCCATTGTCTCGTAATTATTTAACTCATCATCATGGTCATCATCAATATAATGGTAATGGATTTAAAGACACATCATCACCATCTTCAGTTTCCCTGACAGGAACAACAACAAATTACCATATGAGTCCAAGTCAACATTTTACAATGGGTACAGGTACAGGAACAGTTACCTCGATGGGCTCAAATTCAAATTCAGATGATTGGTATAATAAAAATTTTTCTGCATTAACTAGAATCAATTCAACTCCTCACTCAAATTTAACAAATAATCTGACATCAGGACCATCAATGCTTCAATACACGACTCCATAGATTATGGATTGCAGAATTATCTGAAAAGTCTATAATTGAACAAGAAATAATCTCATAAAGTATAAAGTAATCTGCTAATAACAACAGATTTTAAGAGTAAAAACAGTCGATTGGTAACAAATGTTCAATCAAATTTCAAAGGATATTCATATAAATCTATTCAAAAGATGCAAGCGTTGGTGGCTACATTATCATCTATTTATGTGATCAAAATACGATGATTAATTCCTATCTTATTTTAGCAGAAACTTGAAACTAACCTATACATTGATGGTTCAATGTAATAGTGTATATACCACATGCTCTCAATTTGATGCTGGAGAAGCCTCAAATAGTAAACCATTAAGTTTCCAAATAGATGATGATCCACATCTTTAATTCATCAATTCAATCTTGCTACCAATTACCAATCATCTTCTTTCTTCCAGTTAATATTTCAGAGTCTCATCCCTATCAACATCATTGAAAAAAATCATTCATCAACATCAACTTTCAAGGATAAGTTTTTATCCTTCATCTTCTTTCTAGCTTTTCTTTGTCAGATCAATCAAAGAGTTAAAAAGGTACAGTTTCATTTTTCTTATTTTACCTAAATTTCTATCACAATATGTGTGTATTAATCTCAATCTTATCCCTTGACTTAACTATGCCAATAAAGTCAAGATGTATACTGTTAGAATAAATAGATTTCATAATACAAATGATTTACACCGAGATTTCTTTCCTCCATTAATTTGGCTCTGTTTAATTTTACATTGATGAGTATGACAATGATAATGATCGTAATTATGTTTACATTAATCAATTAGAAGGCTTATAATATCACAGTAATCATTAATTAACTTAAGTAATTTCAATACATAAATGACGAAAAATCTTTTTGTAATAATCGATGAATCAACATTTTCAGGTTCTTCGAAACCTTTCGTCCAATTCATCTAAATTAAATAGAGTTGTATCTCTTGAAACGCGAACAATCCGAGAGCCATCAATATCTTTCAATTCTTTCGAATAAAATTTAACTATTATAGTTTTCTCTCCAATTGTTGTTGGAGTCAAGGTGAAGGTAACTCGAGCCCAATCGTCCGCTTTTACAGATCTACAAAAGTAAAATTATTAATAATGAGACTTTCTGGAAATTTTTGCATTGAATTTACCTTTTCAATGGTATTTTAAGTGTCTGATTTGGTTTTACTAATCCGGGTCCTTCAATCAAAAAGATGCCTTTATTTAGTCTCTTTGGTAGTGGATTTTTAAAATATGCATGACAAGTGAAAGGCTTTTTCTCGAATACGTCACCAACAACCTGCAATAAATGAGAATAAATTAAATATTTAAAATGCATTCTATGATTGAAAATGGTTTCAATATTACTTCGATTTCGATATCGGGCATTCTTAGGCGGAAATTGTCGATACCAGCATAATGATAGTCATTTTCCAGCACTTTGGCAATCATGACAACAGAAAAGGTATTTTGATCAACCAAATGATTCTCATAATCCTCATACTCGATCGGTATAGCTATTTCAACTTCTGTAAAGATACAATAAAAAAAGCATTGTTTTATCATCAAAATCAACTTTAACTCTTTCAAGAATTACCAGAAAGAGGAGGAATTTTAGTTAAGCTCAAATCTCTTTTAATTTCCTTGTTTCGTTTGCCATCACCAAATACTGTATCAAGTCGTGTAAGGGTTTCAACGGTATAAACAAGACCACTTTTATTTTCCGCGATCAAACGAACCTAGAATGTAAATAGCAAAGGAATACAAATTTTCTCAATTAATCATTTCTAATCAATAGCTAAGAAATTATTGCTGTACCTTGAATGGTTTACCAATTAATACATCATCGAGAAGTTGCAAATCAAATCGGATATCACTGAATTTAGCGTTTAAATAATATTTGGTGAAAATATTATTACTTTGGTGTAAGGCTTTGATCATTATTTCTCTTTCTTCGGGAGTCTCTTCTTGGTGTTTATAATTTGAAGTTAAATCGATTCTATCATTGGCTCCAACTTGTTTAGTTGAAAGATTTTTACCAATTCTGTGATTATTGAAATAAGAAAGAAAAAATTAGATAAATTGTCGATCAATTATTGAATTTTTTAAATTAGATGAACGGTTAATACTTTGTAATGTCAGATTGAAGGTATTTGTAAGACTCTTCAGCTCCAGTCCTCAACCAGTAAACTTCATCTGCATTAACTTCAGCGAAAACAAATCGACCATCGTAATCTCGTGTTATTTCGCCGTTGCGGATTGCAACGACACTTGTAGGTCCACATTGGTAAATACCGTCAGATGGTTCTTGAGGTGTAGCATCGATAACTTGCCATCCATCGTAAACTCCGGTAAAAGATAGATCAGGTCTTTTCAACCAAACTTCTGTCCATACATGAAAATTCCAGACTGAATCTTTGGTTAATTCATCGATAACGCCAAGTTTGTCATCAACAATTACATCAACCGTCAAAGAAGCCTGGGTATCATGTGCTGAATCGTAATTTGTGACTGGTCGAGCAGGAATACCAAGACATCGACAAACTAAACATAAACAGAACAAAAACAGAAATGAACAGTTTCTTGAATTAAGTTAACATATTGAGTAAATGAAAGAAGTTTTAAAATTTATTAGTCTGACAATTGTGAGCAATGAAATTCTGTACAAGCACACAACATATGAGTACGCAGTGCGGAAAGGAGTTTCAAAATTTTGCTCAAGAGGGTGGGAAAAATGAAAAAATGGCGTTTTTGCCTCTTTTGAGGTACATAATTTTGTTTTGATTTTGAACACTCGCTCGGGCTACACCGGTTCACGGCTGACTAACTGGTTAGTAAAATATAATTCATTGATTCAACTTTGATTTAGAGATGTTTGGCTATCTGCATGATTGATGCTCAATTAAGTTGACCAATTTTTATTCTAGTTGGTTAGATTTATAGGGTGAAGTAAGGCTTCTCTGACTCATAAATAGTGTAAATTTGATTAAACATCTATTGATCAAGTGTTACAGTTTGTATACTTTTCTAAGAAAATTGGTGAAGCACTTGAAAGTTTGCAAGATCAGATTGTGGTATTACCTGTGGTTAAGACACCAGCAAATACCCAGCATTGAGCGTATTTGACTGGTTTACGATTTGAATAAAATTCTTGTAAAATAGGACGACTACCAATCCACTTGGTTGGATCTGTTCCACTTTTATATTTACCATCCCAACGCCCTACGAGAACACCATAACCATCAAATACATTGTGGTTGTGAATTACTCGAGTTAAATGGCGAACTACTTTGATTGGGTTAGCTCGATCAGAAATCGGTAAATTACCAAGGCTGGTTAAAATCAGTATCGAACATTCCAAAATTTTATCTTCAAACTGGTTAAGAACAGGATTTAAAAGACAAAGTTGAAAAGATTGGATTAGATAAATTAAAAATAAAGAAAAAGGACAAAAAGGCATAAATTAATCATAAGACATCATAGCTAACCTGTGCATAACTCCATGGACTCGGCCTTAATCGTGAATGAGTTCCTTTCCATATTATTCCATAATCGTTAAGAACATACTCTTCTCTTTCTTTATCATTCCAGAGATAAGTTAAGTCGTCTAGAAATTAATAGTAAAATCAATAGAAAAATGAATAAATATAACGCATAAAATTATAAATGAGTTGTTTACTCCAAGTTAGCTGTCCAGTTATCAAATAACGACCCTACATTCAGCTCACAATAAAAATGGACACAATCTAGAGCACAAGACAAAACCAGTTTGACTTCAACTTCAACAGTTAACAATTTTATTAAACAATCAACCATATAAATATTTACAGTGATCTCTCTCTTAAGTGTGCTCTCTCATATTTGAAAAAGAAAGAGAAATAGAAAGAGACAGAGAAGAAGGTCTCTTTCTCTAGCCTTAAGTTGCCTAGTAACTACTGCCGTTTGAAGAAACTTAAGAGAGAGATCACTGTAACTCCACTTCAATACAGAAAGCAACAAAAAATAGATTGACAGTAAGTTCACTTTATTCAAATCAGCTGAAACCTAAAGACCGATTATTCAATAACAGTAAATCCTTTTAGCAATAAAACAAAAGGTTGATTAAAACTGGTAATTAAAAAACTGTATGCATTTCTATTATACACCCAATATAATCTAAATTGGACCCAAGAAATTTTCATAATTAACAGTTGAATACAAAAATCAGTTGAATTGTTTTCAATTCTCCCGCTGAAATTGGATAACCAATATGAGCTCATCAAACCCTTTGTTTTTCAGAAGCTTAAAAGCTGCATAATAGCATTTTTCAAACGTTTGTTTCAAACAATATTTCATCTGCTAAACAGTTTCTTGGACATTTGTGATATTTGAAAGATTTTTGTTCATTCACAGAGTCATAAATTACTTACTTTTATTCCAAGGATTAAAAAGTATGTAAATACTGGCAGGAACTTGAAATGTTGAATAATGGTTCCTTCCAGAAACAATGGATCTTGTTTCTATTGATAACTTCCATTCTCCAATAATTGTGTTAATTGCTGGTGTAATCTCAAGAGTTGCTGATTTGGTCTCCCATGAAAGTATGGAGACTTCCCATGGTCGTGATAAGGGATTGATTTCATTCATATTTTCATCGCCAACAGGTAATGTAATTTCAGTTCCTTCACTGTACATGGGTCTCTTTGAGTCTGTCGAAGATAAGATTGGATATGAATGATTACTAAAATAACAATTATTAATTTCTCCATTATTTGTAGTAGTATCATTATTAAACTAATTTAGATTTGCATGATTAAATTGCATGGGTTAAGGTCAAATAATTTATTATTAGATATGGGAATAGGAAGTGTAACATCATAAACACATTGAAACTCATATTAGTTTGATCAGTTCAATTCCTATAACATGACCAGTAACAATATATTATTGAAGGTTAACAATCGATTTGTTGTTGATTAATGGTCAAACCTTTCTAATTATTTCAGTTCAATCAGACTTGACTCAATCTAGGAATCACGAATAGCCTTAAATCACGCATTTTGATTGAAAATAAATCAAATTATAAACAGTTCGATGATAATAAACCAACAGAAGTAGCAAAATCTAAACAATTGTGTATTCGGTACAATACATTATTTCTAATTATTATAGCAAGTGGTACTTCTGATAAGCTTTAAATAAAATCTCATAAATCTCTTTCAAATATATTCACAATTAATCCAGTTATTCAACTACTTTACCATATTTGATGCTAATTATCAAGATTACTGTAAACTTTACCAACATAATGACCCTTAACCTCAGTAGAGACTGATATTGATCCAGGTCAATAGAGCTTATACAATCCATTTCATTTCAATTAACTTGACCAATGCATTGATCTTTAAAGCAACTTCTTTATCTGTAAATTTACTTGAAACTCATCTCAATTCATCCAAATCTTAAAACAGACACAATTTCACATTATCTGTTTATTGATGTCAACTAATTTATTATACTTTTTATTGACTTTTTCAGGCCTTACAAGTTTATAAAAGATTGTCCATTTCGAACCAAATCATGATTAATGGAAATATGAAAGTGAAATGAATTCTACAGGGCTGATATCATTAAGCATACCGAACAGATCAGCTCACCTTTTGACCAGAGCATAAACCTGATCACTCAACTTTGAGATCATTTGGCGTGTAACTGAATGGACAAAGTAGATAGCAATCTGCATTATCATCGTTCTTACATTCTATTGAATATTCATTTTCAAGAAATGCTGGCGACAGCGTGGTCTTAAAGACACAAGAGATTTTCTCATAATTTACAATTACAAGGTTGATTGGACTCTTGATTCCTGCCGAGATCTGTTTATTTTAAATTTATACCAATTTAAGATAGATTAATGAATAACCCTTAAATTTAAATTTATTTCTGCCTGTAAAGACTGAACTTCCGTTGAATTGTCCATTAACTGAGCTTTTGCTTTACATTTTCAGATCATTTGTTCAAATTTCGATTAATCCTGGACGAAATTAAATAAGAGTAGATGAACAATAATCCGACTCAGCCTTTTCAGCACCAGATAATGAGCCACAATCAAATTACAAAGAGTACGTGTTAACATCATTTGCTATTGTTTAAATTGAATCTTTTGTGAAACGCAAATGAAAACGTTTTTACCATTCTTTACACACAAACAATTGAATTGTCCTGAGTCTGTGACTTTCTTAATTTGTCCAACTCTAAATTCATCTTTTATCTTGATTGTACTTGCATATCGTGACATTTTATCTGAATGAAGTGTATTAGCTTAGTGGTTAGCCTCATGTTCTTGTTGGTAACCTGAGTTCGTCTCCGCTTGTGAACATATTAAACGTTTTTAATTGATACTAGACAGTCTTGAATTATTCATTTCATTCCAACTTTCCAAGTTATTGAGATGATGTTTACAAGTCATTTGACTTAACTTTCGTTCTACTGATGACCATGAATGAACCTATTTAATCACTGATCATAACTTGGAACATAATTTTCAAATTTTGTATTATATTCAATCAATCGTCGTGTTAAGAATTTGAGTATTTCAATATAAATTTGACTTTAATCTTATTCATCTCCTCTAAATTCACCATTAGTTTTCATCTAAAAACAATACAATTTCAAGATTTCCGCTATTGATGATTAATCATGATAATATTAGCTTATTCAAAAGTGACGCGTCAGTTTTTTGCCTTCAACTACTCCATCTGTTGAGTTTTTTCACTGTAGATAGCTAATGATAACAATTAGTATCTTAAAGATACTATCTTTCAATTGTTGCACTGATGAATAATTACTATGCATATTGATAATGAATAATTAGCAAAACTTACTTAGTTAGTTGGTAAACTCTGAAAATAATTACTATGATATCTGCTATTAATAAAAATAACAAGGTTTTTTTTCAATAATAATTAAATGATAAAAATCAGACAATCTCGCCATTCTAACTTGAGACGTTTTGCTAAATGTTTCATGTTTTCAAAATGATTACCGCATTGAAATAATTCACAATGGTGCCAAAATAATTGTGAAATATTCCTGTTCTGGTTAATCTTGGTCTTGAATACAAACAATATATTGATTTCAACGTTTTTGTCAGTACATATGGATTGGTTTTTGACTCATTTGAATTGGTGACAATGAAGGAAATGACCAAATTTAAGATACAAATTTTGTGCCAAGGATGATGATAATACTTAAAGACCGGGAAAAGTACCTCGGAAAAATGGTGAAATTATGGATTAATGGGAATTCAGTGAATGTAAGAAGGAGGAGAAAGATGGTTCAAAATGAGAGTTTAAGACGTATAAGAGGAACCAGAGTTGATGGGTATGACTACAGTTGACAAGGTACTTCGTAAGTGCAAAGATTTCCAGTAATTAACATTTCCAGCTATCAACTTGGACAGCAAATTTTGTTATTTAGTTTTAACATTTGCTCACTACGTTGCCCCAACAGCGACAACATTAAAAGCTGGTTTACCTGTAAATGAACCAGTTACTTTTTTAGCGCAAACGACCAAGTTTAATGTTTTGAGTCCCGTTTCACTTGATTGCTGCACTTTCATCTAACATCTTTCCATTCAAGATGTAAGTTAATTTATTTAAAGTATCACTTTTTGTGTGTCAAAATAATTATTTGTACAGTTGACAAATTAATTGATTTGCTTTTTGTTACTTTGTTATTTCTTTTTTTAAGCTACATTTTCATAGTTATACTTTCACATCCAAGTCTCATTTTTTACCTCATCCATTGGCTTATATCGCTTAACCAAGATGACAACAGCTAATATAACCAAACCTATCGATTGGAACTATTATTTGAACAATTTGTGGAATGATCACACCGATAATCGCGTTTCTGAGTTACCCATTGTTGCTCGTGGACCATGGACTGTATTGCTGTTTATGATTTCCTTTCTCATCATTTCAGTTCGCATTTCTCGTACCATGCAGTCCAAAAAATCGGGTTACTTTATGAAACCTTTTCAAATAATTTATTATGGATTCTTTTTCGGCATTCATGGTGTTGGTTTTCTTGTCATTCTCGCCTTGGCCCATTCAATGAATAATCTTGTACAGTGCAACTTCAATGACTACTTTTACCGCGATCTTAGAGGAATCATGTTCATCTATGTTAGCTTACTCTACTTGATTATCAAATTAACCAATTGTTTCGATGTTTTTGTCCTCCTCTGGACCAAGGCTGTTGACCAAGTCACCTTTGGCCTGATAATGGAAACAATTCTCAATCCATTTGTCATCTATGCATCGGTCAAATACTATCCTGGTGGCATTGTTTCCTTTCCCATTGCTTTTGACTGTTTGGTCAACTCAATCAAATATGGTTTACTGACTCGGGCCTGTGCTTCAGCTTCAATCAAACCCATCCACAATTGGGAGCAATTAATAAATTACTCCAAGATTGCCCAATACGGAATCATTACATTACACTCAATATACTCTTTGACCATTCCAAATTGCGACTGTCCCCTCAGTTTACGTGTTTTCTTTACCTCAATTCATTTCTTCCTTGCCATGGCTTACTCATTTGATGGCGGATACTTTTTTCATTCAAGTAAATCCAACGCATCTTCATCTTCAACAAAAATAAAACAAACCAAAGCTGAATAATTTTGCTAAATTATGAACTAAAACAAACATTTTTTCATAATCTTATTTAATTTACAATTAAACATTTTTTTGCTAAAAAACATATTAGAGTCAAATTTTGTCCTGATTTATAATCTAGTTTAAACATTCTTAAAACGTAAAACACTAAAATTATTGCATCCAACTGGTTGCTGTACATTGATGGCGATATTATGCGTATTACTGAGTCAAATCATTTTCAATAAATTAAGTTAAATGTTTGGATGAGATGCTAAACCAGTTAACCAGTTTTTTACCTTAAAGTCATTCAATGTTAGTCCATTTTTAGCGATCAACTGTCAAAAAGTAGGGAAGAATCCCATCAAATGTTGATGATGATGTTGATAATGAAGAGTTTCAAGTTAACTTAACTTCCCCTTAATTGCTTTCAATTCTCACTCTGATAATAACTATAAACCAAGTTTAATTGAATATCTTAATTGTTTTCATTTAGATACCATTATGTGAAATAACATCATTTAAAAAAGTCGCGAAAAGACAAGGTAATCTTGATTGAAATTTTACAATGGAAATGGTTGATATGTCATTTGTCGAGTTTACAGGAAAATGGCTTAAAAGTGAATATTACTCATAAGCACTGTTCTAATATGTCAGAAACACGGTAGTCGAACAATTATCTCAACAAGGTTAATCAACTTTGAAGGTGTTAAAACACAATTTGATTGTTGATGAACATGAAATACTCAAAGTTACTAATTCAAGTGATACTCAAATGGTGATATTTTTGTTGTTATTTTGATGCTCTATTAAGCAGCAAGTAGTTTGTACGGCTAATAACTGCATTTAAATCGTGAAAACTTGTGAGTTAATAACGTTAATCATGTTATTTGTTGTTACAAAATCATAATTCAACGTTTTGTTTCTCAATAACAGCAATATTTCATAAGCATTGTTGATTGTTTCAAAACATAACTCATTAAATTGAAATACAAAGCAAAACAGTTAATTTCGCTGTTAATTGACAGTCTAAGAAGGTAATCATATTGAATTTTAATCATTTAATCAGCCATTCTTCAATCAATCGTGAATCTATTCGATCATCGTAATTTGCTAATCAAGTGTTGGATGATTTATTTTCATTTTTCATTTCATTTTCTCAAATGTTGCCTTGTTTCGTTAATAATAAATCTTTCAGCATTTTCAACAGATTCATGTTAATAATGATTCTGATTAAAGCTGTAACATGTTTAACCATTTGGTGTTGATAAAGGCTTATGTAAATCAGAATTAAGCTTCAATTAAAATCGATCGTGATTAATGATCGCTAATTTTGATGGTGAATTGTGTATTTTGATAGGAAATATACAATGAATTCAAGGTAATCTAATCAAAAACAAATACAATTGAGTAACCTTCATCTTCCACCAACTTTTTTGTTTCTTTAACCTCAAGATTATTCCTTAGAGCCATAAAATTACTGGTCAACAGTGATCGTTATTTCATGCTGCTATTCGGAATTGACCTAATCATAGCCACGACATTGATAAATTTAAAAATGATTTATAGTCAGTTTCAATACCAAATAGAACCTTGATTAACTGGCGGAATATTCCGCAAGTGAAGCTTTGAAACCAAGGTTTACAGTTTAGACAAGTGAGTTACTTTTGAACCACTTTTCACTTTCAATTCCAGTTTTGATCTTCATCTTCTTCTTAATATCGCTATAAATTTAGACACATTGAAGACACATTTTAGGTTTTGTCAAAACACTGGATTAGCAAAAATATTGATCAAGGTTACCTTTTAGAAACATATTTCACGAGAAGATTAGATTGAAGTTTCAAAGCAAGTGTTGATATTGGAAGATACTAATCGTGGAAATTGTTGATAATTCATAATTAATTGCGAAAAAATAAGAAACTGACAACACTCTTGTGAATAAAGTGAAAGCAATAAATGATTAAATGGTTGGAGTGATTAACTAGATCAATGGTTAGTTATGTTCAAAGGTTAAGGTACCTTAATTTTGGTTTTGTTCAAAACATGAAAAACAAAACAAACATCAACATTTACAATGCTGTATGTAGCTCCATCTACAATGAGAGAAAAAAGTTATTGTTGAAAATTGAGTTGATCAAATCAACTGGACATTGACAGAGTATTAGCTAAATATCTAGCTGACAAAATTATGCTGAATTTAAGCAAGATCAATGTGAAACTATTAACAAATCAACAGATAATTTCATTGAAAGCAATGAAATTAAACTGCAAGAGTTTTTCATATCTCTTCACCCATGTATTCAACCAGACCACGATGAAGTTGTTTCTTTGCTCAATCTTGTTTTCATCCTATTATTTTTCAATAGTTGTCACTTAATATTTTTTATCGACTGTGTCAAATTGACGCTAAATGACCGTGGAAAATGGAATGATGATTCAATAAAATCGTGTATAAATAATATGCCTTTTGGTGTCATTTTACAGTGGACTAGTTCAGCTAAAGCTATGTTTCGCTTTTGTTTGTCATTGTAAATGAAATTTCAATTAGATGTATTAAATTACAGATCAAGGTAAGTGATTTTATATTCTCCTATTCCAATCAATTGTCGATTCCTCAATTGTTAACTCATCAGTATTTGTTGCTTCAAACCATTAAAAATATCATCTTTCCTTTGATTACAACTCTACAGGTTAGGTTTTCTCTGTATGTATTTCATCCTTGTATTATTTTGTTGATTTATCGTGTACTCATTTCTCGCCATTGAATTATATGAAAGTCTCATAAGCTTATCCTGTGTTTCATTAGTTAATTAAAACCAGTAGATAAAGGATAGAAAACAAACAAATCGTGATCAAGTTTAATTGAGTTATACAATTGGAATAAAGCAAACAATTATATCTTTTGTTATCCAATTTTGTCTATTTATTGTGTATGTTTTGAGAAGCAAAACATACAAACACATACGTTGTCCTTCAATATCGCTATTTAAAGGCCATCTTGAATGATTGAACATTGTTCAATAAATTAATTTCAGCCTTTCCAATGGGTTTGATAGATGAGAAATAATTCATTAGCTTACCTGCAACTCTAAAGATGAGGTTAACCACATCAGAACCAATTGTTGTCTCTCTTGCAAATAAAATCCTAATTTGAAATGATGATCCTCGGCGAGCCACAAGATTCCCATCAAATGGATGTTTAGTTGTCTCATACAAATCTGTATAATGTTTCTTTGTATTCCTTTCAACCAACAGGTCCACTGATCGCACATTTAACGCATAAGGATCCATTTTACGGATAGGCTCAGGACGATGAGAGGAAGACGGAAAACGATAACGTCCTAAACGGATCAAGGAAAACATGGGTGACCACGGATTAGTTGACATGTTAAATAAAACAATTCACAATAAATGAAGAGGAACACAAACTTTGAAGACAAACTGGCAACTTACTTCCATCGATCAATGAGCGAAGGCATGATGAACAAGATTGGCCCATTAGACTGATTTACTAGAACAGAGGTTAACTTTCGATGGAGAGACAGATTAACAAATGATCTTAAATCACCGAAGCAGACAAAGTGGCAGAAATTATTTATCAACTCAAGGCTGGTGGAACAGAAAACGCAAACAAATGCAAAATTAATCAAAAACATTGGGATAAACACTTACGCTCATCGTATTTCGTCTTTTTTTGCTCAACACTTTTAATCTTCAACACTAATAATGACAGTTATCCCTGTCAAAGTGAAAGATTAGGAGTAAATCGAGAAAAAAACGAGTCAAAAATAGGAAATGGGTTAACCCTAAACAGCAAATCATGATCAACTATTAATTTGATGATCAACATTTGAAAGGTTGGCACAACAAGATGAAGAGTCCTTGGTTAGATGATGTTGAATGATGAATTGTAAAACTGAAAGAAGATAAAAAAGAAGGAAGAAAAGAGTTAAGATCGTTGATCAGGTGAAAATGTTTTTTGTTTGTTTGTTTTCTTTTTCCTCTTCTTGTTCCCAGTTTCAACTGTTTCACTAAATTGTGGGTTGCTGCTGTTTAATCATCATTATCATCATCATCTTCACAATTATTATTAACATCAAATTATAATAAGGCTAACAAATGTACTTCGAACGCCTTCTTTTAACTCAACATAAAATCAAATTGGCTAAATGTGTTAATATCAATTTCCCTCAATGGTAAACTCAAGTCAACTCCCAATGACCTCTGGTTAATTTTGCTTTCAATACATTTACTTATAATACATCATAACATCGGCCTACACTTGAAATTTGTTAATTATAACCATATTTAAAATGACAAACATTTACATGTTGCCAATCAAGGCTGACTTTTTTGCCACAATCAATTAACTTCCTTGTTAATCAAATCAACCAAAATAGCAGTTTAATTTTTCGTAGGAGCTTTTGTCAATACAATTTGTGATTAATTGTCTGCTCCTTTATTATCTAATTATTCAACATTTCGCTGTAGGTTGGATACTTCCTTATGAATAAAAGGTTTTCCTTGCGACTTTCATTAGACTTGGTCTTGAATTTTTAGGTTAGACACTATTATGCAGTAGCAATTTCTGGTTCTCATTCACCTAAATAGATTTAATCTGGGTTAACATGATAAATTATTTGAATTACTTTATCATTTGGGTATAACAATTGAAACCCAAATTATAAATCTAAATCTTCGATTGTATTGACTGGCCATTTTACAAATTTACATTTTTCGCTTTCCCTCCAAGTTATAAACGGCAATTTTCAATAGAGTACCGTTTTGGCCTGAATAGTAACCATCAAAAGTGAAAGCTGTAGCTGGTTAAAAGGTGGACCAGACCCACACCCGATTCACCTGAAACAAAATCATGTAACAATCAAGGTTAATCACGATAAATAGGAAAATGATAAGTGAAATAAGCGGATAATAAACTTCAATATATAAACCTGTTTTAACCATGTTCAAACAAAATTGTGAGTAAAGTTATTGTCAGCAACCTAAGGCAAGTGTAAGTAATGTTAAGCCATTGTGATGCTCTAATATTATTTGTATTTTGATTTGATTTAAATTGCTTCAACTCAGAACAACTCAGTGCATGATAGCCACTAGATCGGAACTTATATTTTTTAAATTGGAAAGGTTGATTGATGCATATATCGTTTAGTTACCATATATCAACTGCATAACGTTAGTTGAAACATTAAAACAAAAGTAAAAAAAGTAAAACAAAATTGTACTGATTGTAATTTACAAACAGTGAAGTGAAGCTTCAATCTTTTCGCAAGATTCTTTTGCATCAAATCGAAATCTAACTTCAATCATATCATCAGAATATAATGTTGTTGCATTTTACACCAAAAATGTTTTCTGTAAGTGGTTAATCAAAGCTCCGCCAAGAAATGTAATTTTAATGGTACCGATGAGGAAGATTGCGTCCGAAGCGAACATGATTTATCATTTCCCGAACAATGTGGAACTCCAGTCATACCACCTTCAATTCTAGGAGCTCATATTTATGGAGGAGAAAAAGTAATCCCAGGAAGTTGGCCTTGGTTGGTGTCATTGCGTTATCCCAAGTCAGCACCTGTAGATCATGTTTGTGGTGGTGTGCTACTCAATCGTTTGTGGGTTGTAACAGCAGCTCATTGTCTCCTCTTTGGTAACACAAAATTATTTGAAGTTGACTTTGGTCGATTCAATTCAATGATTGACACGAGTAGCAACTTGTCCGATTTTTCATTTATCCTTCCTTCACGACTGCGGCACTGTTCCAGAGAACGGAAACTTTACCAAATTTGATATTGCTCTGGTCAAATTAAATGCCCCGTTCCCATTGGTATTGTCAAAAGTATTTGATTTTTTTTACTTAAGCAATGTGACAATAAAATAGAATGTGTTAAATATATTTCACTACAGTTTCCATTTGCTTGCGTATAACAATACAAGATTGAAAGCAACGGATTTCGTTTGATCTACGAAGTTCGCAAGTCTCGGGTCGGGTTAGTTCTTAGGTGGATGAACTTTTGAGAGCTCCTGGTTTTATGGACTTTTTGTGAATTTCATTCTGTTCATTTAATTTTTTATATTCTGCCAACTTAAATCACAACTCTTTATTCAATCCATTCATTTGTACAGTCTTCTAGATCTATTTTAAAGTTTACAAATCAATCTCCTATCCACAGATTCATTTCTTTTCAATATCTTTTATCAACAATTTAAATCATTATTCTTTCAGTTTACTTATGCCATAAAATGTTGAATAACAGTGAGCATCCATCGACTCCTTCAAATACATTTTCATCCAATAATTAGATATTTTCATTTTTTTCTTATTTTTCAACAGTAAACTATCATATTTCATGAATTCATATATTTTATAATCAATTTGTATTGTCTTATTTTGTCCACCTTGTCAATTGTTTGATTAAATGAATGAAGCCATTATTGAGATAGTTGATTGAAAAATTTATGATTTTTATTTTTTATGATGAACTAGATTTTTTTCAATGTTATTTTGTGAGATGAAAATAATGAAAAATCATATTAACATTTGAATTAAATGATTTGGCTTCGATTTAACCATGATTTGAACACAAAATATGGCGATCAGAAAATGGCTCTTCTACGGTCAACTTTGTATACATGGCTGCCGGTTATCATTATATTGCCATTTTTATCAGTTGTCGATGATGATGATGATGATGATGATGATGATGGAAGTGGAGGTGGAGGTGAATCTACTGGTTGTGTTGCAGCTGCTGATGGTTTAACTCGATTACGACGGAATAATTTGCCCATTATCGAGTTATTGACAGGTTCAACTGCAATGGTAACTGGACAACGTGAATATGCCACTGAACATTCTTCATCGGTCATTCCTTTCCTAGCAGCTTGATATAAATCGATCAGGGTTGATTTGGCCATTCCACCCATTCCGAGAGCTTCTAAACGGTCATCGAATCTGTTGATTAAAAAAGGAAACAAAATGAATACGTTAATATCATTTCTTTTTTTTCATTTTCCTGGAAGATACCGGTAATAACAATCAAATTCAATAAAGATTGCAACGAATACGAATGTAGTTGCAATTTTTATCGATAGTTTGGTAACCTTACATGTTGATGTTTCAATGACCTCAAGTTGGACACAAGATGATTGAAATAAATGAAAATACATTAACTGAATACACCTTTTTGGCTTTCTCTTTTTTTTCATCTTTAATGATTTGCAAGATGAAAAATTTAAAGGTAAATGTTTATAAATTATTAATAACCAGCAGTTTTGGTTGTTTATTTAGGTAATCTTAAGACGGATTAAATGGGTGTATTAATCACAGTTAATTAATCATCACATCTTCATTTTTTAATCTTATCCTTCTTTTTGATCAATTCGAATGGATAAGACGATAAACATTCAAAATTAAACTTCAAAACCAGCTAATCTACTGAATAACCTGGCAATGAAAAGCTACTCAGCAAGTAATCAAAATAATAATGCTTCAGGGGAATGTAGAACAACATGTTAAACCTATTTTAATTGAGAAAATAAACACAAATATCTATACTTTACCAATCTCATTAGGCATTCAATTTCACTCTTATGTGATTGAACAAATGATTGAAAGCTCGTTAGTGTAAGCATAATCCTTTTAGATAACTAAGGCAACGAGTTGAAACCATTAGGTGGAAATTTAAGAAGAGATTAAACACTAATTATTAATATCACAACACTTGGAATAGTTCAACTCACATGATTTACAGTTTGAAATTGGTTGCTAAAAATTTCTTGTTTACAATTGAAAGTCACCATAGAAACACATACTTGATTTGATTAGCGCCAAAAGTAAAAAAATTGAGGCTGTTTTCCTAATCAGATATTTTTTTATATGATTGCATTGAACTCATTAGTATTTGAATTTGTTAAAATTTGTTACCTGATAAAATCTGTCATTACTTTTGCCCAGTTTCTCAAAGATCGTCCGATAACCTTCTGGTTAAGTTCACAAACCAACCTTGCTTGACATTCACTTTCACTGATCTCGTAACGTTTTAAACCATCTCTAAATGTTGAATAGATGTCACGAATTCGCTTAACCAAACTGTTCGCTACTCCACTTGACCTGGACCAGATTGCTTTTAAATTAAGAGCTGCTAAACGGTCTGTCACAGCATTTCTTGGGGAACCGTTTCCATGAAGTGGGAAATATGGTACAACATTATCCATTGATGATCGAGCGATTGGGTTAGGACGCATTGACTTCCTCAAAGAGCCAAAAGGAAACAATGGTATGCGATATTTGTTTGACTTTTTGTCATCATCTTCCTCTCTTCTTGCGCTGAACAAAAGGTTGGACAAACTGGCCAATGTGTTGGCTGCCAATTGAGAAAAGGAATTCAATGGGTTTTCTGAAAAAAATTAAGAATTTAAAGGTAGAGGTAAGGGCAAGGGTAAGGGTAAAATTGTATTCCAAGACTGTTGATACTTTTTATTTATGCTGTTATCAAATTTTATTGTTACATTTGATTATATCAGGGTGGCTATTACTCTTGTCAAAAATACTGTAAGTGCTACTTAACAGATTGTTTAAGATGGCCAGAAAAAGATTTAAATTATATAATGAAATATTTCTCAATCAATGTAACATTAGCTTCGATAACTCCTGAGGCATTCAATTATGTATTTCGTAATTTCATCTTCAATTCTTGTTCATGATATTCCGATTTTAAATTGATTTTTATAGCTGCTTGGGAAAGTATCGATTAATCAGAATATTTTTTTTAAAAATTGTAACATGCATTCTTACCTAATATAGGTACTAATTATTTCTTTCATCTTTTTTTTTGTTTCAGATATCGTTAAAAACTATTTTGCATATTCGATTTTTGATTAAAAAACAAAGTTAAATTACCTGAGGAAAGATTATTTGTATTGGATAGAATTTCATTAATTGCTGCAAGTTGGGAGAGAAATCCTGTTGATAAATCAGCAAGACTATCCCCTGATGACGAACTTGACGTGATTTTGGAAGGAGACGACGAAGAAGATGATGATGGAGCTGAAACTATGCTCGCTATTGGTTCTGAGGGAGACCCCATGGAACCCAGCGTATTACTTGAAGATGAACCAGATTGTGACACTGAACCAGATGAGGATGAATCTGATGTAGGTGATGAAGATGAAGATGGCCCGGAGGAAGACGTTGAAGATGATGATGAAGTTGATCCAGATGATGATGCTGCTGAACTGGCTGATGTTATTCCAGTAATTGGCCTGATTCCATCGAGAATTCCTGAATTATTTCAAGTCAAATCAACACAATAAACAATTAAAAGTTAAGTAAGCTGCTACGTAATGCAATCAAAAGACAAAGAGAAGGGTAGAAGAACTGAGGAATTACCAAAACTGGCCTCTAAAACTTACCTTGACCTAAGGTTTGAACGGATTGTAAGATGTCGTTTAAACTTGGATCAGAATTATCGTCCATGTTTGGTAGGAAGTTTGATAGTGCCATTGGAGCCAGAAAAAGCATCGGAAGCACAGGGAAAGAAAAGAGTAAAGATGAAAGGGCAAGAATAACTGGACCGGATGAAAGCAAAGAAGACGCAATACCCGCGGCAGGCCCTTGTCTGGCTATCAATGCTTTTGAATGGATATTCTGATTCCTTGCAGGAAGAAGTATTCCCCTTGTACGAACATCTCTTAAGCTAGGCATTCTTTGGAAAGGAAACCTTCTTTGACCGATGACCAAAGGAATCAATATTACCACAAGAGTTATTGGTATTAACCATTTGTAAACTTTTGAAATCATCATGTTGCTGTGTTACGATGGAAATTTGTTCACGGTGGCTCACAGTTTTAAATTGGTGGGGTTATTAAGGTGGTGAAAATGCGATTAATCCAAGTGAATTTTTACACTGTAAGATCAATACGAATGATGAGTTTACAACAAAATTGCTGAATCCAAAGACTTACTGGGATTACAGTTACCTTTTTTGGCCTGGTTGTTGATATTGTTGACTGAACTGAGCTTAAAGCTTAATCGATTAGAGGTTATACTAAGAGAAGGGCACTTGTTTTCACAGAAAAACATCGATTACTTTGAGACTTAAAATCATAAGGACTTGATGACACTTCCGTCGCTTTGATAGGAACACTGAAAAGTAGAGAAGATATTTAGTCTTGTGTGCTGTTTTATGTGTCCGATTTGATGTTTGTTTGGGAATTGATTCTGTTTTTTGGAGAAAACAAATTCACATCAAGCACACCGTTATTAGATTTAACAATCCTGGTTTGGAAAAAGCAGTTTAAGAAGATGAATAAGAGATAAAAGAAGATACCTGTTCTGACCTAGAACCCGTCCAACCGCCGTATTAGGTCAGCAGAGTATTTTTTGAATCATGATCAATCCATCCTCCCTGACTCTTTCATCATCAACAACTCTCTTTCTTCTCTTTCTTTCATTTGTCTTTCATATCTTCATTCGGCTTCCAAAAGTAACTTTCTTCCTTTCTTTCTCCTTTCCCTCTCTTTCTTGTCCAATCAGCCCAAACCGACCTAATCCTTAGGGGCTTTCAGTATTCAGTACAATTTTCATTCAGACTCACCTTTTTATTCTTCTTTTTCTTTCATTTCAACAGGACAATAATGTATACCTGGACACTATTTTCATGTACGCTATATTTACATAACCTTTGACTTTTGGTGCAAAGTATATCTGAAAGTGACGTATTACAAGATGGACCATTCTTGATGCATACCGGTTTCATGACAGTTGAAACTATCAGATTAATTTAGAGTCAACATTAATCATTTAACCTTTCACTGTCATTGAAAATTTTGACCATAAAAGAGATGAACCTTTTGTTTCATGGTATTATTGAAATTATTACCACTTCTTGATTGTAGATTAAGATAATATGTAAATTGTTTTTTGCTTGTTTTTTCAAAAAAATACCGTTAAACTATTAATGAAATTTAATAACTAACCTTAAGGCTGTTTCACTGAATGATTTATTTTAAGAGTTACCATAACGGCGAGAATAGTATTTGATGTTCAAATAAGCTTCAATCATCTTCATCAAATCAAATATAATAATCTAATATTATCGTCTACTTATTATTTCACTTTCAACATGAAAATGGTCAATTAATACAATTCAAGTACACCGATAGCAATAATATTAGATGATTATATAATAGATGAAAATATTGAAGTATGATTTGGTTAAATTGACTAACATTTTCATTTCTCATAACAGAAATTGCTTTATTGGTACAAAAAATACAATGCAAATGTAGAAGGTAAATATTGCACTATTTTACAATCGATTCTTTAAATTTGCCGTTAATTGATCAATATTAGTGCTAAACCATTAACATTAATTTTTTCTTTATCCTCTTCTTATATTATTAGATAATATTTGATGATCTGAAGCATCGCAAGCATGATCGATGGTCTTGGTGGACCTTTTCTTGTTCAATTGTGAATATAAAGAATTCAAAGAAATAGTTTTTAACCATTTAAAAGGGATTAACCATTTGATTGTGAAAATGTTATTACAATAGTTGACCATGATGTTGAACAAATTATATGGCTTTAGCACAAAGGACTGAACTCAATCGGGAACATTGCTGTTTGACAATAAGTGACCATTTGAAAGCTTGGTATTGATAGCTGTTTTCTGGCCATGAAAATATGATTAAGGATGCAAATTATAAATGACTGGCATCATCACAATTCCAAGCCAGTGTAAATAATACAAAAACATGTCAATCAAGATTTAGTGTTGAAAGAAGCTGGAACAACTGAGTTTATCTAATTTCAAGAATCAAATCAAATATGATCGATTTCCCCTCTGATTTGATATCATCAGTTAATCATACAAAACAGTCTCAAGTCTCTGGTTCACCAGACAATTGACACAGGAGGCTCTTCATAATAATACAATATGCAAGAATATGTCAGGTGACAATGGTCAATTGTTATTGTTAAATCGTAGATCACAATTGTAGATTAATAAATTGTACCCTTTTCCAGTTTGATTGAGGAATCAAAGGGCTAAAGATTATCACTGACTGTATCAATGAAACGATAATCACTTAGACTCAACTATTGCAATCTTTTGAAAAGCCTGTAAATATCATTAAATTAAATTGAAATGAGGGATTCATTAGTGCATTTGCCTGGAGCAATGTTTTTGAAACGAAATATCTTAAAAAACGAAACAACAATTTGCATTTTTTTCTTATGTTTTGCTTATAATTTAATTTTTGATACATTGATATTAACAGAATATTAACTTACAATCAATTGATTGCGCAGTATTAATAGATAACTTTCCTTTTTTTTGTTGTTGCTGTTGCCACTCTACACTACTCTAGAATAGCAATTTGGTAAATTGTTGCACGTAAATACAGTTACAGTTTATTGGCTTTTCTGATATTTGATAATTTGTGAAGGTAACATCCAGATTTGTTTTGGATCACCTTTTTTTTGTTATTGTTGATTATGCACACTAAAAAATTGTGATCAAATGATTATGAAAGGTAATGATACTAATCCGATGAACAGCTTATTTGATATTTTCATTCAATTATCAATAATCATATCAAAAATATATTATTAGAAATGGATGAAAATGGTACCAAATGGGAGAATCATGATTCCTTTTTTTAATCAAGGATGCTTTTTTAAAATGTAATTGCATGCAATGATGGTGAAAGTGTATTAAAAACAACAACAAAAAAGATCATCATCTGAATAATGAATTTTACACCTGATCTAAGAATATGCAAATCTATTCATTAAATGTGGTTTTCCACAAATTTTTATATCAACTATTAAAAAGATATGAGAAATTGTATTCTAAGATCAACTCCAATAATACATGATTTAGTATTGTTATACAAATGTAAGTTATTATAGATTTTTGGTCTGAAAAGATTGATGATTAATGCTTATCATTTCGTTTCAATTCAGATTATCTTACCCTTAATCAATTGCAATCGAATGTCAGGGTTTATTTTAATCGTCATTCATTGTGTTGCGTTGAAACAAAAGTCATGTGTGTTTGATTCAACAACAATTTCTATCTCAGACAATTAAATTGGATCGACAGACATCATATAATTGTGACAAAGGTTGTTTCAATCAAGGCTAACTGTATCCTTTTCCTATTTGATAACAATTCCAGATAATTATTACATTATTATAATTTGAAAACTCAGCATGTACTCAACATGCAACCAGCCTCGGATTCAATCTTCACCAATCATTGAGACATTTCAAGATTTTACCTTAAAAGGTACAGTTGTATTTAAAATGATTACTATTATGATTATTATCAAGCTTGTGGCTTAATCTTGTGATCATGAGTTGAAGATTATTCCACAGCTTCATTTATCGCAATGTGTTTTTTGACAGTCAAAGTAATTGTGTGGCAAAATTAGTGGTTGATTAACGCTTTTTTTACAAAAAATAATTAATTCTTTGCGATTTTACATTTGATTTTTGTTTATAAATTGTTTTGTTAACATTTAAAGATTAAGTTATTTACATTGAAAATGTGCTCAAAGTTTGCAGAAAGAAAAATCAATGGATAAATAACATTGATAACAATTGAGCTTTGTTAATTCCAAGTCAGATGATCTAATGAAAATCCAATCAAGGATCAAACAATATGGAGGTGAGAGAGAGAGAAACTGAGATTAAAATAAAGTAAAATATCATATTTGATGATGATTGACTTTTGATTGTTAGATGTGATTCAACCACAGTTGATGATATGAAAAAAAACAAGAGGAAGAGATATTTCATGTCTTTTTTCAATCGTAATATTTATGCAATAATAACAATAATTTTATCATCAAGAGTTGGAAAGAGAAAAAGAAAGAGATAAAGAGAAAAGTGTGAAAATTTTAAAACTAAATTTATCTATACAAGTAAAACAATCGTTAATTATTCCTAATGGTCTGGTCAATCCAGTTTCGATAATAAGGCACATACGCATAAGCTCCAGCTTTGCCTTCTTCACCACAATTTTTCTCGCCCGACATAACGGTTCCAATTAATTGCCATTGTTTTTTTGCAGCATTGTAATTCATCAATGGTCCACCTGAATCACCTTCACAGGAATCAGTGCCACCCTCCAGCTTTCCCGCGCAAATAACATGTTCACCAAGGGTATCTGCGTCGTATGGATGTTGCTTTTTACATCTATCAAGAGATATTACCGGAACTCCGGCTTGTTTGAGAAAAAGTTCCTCTGTGTCTATTTTTGAAGGATTTCCCCAGCCAACAACGAAAGCTGACGAGTTTTCTTCAATCACGAGGCCAGATTCAGGCAAACAAATGGGCTTGATGTAATCATTATCAATGGGAACTGGGGCATTTAATTTGATGAGAGCAATGTCAAATTTGGTAAAGTTTCCGTTCTCTGGAACAGTGCCATCAGCCATGAAGGAAGGATGAGTGAAATATTGGTCAATATATCTTTTAACTTCTTTGCCACTCGTGTCAATCATTGAATTGAATCGACCAAAATCAACTTCAAATAATTTTGTGTTACCAAAGAGGAGACAATGAGCTGCTGTTACAACCCACAAACGATTGAGTAGCACACCACCACAAACATGATCTACAGGTGCTGACTTGGGATAACGCAATGACACCAACCAAGGCCAACTTCCTGGGATTACTTTTTCTCCTCCATAAATATGAGCTCCTAGAATTGAAGGTGGTATGACTGGAGTTCCACATTGTTCGGGAAATGATAAATCATGTTCGTTTCGGACGCAATCTTCCTCATCGGTACCATCTATACATGAATTTTTCGAATCACAGATATCACTTTTTGAGTAGCATTGAAATTTATTGCGGCATTGTTTGTCAAGAGTCAGGGAGCATTCTTGTGGAGGGTCAATGTGTTTATAGTAAAATTCAAAACCTTTGCCCCTCTCAGCACCATTGAAGACAATTTTTACTTGATTTGTTTTAGATGTAAATATTTTACTCAAATTGAACCGGCGAGTTGCCACAGCTAATTGCTTTTCCTCTGGTCCATCGTAAATGATCAGTTTTGCCGAACCTTCATCATCCAGGCCAAAACTGTACCTTTCTATCGAAATTAAAATTACTTTTCCCGGTGGAGCTTTGATTAACCATTTACAGAAAACATTTTTGGTGTAAAATGCTTCAACATTATATCCTGGTGATATAATCCTTCCAACTGGATAATCTTCAGTAAATACATAAGGTTCTTTCCCTATTGAACAGGCAAGATCAGTGTTTGCTGTGAAATCTCGTTTAAAATTGAATCCTGGATCAATGAAACAGAGAAATTAATTAGGATGAGCAGGAAGATTAATAATTAAATAATGATGGAATGATGTTTAAAATATCAGATGCAAAGAACAAAAAAAACACTGATAAAATGAGAACATGAAGCAAAAAGCAGAAAGAGATGGGTTATTGAACAATTGATATCACGATATTACAATGTCATGATTTGAGGTAAGCTGGGTGATTATTGGTGTTAATTGTATTAACTGATAATCTATTACACTAATAATTATAATTATAAAAGGCAAATATGATGAAACAGGGATGAATAATGTTTTCAAGATTACGTATGTTTGCATGGAGACAGTAGCGAACAATTAACGCGCTAAAAACAAACTTACTCTCGACTTGATCTTCACCAGAATTTGGAAACCAGATCAAGGTGAAAAGGATTAAAGATAGTTTGATGTTTCCTTTCATGAGTATTAAATGTAAAACGAAACAGGCATCAGATTTAATCAGATGCTATCAGCAATTGTTTCGTATAGTACTTTCCAACTTTCTCCTTCAATTCAATAGGTGAAGTGGAGTAGCAACAAAAATATGGAACAAAAGACAATTATTTGTTTCAATTTCAACTAACTTTCAATCTCGAGATTAATTCCCTTCTCCTTTTTTCCTGATTATATCTTCTTACTTCTTGGTTTTTAAAACCTGGTTAGCTGCTGTAGGAATGTTATTGTATCACCATGGCTTAATGTTGGTAGAGTTACTGTGCTGGTAATGGCTGAAGACGATCTCAGTGGTCAAAGGTAATGATGATTCCAGTTGCTAATGATGAATATGGTTATGGATGAAATTGAGTGTTAAAGGAAAAGATTTCTGGATAAAGGTAGAGATGGATTATTATAGTTTCACGGTTTTAATGGACAATTTTGTTCTTTTTACGTTTCCAATCAAGAGTTTACTCAGGTGAGAAAAAAATGCACAAATGATAAATGAACAATCTCTTCAATTCTCTCCATTTCTTCTTTACTCCCTAATGAAGATTATCATTGATAAATGTCTACATAATAACAGTAGGAGTCACAATTATCCTCATTGTCTCACTAACAATTTATATTAATATTTATTTTTCTCCCTCTATTGTGCAAATTTTAGTACGTTTGAAGCTCGATAGGCTCTTTGAACAGTATCGTTTTTATGTAAGACGAGATTGCCATGTATTTGAAATAAGCGAGGTCACATTTGCAATACGATTAGATTAAAACTCATACAATTTGAATCGAAGAGTAGAGCAAAGAGTAAGCTAATCAGTGAATGTGTTAAACAGATTAAAGTGAATCGATCTGATAATTTATAAACCGATAGGTTAACTGAATCAACTTAGCCTTGGAAGCATCAAACAATTGACAGGGTTTCATGGATTTACTTGAACATTGAGTTAAAGATGAACCTGGATATTTTTTCACTTTATAATTCTTACTGTGTGATCAAAAATCCATCCAATTTATCAATCCACATTAATGATAATATCGCACTGTTTCTAAGATATCTAAAAATGGAAAGTTACGAGAATAGATAGATATTTTAAAAAATAAAATTGACTGTTGACAATTATAAGGCTAAATTTGATTTCAAATCATTTTTAATGGTTACAACGGGTAAAAGTGATAGAAAGGTTGCCGGTATCATGCCAAGCAGCTGATGTGTTGGTCGTCATTGCGTGATGAATGTAACATGAAAGTAACTGTCAAAAGTGATGGACTAAAATTGTATTAATTTTTGGTTAAATCATCATTTTTTCTCTTGAAACCAATTACAGTAATCTCTCATCATCATCTACAATTAATTTTGTAACTCAACTGATCCCAAAAAAGGTAAGCTAACAATCAATATATTTTTGTAAGTTTTATGCTTTATAGCTTTTATCCCATGATCTTACTTTTGCTTGCTTTTTATCATTTCTTTTTCTTTCTCTTCATGATCATGATCACCAGTATCATCTTCCAGGAGGTTATAATGATAGTGATCCATTCAAGGATGAATAAAATTCCGAGGTTAAAATAAACTTTCACCCAAACGTGAGTAACTTTCATTGCTATTTCAAACTGACCTCTTCAAAAATGGTTAACCCTATTCAATCAGATGATATGGTTAAGTGTATAATTTTTTTCACTCGCAATTCATATCGTGATTAGATTCTTGTTAACATTTTAATTAATAATCTTCAGCTTCCTTAAAATGTTTAAAGGATTGGTGGTTACTGATGTTTACTTGCATTTTGATTAATAGAACCTAGAGTTTGATTTTATCATTTATCAACATTATAGAAGGGAAAAATTTGACGGTTGAATCAAAATTTGGTATAAACTGAAAATGAAATATTTTTTGTTTTTTTTCTTCTAAATAATACATTAAAGTTAGCTAAATATAAACTTATTCAACAGTTATCATAATTCTTATTATTACCATCACCATTACATTACCAATCTCTTGAAACATAATAAAGAAATAGTAATTATAACGTATTCAATCAAATTATTAATAAACAAATTAAATATTTAATTTCTAAACTTTTCGTATTTTAGATCAACTTACAGTTACTAATTTTTGAGACGCTCCCCTAAATTTAGTTAACTCCATCTACTGTCTGCTTTTTGATTCAACTTCACGTGATTTCCGCTTCCTTATTGAATCTTATCCTATTTCTTTCAAATAGTGGTTATTTAATTTTTGGGTTTCGTTTAATTTATATTGATTAATCATGTCTGTGAAAGTTGTAAGTTACATTTTTTGTATTTCTTAGGTAAGATTAAGATTCGGCAACTAATTTTAACTTATTTTATTACAGCAATCTGGTTTCAAAGCAGATGACGGCAAACCGACTCAGGATGAAAGCGTCAACAAGATTCATAGAATTAGAATGACTCTTACTTCCACAAATGTAAAGAGTTTAGAAAAAGGTTAGTCCAATTGATTAAATGTTTTAATTTGTTCAGGTCTCTTGTGTCTTGGCTTCCGCTGTTGTGTTGTATTAATATATCATTAGTCTAATTGGCCGTTTTTTTATCTTTTTTGTCTCTTTTAGTTTGTGCCGATTTAATCAAAGGTGCAAAAGATAAAGAATTGAAAGTATTTGGCCCTGTTCGTATGCCAACTAAAGTTTTACGAATAACAACCAGGAAAACTCCATGTGGTGAAGGGTCAAAGACTTGGGATAGATTCCAGTTGAGAATCCACAAAAGAGTGATCGATTTGAGAAGCACATCTCAAAACGTTAAACAAGTTACTTCAATAGCTATTGACCCAGGTGTAGATGTTGAAGTTACAATTGCAGACCATTGAAAATGTTACCCAATATAAACATTAAATGCTTAAAGTAATGATGAACTTCGCTCTCTTTTTCATTTATCCATCGGATCAGCCAATTTCCGAATTTAACGCGAGAAAATTTAGTAAAAAGTAATTAGTTCCCTTTCATTGAGCTAATTTTGGTAAACCTGATGCAATTTTTGATTAATTTGAAAAAAGACTCCGAACTGCGAAAGGATCTCTCGACTTGCCTTATTTTATGCCTCTTGACTCGATATTTTTCGTGTGAATAGTCATTGTCAAAGTGGAGGTAATCATTCAATGAAGGTTTACTGAGGATGATTTTGCTGAAACCTACACACTAAACACCGCATCACTTTAGCTTCGTTAAGTTAATAGCTGATGCAATTTTTGCAAGCTCAGAAGGGCTCTGAATTTCAATTAACATCATTTGCATATTAGAAAAGATATGAGATAATAAGAAAACAGGCAACATGATTGTTTATTTTCATCTGTTGAATGCTTGTGTCTTGCCTTCTGATTTTATCATTTATGCTTTGTGTTTCTGTTTATTTCCCTCTCATCTGTAATTAACCGTACGAACTGTTTAATAATTTAGGTTTTATTTTGGCCAATGTATTTTGTTTACCACCAGGACTAAGATGGTTTCCGTGAAAAGAGGTTCAACATTTAGTGTCTTAACACGAGCAACACATGGATCCAACCATTGGAGGGAAATTGGATTACAACAAAGGAGATGATAAACCTTAATGATGATTTCTTTACTACAAGCTACTACCGAGAGCGATAGTTTTGTTAATCAATGGTTGAATAATAGTTAAACAATAGAACCTGTTGATGGTTTTAATTACAAGTCACAGGATCCAACCACTGTTAAATTTAGGTTGAATTGGAAGGCAGTTACATAAACAAGCAACAATCAATCAACCAGGCAACAAACAAGCAGCCATCTACACACACACACACACACACACACTCACACTCAGAGACAGAAACGAATTAAATCAAGCTAAAACTGGAATATGACAATTTTCATTGCTGTTAAATATATTTATAATTTTATCCTTCTCTCTCTACATCTCTCTCGCTTACACACCTCACATACAAATGTAAACACATTAAATTTTTCTTGGGCAGCTCGTTCAGGAACATTGTTTTATAACCAATTCAGAGTTGAAATTTGCAATGGACAAATCTAAGGAAGGATTTACACTTGTTACACCATAGTCATATAAAGCTTGGAAATTTCCTGGAAACAATTGAATTGAAACGCTATTCTCTGACTAAAGATCCGGAATTATATGGATATGGATAAACTCAAAGTAGAGCGAGGTAAAAACAATTAGGAGACAAAAAAGGACAAACATAGTTCCATCTCAGCCCAAAGACGATGTTGCGATCTGATTGAGCAGCGAGATCATCATACTCCAATGAACGCTATTTGGATAAAACATTTGTCAATTCACACTTCAATTTTCAACTTGGATTTAACAGCAACTTGATATATCGTAACTAAATCAAAAGAAACGTGAAAACCAAACCTTTGCGCCGTTAGTTAAAATGTTTTTAGAACGTGTCTTGCGTAAATCTCTATTATCTACTTTTTAGTGAACTCAAAAACTCTTGAATTGAATTATTTCGTGGATTCAAGTATGAAGACTATTTCTGTTATGAAGAATACATTATTAGACATCAGATTGATATTTGGGCCCGTGAAATTACCTTATTTACTTTCCTTAAGGTTGATCTATTGTCCAATGTATTTTTCTCCTGTTAACTGCTCTTACAGTCTCGCTTGAAGCAAAGTCAATCGGTGGTCAGCCAATTTCCGAATTGAACGCGAGAAAATTTAGTAAAAAGTAATTAGTTCCCTTTCATTGAGCTAATTTTGGTAAACCTGATGCAATTTTTGATTAATTTGAAAAAAAGATTCCGAACTGCAAAAAGGATCTCTCGACTTGCCTTATTTTATGCCTCTTGACTCGATATTTTTCGTGTGAATAGTCCTTGTCAAGGTGGAGGTAATCATTCAATGAAGGTTTACTGAGGGTGATTTTGCTGAAACCTACACACTAAACACCGCATCACTTTAGCTTCGTTAAGCTAATAGCTGATGCAATTTTTGCAAGCCCTAAAGGGCTCTTAATTTCAATTAAAATCATTTGCTTAGACAATACAATGCAGCTGGTCACTCTATAAATGTACATTCGCATGATTGCAGGAAAATTCAATTGTATTTATTTTTCAAATTTGTTTTTGATTAACATTGGAAGTTTAATTGTGACACATAATTGGATTCTGACCAGGTTATGGTTAGATTGAATTTCAATTGTTCGCATTAAAAGTGGATAACTGTTGAGTTAAATATGGAAATAGTAATCCTTTCTCCGGGTATTCCGTCTCTAAAGATTCATCAAATTGACATAAAATTTTGTATAATTGGCTAACATTTAAACCCTTTTCGATCAATATTTTTTTCATTTCTTTCAACTCATCGGCCAGCTTGATGTCTTTTAAGGAACAAAACATTAAGTCTCTTTCAGCTTGAGATGCCGCTAACAATTGGATTAATGATTTTAGTTGAGGATCGCCACGCTTATTGAAACATCCCCATTTACCAGTTGCAATAGCACATCTGTGCTTTGGGTCAGATTCACTTCTGTCTATGAAACCAGAATAAGCTTTATTCAATTCTCGATCAATGTATGATTTTTTATACTGGTTAGAAATCTTGTCCCATGCAAAGTATTTTGCATCAAGAGCAAGTAGTTTTATGTATCGTCGACCCCATTCATCGGTTTGTGTTTTATCAACACAATTTGAATAATATCCTTTGCGCAGTGATCGTCTGTTGAATTTTTCAACTCCAACAATTAAAAGTGATTCATTGTTCAACATAAGCTCAGTGAATAATCTCAACATCAATAATTCTGGGTAAGCCAAAAAGCTACGAATCATCTGAGACCTGGTATCTGAATTCATAAAATCGGCTCCAATCAATTGATAAGTAGAATTGACTTGTAACAATCCTTTGCCTTTCTTTTCAATCAACTTGTCAGATTTTACAACAATTTTGGTCAAATTTTTATTAGACTTGTTCCATTTAGGAATCTCATCAGGCTGAAGAAAACGTCGTTCAAATGAGACAATTCCTTTTGGTAAATTTCTGGTTACTCGACGAAAGTAATTCAAGATACACCTTAATTTAAGTATCTTATGGTGAACATTGAAGCGTTCTTGCTCGACGTATAATCTGTGGATGGATAAACGAAATCTTGTTTATTTCATTTGTGAACCATTTCAAGTTTTACCTGATCAAATTAATGTCCAGTAATTTGCTGCTCGATGTTCTCTTTTTATCTTTGAAGGTGCAAAAAAATGCATTAGCAATCAAAGAAGCAATTTGTTGTTGACTAAAATATAAGGAATGATTAACTTTCTGTTTAAGGATGGGAATTGGCTGACGGATAAGTTTTGGCAATTGGATTACCAGTTCAATTATCTTAGGCAATGTTTCCTCGAAAAAATAATCTTTATCCTCGTCTGTCAAATTGTTCTCCATGAGTTGTCTTAAAACATTAAAATTTCGTTTTTTATACGTGGAGTTACATGCCTTAATTGCACTGATCAATTCCTTCGTTGTTAAAATTGGCGTATCTGTTAGGTATCTAACAATTTCGGACCAGTGACTGGCCTCCTGACCAATTTGGTTTCTAGACGAGTTGCTCAAACTATAATAAAAGGCATTTCAACAAACTCCATGGACTGAGATGAGTCAGTAGAAAATGGACAATCAGTAAATGATTCTGGATAAGGTACAGGCAAGCCATCACTAGGCAATGGCAATTGGTAAAAGATTGTCTTATCAGATGAGCGTTTTAATTCACCCAAAGGGGCACAACAATCAGGCTCACGGTTCAATATTTTTTTGTCTAATCTTTCAGCATCGATGGTAGACATAACGCGAGCTAGTATTAAGGCACTTATAGATGAAATAGATCGTAAAATCAAAGATGATCAACTTCTATGAAGGCATAATTAATAATCATATATTTAGATTACATAGATTATAGTATTTTATTTGCGTTAATGAAGCTTTTAAGGCATTAGATTTGATTTTTGGATTGAAGTAGCTTTATGAAGACAAAATGCGTCAGGATAAGAATGCTGCCATCTACTATTAAATAAAAATATTGAATAGCATTGATGAAATCATTGATTAACTCAATCTTGTCTAGATGTAAAACAACAATCTAATTCAGTCAATCCAGTGATGTCGATCCAGATTTTCAATTTTTATTTCGTTAGATCATTGAAACCAACTTTGATGACATCAATTATAATTTACGAAACAGTTATTTTAGCCGATTCCCGGAGTAACAGAAACTGGTTATTATTACACAAAATGTCACAAAATTGCGAACATTGTTGTTAATTAGATCAAATGTATACGAATTGATATGACATTGTTACAACAACTTGATGTAAAACAAAAAATTAAATTGAGAATAATATGTAGAAATAATCATAGACGTTAGTTTCAAGCAAATTAAATTAATTTATTCAATAAGGAAGTTTGACAATAAAAAATTCACCCAAAACTAATAGTTATCAATAATAAAATTTCATACTAAAGGAATCAACGCGGACTTTGAGATAACCCTTTTGTATATTATTTGGTCAACAAGAGTCGGTGAAACTCGCAAAAATTGGATACACACACAGTTAACGAGACTGAGACTGTGGTTACGTAAAAAAACTTACAAAGAAAATACCAAATATTATTTTAGAACAATAACATTGTTAAACAAGTTACGAATTGATGGTTACTGAGCAGCAATGGAGCCATTGATTAGATGCATTCATCAGGCAGTCATGTCAAAAACTAGAATCACCAACAGCTTAATTAAATAATATATTCAATGAAAATGAATTTAAACTGGCAAATGCGTTAACGGTTATTGAATGGGGCTGACTTGGCTCTCGATAATTGTGAGTTAAAACGAAGATTACGAAGATATTGGAGTGAGAGTTGAAGCGAGTGCATTGATAATTGCACCAGAGCATTGGTTGAATTGTCCATCATGGTAACTAGAGTTGTGATGGAGCCAGCAACTGTTGATGCAAGATCTGGTTGAGCTGGACACTTAGGAGCATAGAATATGATAACTGTTGATCCAACAAGTGTAGCCCACCAAGAAACCCAAAATAAGATGAAAGATATCATTCGAACCTTTACCCAAATTGAATAAAAACATATTAAATACATTAAAATTGATTGGTTGTTGGTTAATTTAGATTGACTCAAAGTCAAATTTTAGAGAAATTAATTTATTGTAACAAAAAAATCATTATAGTTATTCAAATAACAAGTATGAAAATACAAGATAATGTAATCAAACAGAGAAGACAATAAAATATCTCGTGAATCTCAAGATAACATGAATTTCTAGATTTTTGATATCTTTTATGGCTCAAACTGTGATTGTATAACGTTAAATTGAAGCGTAATGGAATAAACCAGTTTTTTGTTTATTTTGGTAGACTTTCGATTGTTCTTCTAATGATATCACAGCAATCAAGAACTTGTTCCTTGTTAATCGTCAGTGGTGGAGCTAAGCGAATTTTGTCACCATGAGTTGGCTTAGCAAGCAGTCCATTATCTTTAAGCTTTAAACACAGCTCCCAAGAATCATACTTTTTATCAATGATAATAGCATTGAGAAGACCTCGACCACGAACCTTTTTAATTACTGATTTGGGTAACTTTTCTAACTCAGATCTCAATAGATTACCCATTTGGTATGCATTTTCAGTTAAACCTTCCTCCAAAATTACTTTTATAGCTTCAACAGAAACTTTAGCTGCTAAAGGATTTCCACCATAGGTTGAACCATGTTCTCCTGGCTTGATAACCAACATAACTGGATCATTTGCAAGCACAGCGGAAACCGGATAGAAACCACCAGATAAAGCTTTACCCAAGGTTAAAATATCAGGCTTTACACCTTCATAATCAGATGCTAATAGTTTACCAGTTCTTCCAAGACCTGTTTGTATTTCATCGATGATTAGCAGAACGTTGTATTTGGTACACAACTCACGGGCACCTTTGAGATAGCCATCAGATGGAACAACAACACCAGCTTCACCTTGAATAGGCTCTACCATAAAGCCAACACAAGTATCTTTATTGGCCGACAAATACTTCTCTAAGGCAGGTAAATCATCATACGGAATCACATCGAAACCGGGAATAAATGGTCCGAATCCAGAATAACTTGACGGATCCGTTGAAGCAGAAATAGCAGCTAAAGTTCTTCCCCAGAAATTGTTTTCAGCAAACACCATTCTAGCTTCGTTTTTAGGTACACCTTTAACATCGTATCCCCATCGACGAGCTAATTTACAAGCTGATTCGCAAGCTTCAACACCACCATTCATTGGTAACACTTTATCATAACCAAATATTTTGGTAACAAATTCTTCAAACTCTCCTAAAGATGTATTGTAAAAGGCTCTCGAAGTAAGAGTAAGTTGACCAGCTTGTTCTTGTAAAACTTTGTAGACTCGAGGGTGGCAATGGCCCTGATTGAGGGACGAATAGGCTGCTAGGAAATCGTAGTATTTTTTACCTTCAATGTCCCAAACAAATACACCTGAACCACGGTGTAAAGCAACTGGCAGTGGGTGATAATTGTGGGCACCATATTTATCTTCCCTAGCCATTACTTGATCTGTTGTCAATGCCGGCGAAATTTTCGGAATATTGGTGGACATATTAACCTTATTACCCAATGTTGCCAGTAAATTTTTGGCTGATCGGGACAATCTTCAAGACAAAACATTTGGAAAACAGAGAAAACAGACGATCAGTTTACGGGCAAAACATTTTACAGTAACAAATAATGATTCTCGTTCAACTTTGAAAAGCCTCAAAATCGAGAATGAACAGAACAGCATCAAGATATTTTAATTTTCTTACCTGTTCATGATCATTTTGGATTTCGTCGATTTTGATGGAACCAAAATAAATGAGATTTATCGAGTTTAGAACTGACTTAAAACAGCTAATTGATGAAGACTTTCAAGATGACTGTGGTCAAAAAATGATGCTAGAAGTTTAGATGATAGATAAATATTGACGTTGAGCCTATGAAGATAATGAATTTATCTGAAATTTATCACAAAAGGCTTATCATTTAACTTATTCACAGATAAAAGATTTGTTGATAAACATTGAAAAGGCTTGAATGCCGGAGGATTTAAGGTTTAATATTAACGATTAACAATAAATAAAATATGAGAAGAAGAATGTTTTACACTAAAATTAGTTGAAATTTTGATTCATACATGCTCAAAACTGAAAGCACAGCTGATTAGCTAAGCTTGATCAAAGCAACACTTTTATAACAAAAAGCACTTAGGGAAATAACTCAAACTTTTGTCTATTTAATTTTATCAGCTTTTAAACATAAATATATAATGACATTCAAATAGATGTTAATATTATGATTAACAATAATATAGCAATTCTTGATTCGATTAAGAATCTAAGAAACAGTCCCATTCAGGTTAGTTTATTAGTTTTTCTGAACAAAATGTAATCATAATTTCGAGAGCAATAAATTTCCCTTGACTATAGTTTTACAGTTATATCAACGATAATTCATGGATCATAATTGATGGTAAAAAATTCACTCATTAGATGAGATAATTAGGTTGAAGCAATAAATTACGATGCTTCTCTAAACGTGCGAAAAAGGGAAAATTATGAATTTTATTATAAAATGTAAAGTCCCGGCTGTGAATGTTATGAGTTAAAACAAAATTGTCAACAATCAAGATAAATTGAAGGGAAATTATCTTGGTTAAAGTCAAAAATAAACTGTTTAATCAATTTTGTCTCCAATATTAATTGAAAATCGACTGTCAAATTCCCTCAATATTTTCAAATAATTTAGTTTTCATTATGATTCCTAGATAGCGACTGTTGTATTATCATCTGTTGATTTATTTTGATTTTAAATCAGTTTTTATTTTGGTTTGTATTCTAATTTATTAATACTTTAATACGCTGTGCATCTAGCAATTACATCAAATAGTTCAATTTTCATCTAGTCGAGTCTAAAACAATTATGTTACGCATAACTGAATCTTCCAATATTCAATTTGAGTTGAAATTGAGTTTTGAAAGAAACGTTGTTTTATAACCAATCATTTTGCAATGGACAAATCCAAGGAAGGATTTACACTTGTTACTTCATAGCCATAAAAAGCTTGGAAATTTCCTGGAAACAATTGAATTGAAACGCTATTCTCTGACTAAAGATCCGGAATTATATGGATATGGATAAACTCAAAGTAGAGCGAGGTAAAAACAATTAGGAGACAAAAAAGGACAAACATAGTTCCATCTCAGCCCAAAGACGATGTTGCGAGCTCATTGAATCTTTCCGTTAATTTTGCATTCAATTAGATTCTATGATTTTTTAAACTATTGCTTTTCCTCCATGAATAACTGTTTATATCTTCATTCCAACTCTTTTTGCAACTCTAAAGGAACAGTTTCAATCTTCTCTTTCACTTTCATCTTTAATATTTTAATTCATCACTTAATCATTTTACAATTACTATTTAAATTTCCCTCTCGCATACGACCGTTTAACTTATCTGTTTGGATTTGATCTTTTTATCGAGTATTTTCAGTCTTGATATCGGTATTAACAATCCTTTAATAAGGTTAAAGATAATTATAAATAACTCGGGTTTGAAATATAATCTTGTCATGTTTGCTCATTAATCAGAACGAGCTCCACGATTCCACTGATTGTTAATAGCAACCCATTTGAACCATATGAATATTTTTCGTCATTATACTTCAACATCATCATCAGGTAACATTGAACCATCATTGGAATATTTTTCACGGATAATAATCAGTTAGGAAACTTACAGTGAGCGTAACTCTCATAAAACTACAATTGTATCAACTGTAATGAAAGCTAACTCTATTAGACTAATGTTTGGATCAAATTTAGGTTCAAATGTTTAAAATTAATGCTTTAATTAACTACCCTGTTGTTTATTGTTACCAGTTTAATGAAATGGAAAAAAATCCTCTATTTCTTTTCTTTTCTTGTTTTTCAGAGTTCAATTTCGTTCACTCTTTTTTTCCAATTCATGAAAGTAAAAAATAAAATCAAACTAATCCCTGTTGATCTTTAACCTTGAGACTTTTGTAGAAACGAATTAAGTGATTAATTATTTGGCTGATAATACCTTAAATCATTACACTCTCTATCTTTAACTATTAGAACAAATGAGTACTCAATGACAGAGGCTACTGCAAAATAACTAATGTTACTGCAAAAGCTGGGTAAATAAGGAAAAAGGTAGTAAGGTTCAAAAGAACGAATTGAGGAAGCTTAACTAATTTTCTCGATATTAATTTTGTTAATGACTATTCTGGTGTTAAATTAACGTTTCTCAAATTAATTGAACCGCAATATGTTTAAAGGTGATTTTTTAATTATTTAATTTTCTAAAAAAATTGCTGTACAATTAGTAAGTTGTAAGTAAGACGCAGATGATTTCTCATTGGATAATAAGAAAAGGCAACATGACTGTCTATTTTCATCTGTTGAATGCTTGTGTCTTTCCTTCTGATTTTATCATTTATGCTTTGTGTTTCTGTTTATTTCCCTCTCATCTGTAATTAACCGTACGAACTGTTTAATAATTTAGCTTTAATTGTGGCCAATGTATTTTGTTTACCACCAGGACTAAGATGGTTTCCGTGAAAAGAGGTTCAACATTTAGTGTCTTAACACGAGCAACACATGGATCCAACCATTGGAGGGAAATCGGATTACAACAAAGGAGATGATAAACCTTAATGATGATTTCTTTACTACAAGCTACTACCGAGAGCGATAGTTTTGTTAATCAATGGTTGAATAATAGTTAAACAATAGAACCTGTTGATGGTTTTAATTACAAGTCACAGGATCCAACCACTGTTAAATTTAGGTTGAATTGGAAGGCAGTTACATAAACAAGCAACAATCAATCAACCAGGCAACAAACAAGCAGCCATCTACACACACACACACACACACACACACACACACTCACACTCAGAGACAGAAACGAATTAAATCAAGCTAAAACTGGAATATGACAATTTTCATTGCTGTTAAATATATTTATAATTTTATCCTTCTCTCTCTACATCTCTCTCGCTTACACACCTCACATACAAATGTAAACACATTAAATTTTTCTTGAGCAGCTCGTTCATTCGCACGCTTCACTGGCTGAACAAGTTAAATTGTCTACAGATTAAGAAAGCTAACTTTCTATTATAAAACTGTCTCAAGAGCTGATTGATCGAGAAGGAGAGAGATGCATCAATTGAATGTGCTTGAGAAATTGTGTCAATTACTGTTTGGTTGCTGGATATGGATGGAGCAGGAGAGAAACAAACAAGCAAAATAATAATAAGATGAAGTGAAGAGAAACAAAAAAACACTGCAAAAGGAATAAGGTAAAGGAGTAACGTTATGAATGCAACAATTAAATTTTGGACCAAAAATGGATGACCTTGAATTTTTTTCATCCACTAAAAGGAATATCAATTGTTTTCCAACTGGTTGACCTTCAAGGTTCTGATAATTCAGCAAGCTGACTGAACACTGTTTTATTTCGCTGTTGTACTCTCTTTTGGTTGTTGCGAACAGCCAAACGTAACGTTTGCTGTTGCCATTATATATTATTAATAGCAACTCAATATAAACAACCGTAAACACGCAAAATGCTCTACTGTTGCCGCTTTTTGAAACAATTTACAGGTAAGGGAAAGAGTTGATCAAACATAATTTGTATTGATTGTCTAAATTTTAATATGTTACTCTTTTACAATATTTTTCCTTCATTATTCAATCTCTTGAATATGTATATTCAAATGCACCTTGCTTTTTATATTTTATATAATTCTTGTTTTTTTTTGCTTTTCTTCTCTTTTTATATCATTTCTTTAGATGATAATCATGATAACTACAGTGATTACGATGATGAAATCCATTGATGAGATTATTGAAAGGCTGTTAATGTAAACAAATTACGCTTCAATTCCCTTCAACTTCAATCAATAATGTAACTAGAGAGATAGATCACATCACATCATATGATATTTTATTTTTCCTGATGAAATGCTGCCAATGATTATTTATTTTCTTTACTCTGCTGTTTTGTTATTGTAATAATAATAATACATGACGATCATCACCATTATCATCATCGTTCTGATGATTATTATGATGAATAAGTTGATTGCTAATGATTGTACAAAGATGGTTAATGTCTCATGTAATGTGATTAACTTGTTGGTGGCTCCAGTTGTTTTACCAATGTCTATCATCTTCTAATTAATCCAATTAGACAGTATATTAGTCACAAATTCACATTTCAATTGATGATTCCTGTTGATCAGATAGTTAAATGACAATCAGCGAGATCATCATACTCCAATGAACGCTGGTTGGATGAAACATTTGTCAATTTACACTTCAATTTTCAACTTGGATACAACAGCAACTTGATATATCGTAACTTAATCAAAAGAAACGTGAAAACCAAACCTTGTGGATTCATTTCAATTGTAAATTTACCACTACAAATTACAATTGAAATAATTAACCGTAGATGTAACTGTTTAACTTTATCCTAATAATCAGCAATTAATCGTCTCTCCTCTAATCTAACTTTGATTAGTCTAGCTCAAGTATAGAAGAAGGTAAACCAAAAAGTTATTATTAATATCATAACGTTAGTATCTTATATTAATTCCTTACGGTACTTTACCTTGATTGTTGATTAACTTTTTATCTTACCAGAAATTTTATCATAAATTAACAAGTTTCCGTCATCAATATAAGATTTATTATTAATAATAACTTATTATACACACACACACATTCAATTATTATTAGTCTTTGATTGTATAAGTGTAAACTTGGCTTTAATTCAGCGGTTGCTTCAGTATAGTCTCAAGACTAAAATCTTAATCACAAGTGTCACTTGTTAAACCACAGATAAAAGCTAATTGATTTAACTGAATCTCCTAAATATCAGATCTAATAATAATGACAATTGTATCCATCTAAATGAGTAGCAATCCTTTTTCAATATTGATCAAAACTGAAGACAAAATATTAAATCTAATGCAAACAACCCGATCAAAAGCAAAAATTTCAATCAAGACTAACAATGGTAATTTATTAATTATAATTTATTATGCTTACAGATGATAATTTATATTCCTAACAATAAAAATGTCAATGAACTGTCAATTTATTGTGTATAAAAAAGCATTATTTAATTCCCTAGCATCAGTTTTAATTGCAATGACGATGATAATGACGATGTAATGATTCTTATTGTTTTCATTTTTACATCTTGATCGCCACTTGATTCACAATTTGGCTCATTGATTTGTTAATTTTATAATTTAAACAATTGCTCTGTTTAAATCACCAATTTGCCGGTTAATCTGATGATTAGCAAATGAAGCGAGTGAAAAGTTGCTAATTTGATTGCTGTTTAAAACATGGACAACCAAGACAAGTAAATCTCAATTGTTTGACCAATTCAACCTTATTTTTGTTGACCTTTTGACCATCAAATTGACCAGGAAAAAAGGCAATCAAATTAATTGCCATTTAGTGTGAGCATTTGTCTTTACATAAATTGTAATCACAAAAAAATATCTCAACTTCTTAATACATTTGCACCTTTTTCAATCCATTTTTAATCAGCTTAATGTTTATTAACATAAAACAGTAAAACAATCAATAATAATTTACAACCGTTTGACCAAAAAATTGAATAATTCAGTTGATTAGCAGCAATTTAAGTATAAAAAAGATGTTGAATCGGTTTTACTAACAACAACATTTTAACCTCCAACTTGAAACTCATCACTTTACAGTTCATCGTTTGATTGTTTCAACTTGATTCAATTAATAACCTTTTCAACCTTCTTTTTTTAATTTACAGTTAATTTGATTACAATTTAAACTTCATTTTCCTTTCACTTGCTGTTAACCAGCAAAAAAAGAAATAATTTTGTTTGAATAATTTGATTGTAACTGATTGAAATAATACAAGTTTGAAAAAATATCTAAGAATTAAATTATGTCCTGTTTACATTGATTAAACTTGAAATTGTTATTTTGATTGTAAATGATATAAAAAGCCAAGGTTAATTTGACGATGGTTTAATTTCAAGGTTAAATTGTTTCTTTTTGGTTAACATTACCTGAATAATGTAATGTAATGGACCATGATTAGGCCATAGAGTTAACAAAGGATTGATGATTTGGATGAGAAAATGCGTTAACAATTACAATAATTGTTACAATCATCATTACATACACTGATAATTACAAAGGTTATGTTTTGTTGCCATTAAAATTGCCATTCAAATGAAAGCCTTTCAAACAAGATGCAAATCATTATTTGAAAACTGAATTAAGATTTACACTGTTTAGCTGAAGCTTACAATATTTATCCGGTAAACTGGCAAATTAAATTGTGCTTGAGTTTGATTAACTATGGTTAACCTTCCCTAGTTAGAAACATTAATTCAATGATAATGTTATAAACGGCGTCGAGATGTGGATACAGTTGTTCACCTTTGAAGCTGTCAGTGTTCATTTTGCTTTATTATTGTTAGGTAAACTTGTATAATCATCATTTTATTACCAGAAATAGATGAACTAATCAATGGATGAATCAAATTAATACATTATATCATCAAATGAGAGAAGAGAATCGTTAAAGGGAATTTAATTTTGGTTATTTTTGTATTTTTGTATGTATTGGGCGCAAAATTGCTGCCACCAATTGAGTAATATCATTAACATTGTTGAATAATATACAATTAATGATCAACTGTTTAAGAAGACAAATAGCTAATTGAAATGGTAACAATAAGTATAACCCTAAAATTGATTTTGGTTAGTTAGTAGTTAACCTAATAACGTTTGTTACCTGATTTTTTGCTGCCTCTTACAATTTAAACTGTTGATGTAATTTTTTTGTGGTTTTGCTATTGAAAACAAATGAGCTAAAATAGGAATCGATTAAAAAGCTTAACTGACACTATTCAAAGTACACCCAAAAAAGTGTTCATTTAATTGTGATAATAAAAGTTGACCCAAAATATATTGCTTCAACAATTTGCATAGGACGTGAAATTTTATTAAACTGGTCTTTTCATTGAAGCTTTTGCGGGCTTTTCATTCAAAAATGGATAAATCCATTCACCAAGTTTTCATTATCACCTAACCAATTGAAATGGTGAATCAAATTGTTGCCATTGAAATAAATGTGTAAATTTTGTGCGTAATTGTTATGCTTTTATTGGTGTTGATGTTACGCTGATATCCAATTGAAATATTGATTAAAAAGTATTTTATCAATAGGAATAGAAAAATTAACTGCCGTTAAACAGGGATGAACAGCTAGAGATAATAGAGACTGAGTAAATTGAAAAAAACGGATTGAGTGAATAAAAGGAACTGTTGGAATTAATTTGACAAAATAGGATTCCATATTTTCCAACTGAATTGTAGATAACCTTGAATTGTGAACAGTAAAAGGAAACTGTATGCAGTTGGATGTGAAAAATTTAACAAACCAATGATGACAATAACCCAACGCAACTCAATTTGTTCAAGTGCCTGGCAACAAACAAACGCAGAGATACAAGCTTGCTTGCTGCAAAAAGTGAACAGCAAATTATTAATGGCCTAATGAAGATGATTTAAGATTTAAAATGACGAAATAAAAGGTGATTTCATTTGTTCCATTGGGTTAGGCTTGATTCATTGGTCTATCCCGGGATACATGTAGCTTTTATAGCCATTAAAACCATTCCGATGGCAGAAAACGCAATAATGGCAGCGGCAGTTGAGGCACAAATACAAGGTCAACATGATCAGACCAAAATGTTTCAATGTTTCCATCTTAATTAACCATCTTCTTGGCCACAATTGAGACTGTAACACAATTTTCAGTCTCTGGTTCAAGTTACATCGTTAACACCAGTTTCCTCGGAACTTAACCTTAAATTTGCTTTTTTTACTTGTTAGTGGGCCACTTTTGACTGTTCAACCCTATCCTTTTTCATCTTGCTTTTTATGTTCATCTTCTTGTTGTCATCATAGAAGTACAGAACAATAGAAGACATAATCCTGGTTACCGCCGCCTTTGAATTACCTTGTTTTTTCTTCTCAAGTTAATTGTTTTGTTTCCTGAGTTATTCAGTTCTTTTCTCCTTGTGTACATCATCAGCATTAACCTAATCAACTGTGGGTCGACCAAAGGATTTATTTCTTCCTACGGCGAGGAAAACCATCAACAGCAACAGTAACAATTTACCTTAAAAAAAAGAGCAAAAGATATGACAAAAGTGAGGGAAAAAATGAAAACAAAAATCATTTGTCAATCAAGATAAGTTGATTCTTAACTAATCTTGAACACGAGAAGAATAGAATCACAATTAAAATTCTCACTTGGAAACAAAAGGGTTGCCAGAATTTCCAACAAAGGGAAACAGAAATGTTTACAAGCCTGTAAAAATCAACACCAGCCAAATGACCATATTTAGAATACGAGAATCCACCTTTGTTGTTTTTTAATCATAGGTTATCAACCTTTGGTGAATTGGTTACAATTGTTAAAAGCAAATATACACAATGATTGATTAAATTAAACACAAAATAGGCGATAATTTAGTTGTTGGCCTAAAAAAAGAAGCTATTAAATTAAAGGTTCAACCTTGGGCTAGAGTTTGCACTCATCCTTATTGGTGAGAAACAGAAAGCATAACAATGGAAAGGAAAGGGGACGTTATTTACTTACAACCCGAATGTAACCAAAGAGTTACATTTGCCAGTTTAATAACCTTTTTTGTTTTTTAATGTATATCAGTATCGCCTTTCACCATTAAACATCATCTTAAATAGTAATCTAATTATAATCACTTTAATTTTAGCAGTAGTCAACCAAGTATGTGTATCAACCAGACAAAACCCAAATCAACTAATATCCTTCCTTAAGTTACTGTATATCTTTTTACACTGTTATTCAAGGTTGAACCAATTTTCGGGTTAATCGGTTAATTTGTTTCACCAATCATCTGTAATAAGAAAGCCAGATTCAAAAATGTAAAATAATGTAAGTTAACCAACACTGATTTATAACATTGATTCAATATACTTGTGTATAATATTTAGATTAACGGTTTTCATGTAAAAGTTGCTTTCTTTCAATAGGAGTCAATAGAGTTTACTATGAGGTGTTAAACTGAACGTGTTTGGACCAGCTATTCAATGTAAATTGGAATCAATGAAACCATCTAAATGGATTGCTGATGATCAAGAATAATAATGAAAGAAATAAAAGGGAAAAAGATGACCTTCAATCTGATAATCATAATGATTGGGAATCATTAAAATATACTGATGTAAGCGCTTCAAACACACACACAAACACAGCGTAAAGACATACATGTAATGCTATGATATTAATAGAGTGAATCGCATGATGTTGATGATCAATCAAATGAATAGAAGCTAATGATCAAATCATGTAACCTCTCACTTCTTCCATCAATGTTTCATTGTTAAATAGCATTTAATCTTTATTTTCAATTCAAGGTTGGTAAAGTAGCATTTTTTGTCTAAATTTGTGTGTATTTTTGCTGTTTGCTTACCTGTCTATTGGATTATCATTGGCTCATTCATGACTGAATATGCAATTGATACAAATTGTCGCTTGTATTTCATATCTGGTCACACATTTACTGTAAATCACTGACTTGTTAGCTCAAAGGTGCAAACCAAAATGAGGTTGATAATGGTGTTTAACAATGAGTATTTCAATGCTTTTTCATGTAATTCTCAGTTGACATTTAAAGTGCAAAATATATCTTTTTGAGCTTGTTTAAGACTTTGAATTATTATACAACATTGGAGGCTTCAATTGCTAAGATTTATCAAGGTTTATCGGTCAATTTATTAATTATTAACTGTAGCTATCAATTGAAAAGTTATGCTTTCATGTCTGTTGTTGTCAATATAAAAGGTCATCTTTTAGTTTCTCCAATTTTCCTTAAAAATTTTTAATGTCGAGGTTACAATTTTAAGCTGCTAATACAAGATTAAGATTCCTTCGTCATCATTATTATTATTGTAATCAGCTGTATTAAATTGTCAACCAAATGAGCATAAAACTGAATTAATCAAGTGAGAATTGTTGATCATTGGAAAAGTATAACATTAATTGGATATGAAAGGTTGAAGTGAAGCCAAAATATCACTTTTATAAAGCTGAACCGATAAAAATTGTTTGATATTCAATATCGATGAACTTTGGGTTTAATCAACGGTTAACTGTTGTTTTGGGTAACATTTAATTCATATCATTGCAATTGAATAATCTTGGGGAAACAAACAATTTGACTTTTCAATTTGGTTTCCCAGAAGTTTCATGTTCAAAATCACGTCCATTGACTTTCAATTGAATCACCAATTATTCAATACTAATAATGTTATCCTCTGATATGATCACCGTAATGATCATTATAATAATCATCATATTCATCGTCATGATCATCCGGTTTCAAGTTTACATCATTTACATGCATTTGATCTGACAAATGATCAAACTTTCAGATTGAAGGTAATCAGGTTTTGCACCAGTTTTATTTTATTTGATAAACAAATGGTTAAATATCTAGACCAGTGTAACCTTGGTTTGTTTAAACACTTCAAGATTGACCAATGAACCGGTCAGTTGACAGTGTTAGTGTTGAAAAGTGCAACAAAATAATAATCCTAAATAATGGTTTGATGGACCAGAAAACTGGTTAACTAGCAAAGTCACTGTAAGAGGAAAAAACTTAAATTACAAGTTGGTGAGAAAATGAAACAAGATGAAGATGAGGAAAAGATGATGAAGAAGAAGATGAAGAAGAAGAAGATGATGATGATGATGATGACGATGAAAGTAAGTCAGTGTGAAAGTATTTTTATGAGCCAATGAAAGTGAAATGGTGTTGATGAGGCGAGTCAAGCAAGTTACAATGAAAAGCTTTACTGTTTTCAAATGTTGACTGAATTTCTGGTAAACTTGGTAAAAGGTTGGATTATTTTACAATGATGATTGAATTGACATCAGAGATGTTGTTTGTTGTTAATGATGATGATAATAATGATTATCCAATACAATGTTAAATTGATTGTTTACGTTTTATAAATATGTCTCTTCCCATACCCATTTTTTGCATGTTCAACATGACCAAATATCTGGTCAAACCGGTATTTGTAACGGGAATGTATTAATATATAATATACATTTTTACAAGTATTAATGTACACATAAAATGACTATTAGCAACATTTTTCCTTTCAACTTTCATCCTTAATTGAAGTTACCTTTAAAATTATCATGGATTTATTATATTATTTTGGGCAAAACAAAATGTTTCGCCAATACTTTCGCCTCACTTTGCGTTTTCACCTTTTAGTTTCACAGCCAATCCATTTCCTTGACCCTCTTTTTTTTGTTCAGTAAAGCAATCTTTTACCATCATCTTTCCTGGCCTTTGCTTATTTAGTTATACCTTTGAAATATCCACGCCTAAGTCCAACTTTCATCAGGCCCAGGTTACGATGCCTTTAAGGTAAACATTGTTGATGTTTTGCTTGTAAATGTTTTCATGCTGCTGTTGTTGCTTATGTTGTTGTTGACGATGATGATGATGATTGTTGTTGCTATAGTGGATGGGCATCAAGGTCCGCTAGAAGTGGAAACCATTTTAGCTACTTGTTATTTATTTCAATACCGTTGAAACCAAGCAAATTGAGTTTACCTGGGAAAGACTGGTTAAGTCATATGATGCTTGTTTCACTTCAAGTTTCACTTTAATTTTCCCTCGTGTTTTCACTTTAAGTAAACTTGGTAAGTAAATTTTTGTTGTTGCTTTTTTTTCAGTGAAAACATTTCAATCCTTTTTGGTGATAAATAAAAAGCAAATCTGATCATTTTGATGATGCATTTAAAGAGGTAAAACTTGTTCAAATGGCTTGTCCAAAGCGTCTTAAATGTACTTTTCAGGTTCACAGAAATCAAAAAGTAATAATTCATTTTTGTCTGATTGTATGCACAAATTGCTTGGTTGCTTTAAGTACGGACTTATTACTCATTTTCCTAGGTAATAGTTTTGGCGCAAAGTTAAACAATCAATTAGATTTTTAAATCTTGAAAGAAATAAAAAATAACACTTTCATAACTGAAATTGATTCTGATGAATTTTATTTTCAAATTTTGAAAGCAAAAATGTTTTCCAGTTCAAAAGCGATCCAAATTTTCACCAAATTGACCATTTTCAGAGTTTGTAGTTCCATTCAAAGTTTCAAAACAATATAAAATGTCAATCATTACAATCAATTATCCAAAATTCATTCCTTTATTCAAAACATTTAGTTGATCAAGTAAATGAAAACATAAATAATGTGAAATACTGTTCAAAGTCGAGAAAATTGATTTTTTTATGAAATCATTCTCAATCTTTTCTGAGTCATAACTAATAAACCTGAGTCACAGATTACTCTGGATCATCTGACTCAGAAAAATAACTTTAAGATGCAACAAAAAATCAATTTGATCTGATTCTGAACTTCATTAATCTTACCTTTTCCAACGTAAAATTTTGTAGCTTTGAAAGTGCATTGTATCTGAATGAAAGTTTACAGTTTTAAGCACGAAGTGTAATTAAATAAAGAATATTTCGAACTTAATTGCTGAAAAAGGCTCAAATGGCATGATTTCACGATATTAAATGTTATTCATCAGCAACAAAGTGTCATTCAGAGTAAAAAACTTTCTTTCTTGACCTTTTCATGTCGATCAGATGTCAAATTAACGAATGACATTGAATTACCTTAACACATGGTGAATGTAGTACTTCAACTCGCAAAGTTCCAAGTCTCAGTCCTCTAACATCAATGGTTCTTGAGTTATGAACCCAAACAGTTAGAAAAAAGCTTACATAAAAAAGCAACTTCGGTGCCTCAATGATTGTCATTGCAATCACCACCATGATGGAACGGACATTAAAAGGACGTTCAAATACTCTCTCGATTTGAAATTGAAATGTGGATCTATTTAGAAATGATAAAAACAGATTTCACCCTTTCACATTAACATATGAAAGTAACTCTTGCCCAGAAAGGAAAGGCTTGACAAAAGAATATTTTTAGGCAAAAAAGAGCGAAATTTTGTGTAACCTGGGAAACCTCTCATGTGATTTCACGAAAAATTTTTGAAAGATTAATCTTTTTAATGAGCAACAATTGTCTGATGTTTGGACCAAATGTTGATATCGATAACCTCAAAGCTTTAAATCAAGTCTTTTAGTGAATTCAATGATTCTGTCAAGTTTATGAAGTAATTGGTATTAATACATCTAAAGAGCCATTACAAGGTTTCTGTGTATTAACTCGATACTCAACTGATCTCAAATTCATCATGATAATCTATCTACAGACAGATTACTATCAAGTCACACAATATTTTACCTTAACTTGTTGCAAATGAATCAATGGATTGTTTTTGCCGTATTATTTATGACAAGAAAATGTTGTTAAGCTTAAAACAATCGTATTAAAGGAGATTATTTTGTTTGTTAAAATTGATTTGATCGCAATAAACAGTTTACCTGGATTGAACACATTGAAGGATAACTTCAAGTTTTGTCAAATCAAAATTAAACCTCTCAACCCTTCAATATTAAATTGTAAATGTTACCTTAAAATATTCATTATCTAGTCTTTAAGGAGTTCTTCATGGATACTTAAAAGTGTGATCACCTTTGGTCTAATCTGATCAACTAATTGTAATAAACGACAATCACTGTGAATCCAATAGACATTATAAAATCTGTTGACTGGCAACTGTTTTCATCTGCTTTCACTAGCCATTAATTTAGTGAATGAACTCCAATTAAATCTGTTTATACTCATTAAAATTGAAAACTTGTACACTTTAACTTAATTTAACTGAAAAACCAGACTTGATCTTCATCTAAAATCAAATGTTCAATGAAAGAGACTGAGTTAATAATTCCAGTCACCTGGTTATCAATCGCAAAGGTTTATTATCAATTATTATCCAAAACAACAACACAAATCAAGAGTTCATTTTATCACGTCAAGACACAGAGATGATTAAACTTGATAGTCAACTTGACATTTGCAAAGGAAATAACCAAACACTGTAATGATTTACAGACATGTCGATCCATTTTAATTGCTAGGAAAATAATTGAAATGATTTAGATGATCAAAGATTGAGTTTAAACAATTAAAACTTGGAAAAGCTACAGCAAAATGAAATCTCGATCAAACCTAAATAAAACTGCACCAAATGTTAACCCAAAAGTGATAGCAACAGGCATTGAAAGACAAAAACAATGGTTTTATTGATTAATCTTTGATTTAATGGTGATTTACTATTGATTTGCAAATGATTAGAATAATTCTTTCCGATTCTTCATCAAACAATTTGAAACTTATCGCTTCTCGGTCAAAGTACCCTGAAGACATGATAGTGATGATTAACATTTGACTCTTTTACGGTCTTCTATCATTGACAGTTAAAATGATAACAAGTTAATAATTATCATTGCTATTATTAAATTGTGCAGATATTATCATGATTAACCTTGATTGTAAGTAAATAGAGGCTGAAATTGTTGTCTCAATTGCAAAGTAAATTGATTACAATCAACTTGAAATATCAAACAAAATTGTTGGATGGGAAACATTTTTCCAACTTGAATATTTTTATCCCTTCATTTTGTGTTGTTCAACGTTTAACATGAACAATTAGCATGATTAGATGAGCACCAAAAGATTACTGGTTAATCAAAGTTAAAAATATTATTAATTGTAGTCAATGAACAATTACCAAAATAACTCTAAACTGCGCGTAAACTGGTAAACATCTTTTGACAAAAGGTAAACCTTTCAATTTAGGTTGGAAATACATTGATTTTTGTTGAAGACAAATGCTATTAAATGATTTACTTGGAAACCTCAACTGTTAACAGCTGATTTGGTTGTGATTCAACTAATCAAATAACATTTTTGCTTCTTTAAATGACAATTAAACAATCAGTTTACAATTTACTTTAAAATTGAAAGTTATATAAGGCTTTTTTAAGGTTAAACCAGAAAACCAGAAAACCAGAAAGTAAACAATCTTGTAAAGCTTTTTAGAACCAGATTTGTAATTGAGGTTTTTCAAGTTGTTAAAATTGAATTGGTTAATCACAATGAGTCTTTGGTTAACCATATTAAGTCTCCGCGTGATCAAGATTAATTGTAATCATTGATACAAAATTTGTGGTTAGCTGGGTTTGACTGGTAGCATTGAGAATCCATTGGATTGTAATGATGCATGTGAGTTGACAATCATGTGCTGTTGGTAAAATATAGTTGCCTTTTTAAAAAAAGCTCAATTTCAATTGATTTCTGAGTGGGAAGTAAGATAATTGTTCAATAATTTAACTTTAGCTTGGCTCAAATTAAATTGTGATCTTTGGTAACAATCAACTTAACCTTTTATTTCAAGTGATTTTGTTTTGCCATCAATAATCGTTAAACAAAAATGGTAACATTTTTAATGGCAACTGTTTAACCAATGGTCATTATCATCAAAATAATCAGTCCAACCAATAATAATTATAATTACCATTATTATCATAATCATCACAATTATAACCCAAAATCACCATGAATGTCAGTCTGTGAACATCAATTGCATTCAATGGTTCAAATAATATGCTTCAACTGGTTTACAGAGCTCACGTTGAATGATCACAATTTGGGTTATACAATTGAATCTTTTCTTGACCAATGTAAAGTCACTGACCTTAGTTAACATTGGGTCAAGGCTAGTCTTTACAGTTTTATAGCTTTATGTTTAGCTGGGATCGATTTGTCTGTCTTTAAATGTTTCTCTTTAAAAGCTTCTTTACGTAACAGGAAAATTTAACCAAATCAAGCGACTACAATAATGAAGAAAGGTTAATTGTAATGTTAATTATAAATAAATAGATATAATCATTATTGGATGGATTAAGACAACAATGTTTCAATAGCGGTAATATTGATTCAAATTGTAATACTTTCTTGGCGTGTCTTTAATCAGTAAAAATTGGTTTCAATGCATTTCACTGATAATAGTTTAATGATGGTCAGTTGATTGAAGGTTTATCTTTCAATATAAAAGGCAATATTCAACAGAATGTCTACTTTTATAATGTTCAGCGAAAGCGTTTACCATGTTGACTTGCTGGTTAAGTCAGAAAATTTTGTTTTTTTCATGGCTCCATAACAGAATTTCAAGGTTGAGTCCTTTTTTCATTGCAATCATCATCTTTTTTAGCGTCTTCATCTTGAATTACTTTCTTTAACAATTACCAAGGTTAATTTAAAAACCATTTTCAAACAATATACATTATATCAAGCTTTATCGGTAATATTGTTAGGTGAAGATGAGCGTGGAAACATCTCAATAAATCTCATATCATCATGGAAGCTTAAACTATGAAAATGAAACTGAAACAACAACAACTTTCCCTGTTACTCTAATACCAGACTGGAAACCAGGAAAGCAACAAAATGGAGACCCGAAAAAAACCTGGTAACTCAATGTTTAGGTTAATGGGTTGAGGCCTGAAAAAAGGAAAAACAAAACTGGTTATGACTATTGGTAGATAAAGGTAAGGAAACGATGGAACCATTTAAGGTGATGGTTTATAATTATTGTCATAATTAGTAACATTAAATGTTACTGTTTTAACAGTTAATCTAATGGAATATAACTTTGATTGAATCAATTTCATTTTGGATTATCAATTGATCAAATGTGCGTATCAGGAAAATTGGTCTGGCAACAAGTAATCAGATGAACTGTAATAAAATATCCTTGGCAATCGGGCTTTTGTTAGGAATCTTTCTTTGTTCTTAGTTTGACCATTAACACCTTTATTCCCATTAATTACAATGACCATCAATTCCATTTCATTCATTTAACAATCGAAGTAGGAATTATTTTTTGTCTTCACTTGACGACTTTTCAATGAGAATCACTCACATCAAGTTGTAAAGAAGCAAACAGCGAATGAGATTAAATTACTCTCAATTACAATCAATTTAGATTGCGATAATTTGATACTAATATGATTACCATGAGTTGTCGAGTTCATTTTAACCGCACTCCAACATTACATAATACATCACTTGATTAAATCCGACAATCCAACATTGCAATCTTTGTCTTTTCGATCGGTAATACGGTTCAACATCTTCTTTCACAAATGCACCGTAATTTGCGCCATCATTAAATCAACTATACCATAGCATTGACAACAACTGGATGAACAAGATTAACCAAGATCATGGGAAACCAAAAGCAACTCGTGAAGTTTGAGAAGGTCGACGTTTCGATTTAGCGTGACAATGTGAAGTTTTTCATCTAAATCCAAACAGTTAAAATTTATCAACATGAAGAATCAATAACTCTTTGAATCAACAGGTTTTAACTTGACTTGTATTCAAAAGTACAGCAAATATAATACAATATACAATTGGGTAATTTGTTGTGTTCAAAGAGTAGGATAACTTTACTCTTTGGTTGTGTTGCTGTTTGGTCGAAGTCACGTGCTCAAAATGACGTCAAACAACAGGGACCATACAAAAATTTAGACTCTGCGACAGCAACAAGCAATTTTGATTTTTCTAAATTAGGTAACATCCCCTTGTTTGGATCAGATGTTTTGTTAAACCTAAATTTTAATTGTGATTTTTTTTAAGTAATTTGTGATTAATTTTTGATGTGATAGCAGACATTGAACTGTAAATTGGAATTATTTAAAGTCCACAATCTTGTAGATCCATTCCTGATTTTGTTTCATAATCAATTTCATTTGTTTATCTCCTGTACAGAGTCACTAACTTATTATTTAATCATTTTTGCATCTATCTGTTAATATACCAGCATTCAAAATGTCATCTAGAGTGGATCCAGCCAGAACGTCTAAAGGGGAGAAAAATCTTGCCAGTCTATCCAAACAATACTCTTCTCGGGACCTTCCTTCACACACCAAATTGAAATACAGGTAATGTATTGCTATTGAATCTTCTTTATCTTAGTTTATCTGTATTATATTTATTTATAGAAGTTCCTCATCTAAATTAACATTACAATCAACTCTAATCTAATTTTTTAGGCAACCTGGACAAAACACTGCAGAGGATCTTAAAAATAAAGACTTCAAGCGAGACTTAGAAGAGAGAGAAAAATTAGCGCTTCTAGAGAAAGAAGGTCGTAAATCTCAAGGATCGTCTTCGGGAGTATCAGCATCACGTCATGGTTTACCAGAGCCTAAGAGACTCAAAATTATGGCAGCTCCTCATGATCCAGATGCTGATGATAAACTAGATGATGACGATGATGATGATGATGATGACGATGAAAGTGATGAAGATGATACTGAAGAATTGTTAGCAGAATTAAATCGCATTAAGAAGGAAAGGGCTGCTGAAGAAGCGCGAAAAGAAGCTGAAAAAAGGCAACAGGAAGAAAAAATTCGTATGGAAAATATTTTAAGAGGAAATCCATTATTGAATTCCAACAAGACTGAATTTAAAGTGAAAAGAAGATGGGACGATGATGTAGTGTTTAAAAATTGTGCACGAAACGAATCAACTAATAAGAACAAAGAGTTCATCAATGATACGCTAAGATCAGAATTTCATAAAAAATTTATGGAGAAATACATCAAATAGAAATTGCATTTCTCTCTCCATTTTCACCATTATATTCCTTACCAATTTTCATTGAACCCAACTCAAAGCCAATTGTATGAATAAAGATCAATTTGATATAAAAAAATTTACCTTTTTACTGTTGCTGTTGAAACATCATCAAAAAGGCAGTAACAAAAAAAGCTAAACTTTACAAGCAGCAATTGAAGCTCCATTGGACCACCATTACAATCGTACTTGACCTGATTTACTCGTTACTTTTTCTTTTATTCAAACACTTTTTTCGTTACATTTTTTCTTCCAAAAATCATGGATAAGAATGGTCTTAATCATCATTATCGTCATAATCAACATGTGTGTTTTAACAGCGTTAAACTCAACATAGTTTGGTGGCTAAAACAAACCAAGGTAAAATGTTTAATTGGTCAAATCCTTTCAAGAAATTTGCCTGTCATAATATAATAGATTGAAGTAAACCTTGAAAATAACATTTTAGGCCTCCAAATGGTCTATCTTGAGAACGGGTTAAAAGGTTGATTGAATCTGGGCTAAGAAACGGTTCCTAGGAAGTAGCTTTAGTTGTTCAATAAGGCTTAACACAAGAAACAACCTCGAAACTTAATAACCATTGCAAGGCTTGACAATACTTGACAGTTGTCAAGTAAAATTGATTGTAAATTTTACACAGAGCAATTGGAGACTTTAGTTCAAATTAAACTGATTAAAAATAAGATAATTTAACAATAAAATAGAGAGAAATAAAAGTCGAATATAAAATATACAATTTTTTGAAATAAAAGACGTTCTAAATGAAAAGTTCAGTAGGCTTAATCAAGGTTAAGAAAAGATTGGAAAGAAATAATATCCAATTCTAGACATAAGAGAGGCCCTGATTTCAATTGACTTGTTTGGCACATATATTTCAAATGGTTAATTAATTTAAATGATCAAAAATCATTTCTCTGACTTATTACGGTTACCAAGCAATCATTTTAATTTAAGTCTCAATTTTTAGTTGCAGTACCTCAATCTTGAGCTTGAGTTAGAAAGTAAACAATTCAAAGTCCAAACAATGAGATTACATTAAACATGAAAAGCTCAACACTTGAAAGTTAATTTTGCATTCAAACAAATCACCTGATCATCATTAACTCTCATCATCTGATGAAGTCAATTTCACATTAAGTTAATCATTCTTTCTGATCAAATTAGCCTGAAGACAAAGCAACAAAGCATGATAACATTTTACCATTGAAAACTACTGCTAGACTTGAATCGACTAGACTAGACTAGATTCTTGATAATTTAGTATTTTCTGTTGATCTAAAATTGTAAACAGATAATGAAACAAATAAGCCAATAAAACATTACAAGGAGGATTTAAAGAAACCATGAAATATACTAAATTCATAAAAATTTGATTGATATTATTTGAGATTGTCAAATTTGAGGACTTTTTAGCCAAGTAATGGAGCTGTAAATTAATAAATCTGATAGATGAATATGTTACAAACATGGTTAACCTTGATTAAGCTGGGCGAGATTTGAGCAAGAAAATGCCTGATTAAATTGATTAATAAGCAATGGTGTAAATGCTTCATGTTGACTTGCTGGTTAAGTCAGAAAATTTTGTTTTTTTCATGGCTCCATAACAGAATTTCAAGGTTGAGTCCTTTTTTCATTGCAATCATCATCTTTTTTAGCGTCTTCATCTTGAATTACTTTCTTTAACAATTACCAAGGTTAATTTAAAAGCCATTTTCAAACAATATACATTATATCAAGCTTTATCGGTAATATTGTTAGGTGAAGATGAGCGTGGAAACATCTCAATAAATCTCATATCATCATGGAAGCTTAAACTATGAAACTGAAACAACAACAACTTTCCCTGTTACTCCAATACCAGACTGGAAACCAGGAAAGCAACAAAATGGAGACCCGAAAAAAACCTGGTAACTCAATGTTTAGGTTAATGGGTTGAGGCCTGAAAAAAGGAAAAACAAAACTGGTTATGACTATTGGTAGATAAAGGTAAGGAAACGATGGAACCATTTAAGGTGATGGTTTATAATTATTGTCATAATTAGTAACATTAAATGTTACTGTTTTAACAGTTAATCTAATGGAATATAACTTTGATTGAATCAATTTCATTTTGGATTATCAATTGATCAAATATGCATATCAGGAAAATATCAGCAATAATCAGTGAAAGCAGCAACGGATTTCAAGTTGAACCTTTAAGGTTTGATTTCATGATTCCAGGTAACAATCAATTCATTGCAAGTGTGTTATTAAAAAATGGTCCAATCATTAATAGAAATTAATAATTATAAAAATATTGATCTAAATTGAATGACTTTACACTCAAAAGCCACTTGTAAGTGTTGTATTGAAACCTTTTGAAAAAGAGGTGAAAGCAATAATTCAATGTTACTCAATTTCTTTCATTGGTTACAAATAAATTAATGAATAACTCGCGTGAAGCGCTATTCAATTTAATTGACCAATTGTTGTAAAAATTAACAAAATAAATAAACTAATTAATTGAAAATAAATGAAACAATAGTTGGACCTGTGATATGAAAAAACGGTAACACCAGTAGACACGCTAACAAATAAGAGCAACAAAGCTTGAAATTATTGTTGATTAATTGCAATCAACTACACATTACATAACTATGGTACTTGTAGTTACGGTATTATTGTTTGTTGATTGAATACACCAATTAATGATTAAATAAAAACAAAACCCCGAAAACTAAGTCAATCAAATTGGATTGTCGTACACCTTGAGGTTAAGGTTATTGTTATTTTGGAAATATTTGTTACAGTTGTTACAGTTGTTGATACGTTTCCTTGATTAACCACCATAAATACACAACCTGCAAACAAATAATAATAAAATACATAAATAAATACAAAAATAGTGAGATAATTTGAAGATAAAGTATACAAAACTTCTAGGTAAAAATAGAGATTCAATAGACACACAAACAAAAAAAGGTTAACTATTCAGTGTATAGTGCGGCAGCAAAGTGAAGTAAACTGAAAAAAAAAGATTGGCGATGACGAGAATGATGATAAAACAAGGTAATTAGTTAGCAACTCATAAAGTTGATTGATTGAACAAGGTGAAAAGAATAGAAGAGAAAGGAGAGAAGAAGAGAGGAAAGAAAAAAAAGAGAGAAAAGAAAGAGCAGAAGAGGAAAAATGATGATCAGACGAAACCTTTTTCAGGTTAACCCAAAAATACAGTCGCACAAAACATGGCAATATTCTCGCTCGGTTAACATTAATACAATCATGTATTCAATGTGAATCAGGTAAACTGTACCTTGAAATGATGCACATTACAATGAAACAAAAACACCAATCGAGACTTGGCTGTACAATAAACTGTAGAGTAATGAATAAAAATAATACATAATGTTAATAAATGATGAAAACAGTAGGTAATAAGGTTAGGCTGGTTGGTTGGTTGCCATAAAATATAGACGAATGTAATGCTTACATAATGTAGTCAACAATGGCACTTTAGGTTGATCATATGTGTTATCAAAAAGCATGGTTACACTTTGAAAAAAGCTAAATTGTTATATTTTGTTGTTATTTTTGTTTATTGATGGGCTAAATGGTGTTGATCATTTTTTCACTTTATAAATGCTTTGATTGTATCAATATTTTTGTTGAGTGTTGAAAGCTTGAAAAAAGTTATTTTAAAAATGGAGCCAAAAGTTTTGAGCCAATGCCTATCAATTGAACATCCAATGAACCAGCATTATATTTATAACCGTTCTTGACCCGATTTACCGCGTAATATCTTTTTTTTTCAATTATTCAACACTTTTTTATTCGATGTTTTTTTTTCACTCGCTTTCCCATGAGGCCAATTCAACTTGGCGCTAATCATGAACATCATCCTTACCGTTTGTTTATTCATATCTCACACGTTCTGCATGTTTATACACAGCAAGGTCAGGTTTTGTGGCAAAACCAAATCATAAAAATTTGAAGGTGAACCAAGGTAAAACGTTTATTTGGTCAAACCAGTTGAGCAAAGGCGAAGTGAACAAGGAAACAAATGTGGAGGAAAGTTTGGTTCAAACAAAAAAGTGAATACAATCGGTATCATGCATTGAACACTTTGTTTTTTTAATGATATGTTTAACCCTACGTCCAGGCCTGGTCATTTTGGTCCTTCTCCACACAAATTGGTCGCTTTTGAAAGCATAAATTTCTGGTTAAAAGAAAAGCGATTTTATTTAAACTGCCAAGCAGACAAACATTTGGAGAGGAATATAACCTTGTAAAGCCTGTGCATGCCCTTTCACCTCTCGAGCCAAAAGCTAAAAAAGTTGAAGCCCAGCAAGAATGGGTTAAAAGGTCATTGAAACCCTGGGAATAGCTGATGGATAAAAATGGTTCCTAGGAAGTTAACTTTAGTTACCAGTTAGACGTTATAACAAAAAAAAAACGTTCATCGTATCCATTCAATGAACCTAAACCATCAACAAAAATTATCTTCCATTACTTCTTCATCTTATCCTCTATCTTCACCATCTTCTTATACTCAAGTTAAAAATGATATCTTTCCTCAATTTGTTAATCTTACGTTGTTGTTGTTTCAAGAATTACCTCTATCAATGATGATAATTAATAAGAGTGATAAACAAAACTGTTGATTTTGTGACAATCAAGGTGTCTCGACTACAATTTCAGGAGCAGCAGGAGCCTTAAACTGGCTAACGTAATCATTTCTGTCAATTGTTAATAACTTGATCTGCCTAAATATAAATAATGATACATAAATGAAAGTATCACCAAAATACTACAAGCAACATCCAAAGCAATGGCAATAGCAACAACAACATCAAGTCCGGATATTAGTTCTCACTCTTCCTAGTTTTTTTAGCTAGAGCCTTAGATAATGAGAAGAAGAAGAAGAAGAAGAAGAAGAAGAAAAAGATGATGATGATGATGATCCCTCTTTCCTTTTCTTCCTTTCTCCCTCTCTTTCTAGTGAACTGCTTTATCCACTTTTCCAGTTGATAACAAAATTATCATCATATATATCTTTCTATCTTACACTCTGTTTTCAATTCCTACTTCCGTTTGTTACTCTATTTGTAATTGTCGTTCATCAATTTAATTAACATTCTTCCCCTTTATTTGTCTTCCTCAACCCAGAGCATCGCCATCATCTTTGGCGTATTTTGTCTCATCATTTCAAATCTTACCCAGGATTGTTAATCCCCAGTTAAACTGGCTCTATGTAACGCCAATTAAGATTTAATCCATTAGATGAAGCTCACTGTTTCAACGTATCCTTTGGTGCCATTTAAATTGCAGCAACAGATTGAAGTCACTGCTGCACATCTAAAGATTCAACTGGATTCAATGAGATTTGAAACTCAAAAAATCTCAATTCACGTTTGTATTCATGATAGTCATAAATAGAAGCATTTGATTTGTATTAATGCTGATCAGCAACTTACAGCAAGATTTTACAATAAGCTCATCAATAGGAAACAACAAAAACCGAGACTTGAAGTTCATATAACCATTGAACAATCTGTGACATCAATAAAAAATCATAATTTAACAAATAAATTGCTACAAATTGTTCTTTTGTATTCATCATTGTATATTAAGATTTACACAGCTTAACGGTTAACAAATAGCAATACAAATGATAGCATTGCAAAGCTTGAAATTGTTTACTTTTTTAAATATTAACATCATTCTTCATCATCATCATCATTGTTTCTGATTTTCAGGTTATATTTTTAAACATTAAACACAACAAATGTGAATGTTGATAATTCACATTTGATGATTTGTTTTTGTTGTTATTATTTTTTTTGCATAAATCAGGTGACATTTGCTCAGATCATTGACTTATTGACATGAAAAGAGTCATAAATATTAACATGATTGACATGAACTTAATCATTAAAATAATGATGCGACTGATGATGATGATAATGATGGATAAAAATTTCATTCTTGATATTAATACATCAATCCTAGATGAAACAAAATCAAGTTTATCATTTGTTAATCACTTTCAGGCAAATCTTTTTTATCATCATTTTGATAATGTACTCGTTATGAAATTTTTAGACAATTTTGACGGCATTTCATCCTTTAGACTGAATAAGTGTAAACCAAATTAACTTGAAATTGCAATTCGATCAACTTTCCATTGTAATTCAAGAGGTTTCTTGAAAAAGGGAAATAATTTTTGTAATTTAAGCTCAGTTTGCATGAAAATATTTCAAAAAGATTGCAATAATTTTTACAAATTGTCCAGAAACACGATCCAAGTCCAATTGTTGGAGCTTTGTTGGTCACAATTGGGTCCAGTTTAGGGAATCTTTTAACTTGATTTTGTTTGTCAATCATTTTAACGCCATTCAAAGTCAAATGCTTTTCATGTTTTCATCAGCTTTTATCATTTGACATTGAGATGAATATGAACCATTTGAGCATCTTTTTTGAATCAACTTTTGTTGTTGTATTGCGTTCACATTCACACATAAAACACAATGTGTAAGGTCATGTCGGCATCATCATCCGCACCATGATTGATGATGAATGAGTGAACATGATGACGATTATTTAGGTTGCCAGTTTTGTTGTCAACGATAAGATTCACTGAATAACAGACTTGCCACTCTTTAGGTCACCATGTCAATTGTATCATCAGCAAGATCATCGATATTGATCATCATAATAGGTAAAACAGAGTTAATTATCATTCTAGCTTGATTGATTTCAATTATTACATGAATGCACATGAGACAAGTAACAGCAAAACAAGACACCAACAACAGCAACAACGTTTTCAATAATTTGTTGTCTACTTGTTAAGCATTGTAATCTATTATTGACTTTTTCCCTTCACAAATTAATTAGATTCTTAATGCTATTTGATTCTAATTAAACAACTATAATAATGCTAATAACGTTATTATCAGTGAAGACAGCAAATCATTCATCATAATACACTTTATCTTACCAAGTAATACAAATAATTTTCAAGAAACAACTCCATATCAATCATAACTTGCCATTACTTTGCTTCAAGCCAAATTACATTGACTAAGGCAAAGATATTGGTTGCAGGTTAAATTTTCAATTTATGTGAATCAACTCGGAATATTCAATAATCGGTTCATCAGGTTTTGGCTCCAATCAAGGTTCAATTGAACAAAAAATTAGCCAATCGCCAAAAAAACAATAACAAGAGGATGATTAGGCCAATAGGTCAACTTTTAAGACAATGAAAGTTGCAATCAAAATAACATCTGATACAGATGATGATGTTGTAAAAGGAAAAGTATCTGATGAAGAAAAACTCTAAAATAAGAAGAAAAAAAGAAGAAGAAAAAGGGTTTGTTAGTAAATCTACTTTTGATGAAAGATGCTTCATGGATGAATAAGTGTTTTTGTTGCGAATCAAAGATGAAGACAACCAGACTGACAAGATGAAAGAGAGAGAAGAGAGAGACAAAAATAGAGACTGATGATGAAGTAAAGATAGACTTAATCTTGAAGTGTAACTAGGCCAAAATAGCAGTAACCGAAATTAGCGGTTGCTCCCGTTGAGTGAGGCTATTTGGCCTCAAAAAATATCATCAGTTCAGATTTGGAAGGCTGAAAAAATGGACAAAATTGTCACTGAATGTTGCTTAATGGCTGGTCAATGAATTTGGCGAAAGTGTTTATATTTTTATAAAGATTATCATCAAAAATTATCATCATGAGAAGAACCAGAAAAATGACTCCGTTTTTGGGTTCCACACCAATTTAGTCTTTTGTCTGTTATTGAACCCGATTTTGGTTAACCTTTAGTCTTTTTTTACCTACAGATTTGCTGACAATTTTACCCAGTTTTACCTTGAAATTTTTACCAGTTTTTTTGGCTCTAAATTAATTAAAGGTTACCATTTGATTGTTGATTAGTTTCAGTTACCATTCTAATTGGTAAAAACATTTATTAATAATTTTGCAAGTGATTTACCAGAAAAACTATTATTGGCTTTTGATGGACAAAACTTGTTCAATATTTGACGATTTTGTTCAGTTTACTTGTTCAATGAAAGTGACTTGACTCTTACTTTTCCCTCTTTCTCACTATTCTGGTCAGTATAACCAGGACAACCTGTCAAACCAGGTTAAAAGTTTAAGAGAAAGTGTTTTTAATTTTTTCTTTACCAAAATTTGTTTCTTTTTCAGTAAAATCTTCTCATTATTTTCCATTGTTTTATACCTTTTCCACCTTTCTCATTATCTTTCTAAATTACCTTTCAACAATTAAAATTAACCATACTGATTAACCATATAAACCAGAATCAGAGATTAATTGGGAATCTTTCCAACTATGTTTACATTCGACAAACCATTTTCATCACTTTTTTCCCTATCTAACTTCATCAATTCTCATACAATTGTCAGTGATGACAGCAACCCAATTAATCTTATTTAAACTGAAAACTAACCAAATCATCATTATTGATAATGATAATAATGAAATAATAAAATGTTTATGGCACACTGATGCAAATCAGTGGAAGGATTGTTTAAACCAACAAAACGCTCAACAGTTACAATCAAGCAATACACCATTTATGTCTACCTTTTTTGCCATTATTGTAATTTAACCATTGCATGGTTAATAGTTTACAGTTTTGACGGTCAATTGTATATTTAGATTTTTATATATATATTTATATATTTTGTGTCTTTAATAGCATTCACGTTGTTTCTAATTATAACGTAATTGTCAATGATTTAATAAACCATCAACCTTCATTTTTTGGTACTGCTGGTGGTTTGTTTGTATTTATAAACTTATATGTCCCTTACAATGTGTAGGAATATAAAACATTTTTGCCGTTTCAAACTTTCTCTTGCCAACCCAAAACACACCTAAATTATATTTAGTTGTACCTTTGATTGTTTATAAATAAAGAAGACTGATCAAGTGAAGAAGAGAGGGGATAAAAAGAATGATCATGATGGTGATAATTTCAGGATTCAGGATTAAGTATTTCAGGGTTTGCAGTTTTTTTTCAGGTATAAACAACTTGATTCAGATGACCTCAAACTTTCACCTTGCTTACTTCGCATTATTCGTACTCAATTAAATTGAATCTACCTGAGGGTTTGGTTTGAGCAAAAAAGCAATTCTTTTTTTGTATTCTCAACTCAATTTTACTTTTTATTCTAACACTTGTTTCAATGATGATTATGATGGTTATGGTGATAATTAGCTAATAAATTATGGTAATACCACTTTGTAACCAATTTGATAATGTGTCAGCTTTGAATTAAAAACGTCTAACGGTTGGATCTGGTGAAAAACAAGTCCATAGAAATATTAGAAAAGGGTTGCTCTTTTACTTCAACTATTTTGGTTATTGGTTTAGTTATGTAACCAGTAATAATTGATAAGAACCATATGATGGAAAGTATGTTGTACTTACTTGGATAGTAGTTTTTGCTTTAGTAAATCAACTTGTTGATTCAGGTGAATTCACAGTATCCTAGTAGACAGGATTAATGACCAGAAGGTTGGAAACAAAATGACAGTCATGAGTTAAAGCTGTGGTTGAGTTTGGGTTAAGAGACAACCAGGAAGAAATAAAGCGAGGATTCGGTAAACATCACTTGGTGACAGTAAAAGATGTATCCAATGTAAATTTAGATGATTGTGAACAAAAACAGTGGTTAAAATATAAAAAAATGTATCAATCAATATATTGTCAACAGTCAATCTGCGTAATAACATACTCTGGTTACATATAATTCCCATAGATGTCGACCAGTTAGATGAAACTCGATTTCATTTTATCCGCCATTACTTTGCTTTTTTAGAATCACTTTTCCCTCTCCTTCAAACAGGCCAATTCTGTTAAGTGCAATAAATTATCGTCATAAATTATTGAATAACTTGTTGACAGTGAATGTTTGTTGATTTGAAGTTATTAGTGATTAAAACATGAGTATTCAAAAATGGTGTATATCATAGTTTTATATCTTATACAACAGGCAATATGGAGGAAGAAGCAACAAGTTATCTGAAAAAATGTCCCAATGTGATAGTGAAAATTGGGTCCCAATCAAACAACCATGGTAAACATTGAAGCAGATTGATAAGTTAATTTGATTGCTGTGTTTACAAGTACATAATTTAAATCAACATGGAAGATAATCATCATCTAAATTACTTGAGTCGATGGAAAATGGCAAAAGATTGAACAAGAGAGTAATAGAGAGAGTGTATAGAGAGAAAGAAAAGGAAAACAAGTGAAAAGATCAAACAACAGCTAAAACCAGTGTAAAAAGTAAAATTTATTGGTATTGAGATGAAATTGCAAAAGCAATCTTGCAAAAGTAACATTCAAATAATGATAATAAAAATGATAAATAATTAAATTAACAATTAATTTTGATAGTTCATAGTGTATACAGCTAAACAATTTGAGTTTGAAATAATTTTTTAGGTTTACGCATCAAAATCCCATCCGTTGATCAAAAGATTAGATTAAACACTCGAAAGATAATCATTTGGATGCTTTAAAATTGGTTCTATTAAATAACAAAAACCGTAATAACTTGACTATCTAATCATTTCAAACAACCGATGGAATTTAGAGACGCAAACATAGTTTTTGTTAATTACTAAAAAGTCAAATGGGTTAACTGTATCTGATGAATAAAGTGGCATCTTGGTCCGTAAGGACAGAAACCAGTTGTATGGTAGGTTCGACATAATTCCGTCTTGTACTTGGGATGTCTTTGAAGAGTTCTCAATTCCTTATCACCATGGGCAAACTGACACTTATCTCCGTATTTACAAACACCGTTTTCATCATAAGGGCGACATAATTCTGTCTTATATCGAGACGAATTAGCAGAATGAGAAGATGAACGATTATTATTGGAAGTATATGAGCTTATGAAAATATTTGTTGGTGATGATGGAAGCCCTGAAAGGCTGTTTGAAGGCATTTGCGGCAATGGTGATGGTAGACACGAATAAAATTAAATAATTTGATGAATGATGATGAGGGTGAGGGTAATGAAGATGATGTCGTTGTAACACTTATTGTAACACCTCGATCCTTTTGATGTTGTTGATGGTGCTGGTGTGGTTGATAAAATCGTTGGATATTGATGATTTAGTTGACTTTGTTGGCTTTTTTTGATGTTTATGTTGGTTTTTATGTTCAACTTGCTTCAGTTAATAGTGTTGTTAGTGTTCGCAATGTTGATGTTGATGTTGTTGATGTTGTTGATGTTGTTACTGTTGTTTGTTGTTTGACGACTGTTGACGAGTTTGTAATGAAATTAATACAAACTCAAACTCAGCCGTGAGTCGCTAACGAGCAGCTGCCATCTAGAGCAATTATTTATAAGCTTCAACCATAACTAAATTTCAGTTTGCTAAGGTTGCCATCTAGCGGGCATTTGTAGAAGCACATTGTAAATGATTGTTGTAATGAAATCTGATGTAATAAGTCGAAGAAATGACTTGTGTAAACAAATCTGATACAAATTAACCCTTTTGATTGAAATATTAGAGGATTATATATCAATTAAAAACCCCAAAGAGTATTGCAATCGAGAACATCTTGATTATTTTAAACTAAATTTTCAAAACATTGAATTGAGTTTTTCATTTAACTTCAATTTATTTGAAGTGATCGACATTGTCGATTGTATAATAGATACGACATCAACATTACAATTAAGGTAAAACAACGAATATTAATATAGTAATTACAAATATATGCTAATTTCACGGATACATAATATCTTTGTAATAATTAATCTCTTTTTTTTGGCTAAAGAAAATGATTTATCTTCAGCTTAAAAATTCTTTCAAATCACTTTCTGATAGTTTGTTGATACCTTGGCCACTATTTTCATTAGCAGTAGGTAAATTGGATGACAATGGTATCAAAGGTGTATGACTAATCATTGAATTAAGGGATGGACCAGAATTGTTGTGTTTAAGTCCGGGTATGGTTAATTTATCTAGTGGAGATGTATTAAAAGTTGGTCTGGAGAGATTGTTTGGAGATATCATGCTAGTGGAAGGAGCAATAGTTGAATATGAATTTTGAAATGCTGGTGATCTTGATTGGAGAAGAGCTGGTGAAGCGTTTTGAAGAGAGTAATTTGATGGATTATTGGTATACGTATTTATATTGGTTGAAGGTTGACTGCTACTCCATAAACCAATTGCTGCCGATGTTGAGGCCGTCCCATTGGTCATGAAATTTGACGAATTTGTAGTATTTTTATTGACCATTGAATTGTGTGACATGTTTCTTATATTGGCATCAATAAGATTTGAAGTGAGATCCTTTGGTTTTGATTGAGGGGAGATCGAAGATGTGTTAGATGAAATATTAGCTGCAAGTAAAGTTTGGAATGATTCAGATGAAGAAGATGTCAAACTCTGGTTCGGATATTCAATTGCTCTGGGTTCCTTGATTGAACTTGAAGAGACATTAGTGGTCGTTGAAGGTAATGTTTTCTTGATTTCTTCTGAAGGAGAAGTCATAGGTAATTTAGCAAAGAAATCAAACTCAGTTTCTGGTTTAGATGAAACATGTGATGATGATGAAGGTAAAGGTAAAATTGATGATGGTGTCGAAGAATCTTTGGCTGTGTATTTAACTAATGCACTGTCTCGTTGACTCCTCATATTGTCCAATTGTTCCAATTTACTTTTTTGTTCTTTTTCAACTAAAGTTACCATTTCACGAATAAGAGATAAAATCTGGATAAATTGATTGGTTGTCAAACCATTTTCAATTGACAAAGGCATCAGAAATGGTATGACTTTGGTAGCCATTATTTCTTTAGTTAATCCTAATTTACTGTTATTTAAAACCATTTTGAGGATACCAATGATTGCCATGATGATAGCTGGTTCTTTTGATGTGATGGTCGTTAAAAATGGTATTATATCATCTAATACTAGCCATTTGTGTAAATACTGTAATAATTTGGCTATACAGATCAGTGAGTTGACACGTGTTGACAATTGATTCGTGTTGTTGAAAAGTTTTTTGATCCTAGGAATGATGGCATTTTTCATTGAATTTTGATCAATAAGATGAGCGACTGTCGGTAGAGTTTTCAAACATAATTCTGGTACTTCTGTTGAATTGTTTTCCAGGCAGCAACAAAGCATTGGAAGGATGTGACTTTTAATTGAATCTTGATGAGATTTACACTTATTCAAAAGTAATTCCATATTTTCCATTAATAACATCGGAATTTGAATCGGTTCTTTCATTTGCAATACTTGAACCAAATGTGGCAACATGGATTCAACAAATTCCTCACTAGATAACTCTTCCGCTATGAGGAAAACATTCGGAATGACAAATGGCACCATATCAGAGTTTAAGAACTCTTTAACTAAACAGTTAAAAACTCGGTCTAATTTAATTCTTTTAGGCATTTTTGTCATTATCTCGGGCAATCCTTTGTAGAATTTAGATCGCTCAAGATTATCAAACTGAAATAACGAATCTAAATATTGAAGCGTACGAACCGCTACATCATCAAATAGTTCAATTTTACAAAACCTATGAGCATCAGGCCTCAATGTTGGATCGACGTATAAAAGAGAAGAAATATGCCGTTGCAGATCATTGGGAATTGAATTAAAAGTTTCAGAAGGAAGCTTTGCGAATCGATCAATACGAGAGGTTGTCATTGAATTAATATTGCCAGCCGTGGGAAGAAGAGGCTTGCCCTTATTGTAAATATAATAAATGAGACATCCTAATGAAAACATATCTGCTCCCAAAATAAGGCATGGATCACTAGTACCAGATGAAATGCAGGTAATATATTCTGGTGCAATGTAATCAAGGTTTGGTAAAGCCAAAGAAGGATAATCAGTAGCATTGTTTGTAATGTTGAGAAATGGAAATTTCAATGGAAATTCATTAGGGTCAATGGGTTGTACAGCAAAGTCGAAACCTCCCAGTTTCCAAGAACCCTTACGATTAACAAATACATTTTCCGGAGATATATTGCGATGCAATAATTTAGCATCACTGTGAAGAAAGGCCAAACCTTCTGACAATTGTAACAATCCGTAAGTTATTTCAACTTCAAAGAATTCATAAGAGCGAATCTCGGGAGGAACAGGAGATTCAATATTATCATATTGCCCATATAAGTTGGCTAAGGAAGCTAAAACAGGTTCAGTAGCAAATGCTAATGAATCACGACTTTCTTCCAAAGGGTGCTGAACTGTTAAAATCGATGGATGCCTTATTTTAGTCAACTGAGAAACACCTTTACGAAGAATATCCAAAACTAATTCTTTATCCCGGCGACTGTATTTATCCAATATTTTTTTCTCTAAAACAAATATCGATGCCTCTTCTTTGGTGCTCTTCTTGAAACCAGAGTATATTTTCCAAGATAAACCTGTTCAAATAAAAAATGAAGATAGATTAATCATCAGCATGAAAATTGCCAAATTCTAATAACAATAGAAATAGTAGAACAATAGAAATAGGATAGAATTGATCAATAACATTTCATGGCAATTGAAACGCACTAAAAGTTTGAACATATTGAAGGTATTGAAGCTTATTTACAGCTTATGTAACTTGTTATCTAAAACACAAAACTAGCCTTTTTTACGGAAAATTTAGTATTGATTTAGTTTTAATTGGAAGTGTGAGATCTAAGCAAAGACAGAAGGGAGTTATCAATTTTCGGTAGCATGATTAACTGATTATCTACAGGAGTATGTTGACATTAAAATTCGATCATTTTTGAAAGTAAACAGACAAAATTCAAGATCGGATTAGAGATTATTGTATTATTGTGAGAATTTAAATCCCTATCAAGCATTAAGGAAAATAAACGGTATATGTTCAAGTAATACATTTGATTGATGAAAGTAGAAACAATCAAAATGAGAGCAAAATATTGTTTAACAGAAAAGACATCATCACTTACCTGGTCCACCTGAAGCTTTATGGCCAGTAATCTCATAGTCTCTAGTAACCGGATTACCAGGTAATATGTTATTTATGTTTGACACTGTAGTAGAAACAGTAGAACGTAATTTAGATACAATTAAATCCATGCAGACAATTAATTGATTAAAGGGAAAGGGGATAAAGTAGATTGTAGTGAAGAAGTAAAAAAAGTAAAACTAATGAGTCAATAATGTTGAGTTGCGCTTCATAACATTAAGCATTACATTTAAATAAAACCTGAACCGCGCCAAATACAAACAATTTTTACCGGTTTATCAAATGTTAAGACAATTGATATTTGTAATTTATTAGAATGATTTTAATATTTTTTAAAATATACCTGATTAATCATGTTCTTACTAGACATTGGAGTCACTACAAATTTTCTCAATCCAAAAGCTAAATGTAAAATCTTTGATTAAAATTTAAGTTGACTTGTTTTGAATTAAAGCAGCTCAAGCCAGTCGATTATTTAAAATTGTTATTTTTCTGCTTCCATCCAAAGTAAATTATATAATTAGATTTTGAATTTATTTTGTTTAAATAGAGTTTTCTCTTTCCAATTTCATCAAAAATACAGAGATATTTTTCATGAATTGTCAATGATTCGCACTGATGCTAGCTAATCTAGGAAAAGTGTCAAAGTTAAAGAGAAATGTGAATTCATTTATTAAAATAATTTTGATGATTTTGGCTTTATCTGAATGAATAATTTGAGTATTCAATCAAGCTCCATTGACTATGATGGATGATCAGTTTTTTGTCTTTGCAGGTAATAATCTTTTTTTAAATGTCGCTGTACAATTCAAATTAATATATTCGTGAGATTCATGTCAACACAGTTGATAATTATAAAACTCAAGGTGAATCAATATTTGAAAATATTCCTGCATAACCTGAACAGACTAACTCAACATCAATAAAATCAAAATCAATCAATAAAAATAATAATGATGTCCGATCATCGATCCTTTGGACTAATAAGATAAGCTACAGAAATGAAGCGTAAAGATCTATTAAAATTGAATTAACCTTCAAATCTGTAATTTTAATATTGAAGGTCAATAATTTTTAAAGCAATTATTATAACATTCAATAATTTCTGGCCAAACCTCATAGCAACAATAGACAACTCGTCTGAACATGGATGATGAGAATATGGAACATGGGAGATTGATCTTGATGAACGAAAAATTTATAAAATACATTTTAAAGTAAGTTTAGTTAACCAGTCATCAGGATTGACGAACAAGAAAGTTTATATTTATAATATATAATATTTAAATTGTAGCCATTCATCAATAATTATCTTTAAAATGAGTAAAGCAATAATTATATTAGTTAGTCTGATTCTAGCCTGTGAGTTGATTCAATGTGAATCGGACAAGCAAAGTCCTGTATTGCAAATTGCCAATGGACAGATCAAGGGAAGATTGAAACAGTTTCGTGGGATTGAAGTACAGCAATATTTATGTATTCCTTATGGTGAACCTCCTATCGATAAGTTACGATTCAAAAAGCCATTACCGAAATCAGCCTGGGCCAATGTTTTACCTGCCGATGAATGGGGTCCATATTGTCTTCAACCAAAATACTGGACAACAGGAAAAGGTTTAAATTATTCAGAAGATTGTCTGTGTCTCAATGTATTTACAACCTCAGTTGCCATTGAAGACGCTAAACAAGGCAATGATGAGCTTCGACCGGTTATGGTTTGGATTCATGGTGGAGCATTCATTTTTGGTTCAGCCAATAATCCAGATCAGTTTGATGGAACGGCATTAGCTGCTTTGGAGGATGTGGTTGTTGTAACAATAAACTATCGTCTTGGTGAATTTGGTTTCTTACATTTACCCGAAGCTGGAGTTCCTGGTAATATGGGTCTTTGGGATCAACAGTTGGCTTTGAAATGGGTTCAAGATAATGCCAAATACTTTGGCGGTGATCAAAATAAAGTAACAATATTTGGTGAATCAGCTGGTTCAATTTCGGTATCAGCTCACATAGTATCGCCCCAATCAAAAGGCTTGTTTAAAAATGCAATTATGCAAAGTGGTTCAATCTATGATATCAATCGATGGACAGTTAAAAATTTGTCTCAGACCTTTCTCGCCAAGATTGGCTGTGTCCCTCCAAATGATATCAACCAATGTTTATCCTTATTTGATTATAACAAAAATCCTGAAACACAATTTTTATGGTTTTGGCCAATTGTGGGTGATGAATTTTTACCCAAATTACCTGAGGAAATAATTGAAACTAAAGGTGTTGATCCATCTATCAATGTCTTGCTCGGAACAGTTGGTTATGAAGGAGCTAACATGATTGTCATGAAAGATCCAATAACTTTCCACCCAACCAGCCCTGCCAATCTAACTCTAATCCAGGCTAAAAAAATTTTAAACCATTTACTTGGACCTTCAAGTTGTGATTATTTTTTTGAAAAATACTCTTACAATACATCTTCAAGTGATGAGATTCGGTTAATGGTGACCAAGATTATTGGTGATGTCATCTTGACGTGTCCAACTTATGTTTTTGGTAAAGATTTGGTTCAAAAAAATGGATTGTCAAATGTTTATGCTTATTATCAAAGCTATAAGCCAACTATAACATTACTCGGAACTGATATCAGTAAATGGATACCAGCAAGTCATGGTGATGATATCTTGTTAGTTTTTGGTCATCCTTTAGCTGAACCTGAAAAATATTCCTCTGACGACTTGATACTTTCACATTTCATGGTAAACATTTGGGCAACATTCGCTAAAACAGGGTAAATTTCAAACAAATTTTAATAAAATTATTCCTTCACCTATCAATAGTAATTAGTAATTTGCTTTGATTGCAGAGAGCCATTCTCTATCGGACCTCATAGATGGTCGAAATGGACCGAGAAAGAAGATAAAGTTACTACTTTCACAATGGAATTGAATCCTCAAAGCATTGGCCCGATTGATGGTGTAGTTAGGCCTTGTCTCGATAATTGGCCTTTCCCACTGGAGAAACCATACAATCTTAATAGTGAAATTGGTGAGTCTCAACCTTCTAATTATAACCTAATCTTTTCAGTCTAAAATTCGTTTAAATTTAGTAGTTAATTCGCTTCTCTTTTACAGGTAAACTACTCGAGCTTAAATAACTTTTGATTTACTTAAATCAGTTGGTTGGTAAGCATTAATCTGGTAATTTGACCAGCTCTGCACAGATCAAAACCATTGAAGAAGGATATCTGTCCTACAAATTCAATTCATTAGAGAGGTATTGACAGTTTCGAATCATCACCAATGAGCTTCACAACTAACAATACTTTTAATGTTAATCTAATTCTTGAAACCATTGAACCTGTGTGATGGTTCGGCAATTTTTTTTGTCCACTTATGAGTTGAAGATTGTGAGTTTCATCTCGTAAATAAATCAGATTAATTAATCAAATTGATAAATTTCTTTACGCAACAGCATGGTTTATCATTTCAATCAAGACTTGAATGGTTAAGATTGAAATGTTTAAAATAAATAAAATAACCATTAAAACAACTAAATAATTAACAAGTCAAAAAGTACAGTAAATATCAATCTGATCAGGCCATTCAAGCTTGGAGCAAAATGGCTTGGTATAAGATCTTCAGGCTTATCATCGGCAAATTGTTTAACTTCAGCTAAACTATTGACTCCAGTACCAACTAGCAATTTATATTTAAATCCATTGTTATAACCAAATGCAATATCAGTATCACATCTGTCTCCAATAACCATAGTTCGATCAGGGTTTACAGTTGGATGAATATGCCTGATACTGTTTTAAGGTATGACCGGTAAAGTTTGAGAATAATTTTTGAAAAATATATGGTTTTTAACTTAAAGCAAAATCAGATTTTGACGCCTTTGTCCATTTAAGGTCATAACTTGACAATTTCTGATCAAAATCGGCTTATTTTGCACAAAATGTGCTTGAGAAGTTTGCCTTTATTTTAACGATTCAATGGTGCCTGTAAGTCTAGTCTAACTGATGCAATTCAATTCTAAAAAATTATTCTCAAACTTTACCGGTCATACCTTATTTGGTTTTCTAATAGAAAACATCTTTTTCCTGGTAACATTTTCAATTGATTGAACGTAACTTCCAGTCCCAGGAATAACGACTCCCTTCGGTCCAGGGAACGAGAAATCAGTATTTGTAGACATTATTAAATCAGGTGATACTCTTGAAATATAAGCGCTAGCTTTAATCAATTTCATAGCGGAAACTTTGTAAGTCATACCACAGCAGAAACATACAGATCAAATGGAATAGCATGATAATTGATTCCATCTTCATTGAACAGCTTAGCTTCTTCCTCGTCATCATTAATTTGTGAAGATGGAGGGACTACATTGAACCCAGCCGATTCAGTATCAGCCTCAAAACTGGCGAATCAAGACAATCAGTAAAAGATAAATTTCCAAGGGCGATTGCAGTAGCGAAACTTGTTACCATCACTTCATCTATGGTTGATTCAAATCCAAGCGAGTTCAATTTGGCCAGTAATGATTCTCGAAATTTGCTGCTATTGTTGGTCGCAAAAACAATCCGTTTTCCCATCGATCTCATATTCTTGGAGAAATCTGCAGCTCCTTCAATGGGTCGTTTCTCTATTCAAGTAACTCCATCACAATCACTTATTGTCGTATCAATATCATTTTTACCGGTAATTAATTTAGTTTCTAACATATTATTTGCTTTGGTGTTGATTTCTCGATGAAATTTGTTGAAAGATGATGTTAACTTTTTTGCAATTTGAGACATTAAACTTTAACCTAAAGCAGCTTTTAAACACTTGACATGAAAGTACACAGAATTTTAAGTGTAAAAAATTATCAGGAATTGATTAAATTACAATCAACCATATAAATAAACTAACTATTAACGAAATAAAATACAAATCAATAATTATAACAAAAAGCTTTTAACAATCCGAGTTAATTCATATCATTCATATCATAAAGCAATTCAATATAATGCCATCTCTTTGAATCAAAATCAACTAATTTAAGCAAAATACTTAAATACTGCAATTTAAGACGAATAGATTTAACTGTTGAACATTGATTCAGTTAATAAGATTATCAAATGTATTAAGATTCTGCTACAAAATTGAGGCTTGTTTTCAACAGACACATCGGAATAGATTTGTAAGCATTCATGTTTGGTTTATTGAACTAGAAATTAAATAAGCTTTTAACCGCGATTTTAAAACCGATAATTATTAAAATTTATAATAACTGTTAATCATCCTTTTTCAAAAATCATCCGAAGAGGTGTCAATTAGGCTAACTGTGATTTCTGAATTTTGATAAACAATTAATTCTAAATGTTATATTTAACCAAAAGATGGCAGCCGTATTATCACAGCGAATAAAATTTTACAGCTGTTTTACCTAATAGCTCGAATGAATTGACTTTTAATCCTAATTTGTGTAAATAAAGACGATTTTAATGACTTTTGGATCATCATAAATCTAACGACGTAAGTTGTAACAATGTTACTGTGAACCATTGGATTCTTCAATGTATCCCCCAATCATTGACATCAGATGAAAAATGAAATCATTTTTCAAATTAATCTTTTTTCATCTTGCTGAAGCTCAAGCCGATTGAATGATGATCCTCCTTATTTGAGACAATTAGTGTTTTAATTATACTTATAAAACGATTTCTTATTAGGTAAGTGACCGTCTTTTCTTTGACCATTCTAAACTTTTACTTTCATGTTTATTTTCAAGTCTTTTGTCCAATTTTTAAGGTATGTCTGACTCCGATGCTGCAAAAAATACTGAGGTTAAACCCTCAGCTAGTGGTAAATCTCCAACAGATGATGGTCCTTGTGACGATTTACACTACGATATGATGACCTCTTCTTACACAGAAATCTCTTTTGATGAAAGTGATTTAGAGGATGGTATTGAAGCTGATGATAATAATGGTGACTCAACAAACTCAGGTGATTTTCCTTTCATTTATTATCGAGTTTGTACATTTTAACATGTATTTTTGTTTTCTTAGCTGATGCCAGTAAAAATAAGCAAATTCCCGGCAGTTTATCATTGCCTCATTTATCTTCAACTATTATTGATTGGAGCGAACGAGCTAAAGCAGAGTACGAAGCTGAGTTTGGTAATACATCTGCAAACAAGCCATCTACTGAAGAAAAAGAAAAACTTGCGGGAAATATTGAATACTCAGACGATGGTATGATCACATTCGTCGCCCATGATCTGGAAAACAAATTACGCTTATCTTCAGTCATGTCAAGCCCTTGTATTAGTTCCTCTAGTGACGAACCATCCTCTTCGAATTCAGCCACTCTAGACTTGAATTTTCTGAGTAAATTAGAGTCCCAAGCTCAACAAATCTCCAAAAATTTGGACCAAGTGATGAAATATATCTACAATTATACATGTCAAGTATCTTCTTTGACACTTAATAGTGTAAAAAACTTTGAAACTTGTTTAACTGCAACCTGTGATTCCGTTGATTCCAATATAAAGTTAATGTATCAATTAATGGCCAAATACGAAGAACTTGGAAGTGTCATGTCTCCAATTGAAAAATTAGCAGATGAAATAAAAGAAGTGAAAAGGCTGCTTGCTCTTTTTGAGAGAGAAATGGAAACAAATCGATACCAACAGTGAAATATTGTATATGAACGATGAACCAAGCAATCTACAAATAAAGAAAATTATCAAGGAATTTATAAATTTCCAACATGCAAAACTAATGAGTCAATATTTTGAGTTGCGCTTCATAACATTAAAGATGTAAAGTCAAATCGGAAAAAGAATACAATTCCATCTGGTGCTCTACTCTTTGGTGTGTTTGCATTCTGTGCTTTAACAAATTGTTACTCTTTGGAGCAAATTAACCTCTTTAATTGCAAGTTAATTTTACTTAATTTTTCAGTCATGTCAAGCCCTTGTATTAGTTCTTTCAGTGACGAAGCATTATCTTCGAGTTTGGCTACTCTAGACTTGACCAGCTTTTGCATTATAGTGGGTGTAGAATCATGCGGTATTCGTCAATGAACAGCTATGAGTAGTTGAGAGTAGACGTATCGAAGACACCTTATAACAGGTCCGTGAATGTTATGAACGTTATCTGGCTACGTAACGTAGTACCAGATCACAGACGTAATGATTTACAGACAGCTGTAAATCTTTAACTTACAAGTTACTTTTTTAGTCAGCAGATGGAGACTATCGGTACATAAAGCAATTTACATTGTAAGTCCATTGAATATAAGCTTTATTCAGTTAACTAATATACAATTAAGTCGGCAACATAAATAATGAGGAATAATTTAACACCTTTAACTCATCTTAATCACATCTGTCGACCCAAACACTTGGATTCAACGAAACATTTTTAATTATAAAATGTACTCTTGTGTTGCCCTACACTTAAAATGTTGAAACCAGAATCTTGATCACAACCATAATTTATTTAGCAAATTAGATGATTAAATTTGCACCATTTATTGAAGTAAAATATTGCAATGTTTGTCTACCGTTAAACCCAATTTACATGAGAAAAGAGATTAAAATTTGATTGAATTGTTTAATCTACAACAATAACCAGCAAGATTGAATGGTAATAAATCTGAAACCAATTTTACCTTTCCATAATAAATATTAGGGAAAAAGGTCAAACTGAACGGTTATTATAGCATTTATTATACCATCATTAGATGATATTACTGTTGATCCGTCATTTATTATTTAATATAAAAAGGCTTTTCAACAACATTCAAGGTAAATAATAAGTGAAATACTAATAAATATTGACCATTGGGACAACACATTTAATAAAAATGGTTAAATAACCAGAAATGAAAGAGCAATCTAATCAATTGATTAAAACTCATTTACTGGATTCCAAGCACATTATAATCTGGTATTGAATGAGCAACCAATGAAGTGATTAGTAAATGAAGCATAAACCATTTGTTTGACCACAACTGTTTTAACAGGTCAAAGATAACCATATAAATATAATTAAATACAAGAAACAATCTATTATTAAAAATATCAATATAACATCAAACCTGATCAACAATAAGCTCACCAAGTAAACCAATAATTGATATTAATGATCATCACTCCCTGTTTTCCTGATTATATCAACCTGTTAACCATTCTAGATCAACACCAATCATTAAATTAATGATATTATTATGAACCAGACAATAGTTTTAACCAGAAAACAATTGAAGAGCAAAAAGATTGACAAAAAATCGAGAAAAGATTGAAAATGAATTGCAATTTGAATTGTGTTTGTTGAATGTTTAATTGTGATTGAACTGACTTGTTCAATCAATCAACAATTGAAGATGATATCACAATGAAACCGATGAATGTTGATAAACTGAAAACATATCAAACCTTGATGAACCTCAACTACTCAACTTTTTTTATTCAAATCTACCTTTTTTTACCTGATCACGTTTTTACCTTTTTTTGCTCATTTTTCTGTTCATGTTGAAAATCGTGTCTACATTTACTCATCTCTTTCTTTTCACCTTTCCTACCTTTTGATGATCATCATTATCATCTTCTTTTGTTGCTTCTTTCGTTGATGCTAAACTGACATTCGTCAATATCAATGAACACAACAAAACTGGAAAAGATGAAAACACATATGTAGATAGGTAAAGATTGACAGCAGTTTAGGTGATCTTCAATGGTTAGAAGAAGAAGAAGAAGAAGAAGATCAAGATGAAGATTGTATATAGATGAAGATAATAATGAATATGAAGGTTCATCAGCTGACAGAAGGAAGAGAAAAGAAGAAAAAAATGAGAGAAAAAAGCACGTTCCAATCAAATTATTTTACCTTGCAATAACCTTTACCTTGATAGTAATTATAATGATGATAACAAATTGAAAAAAATGAAACATTTGTTAATCAACAATAGACGAGAGTGAAAAAAAAACAATTTCAATTTGAGTTCAACTGAACACGATTCCCTTAAAATGCAAGAAAAGATAAAAATGTTAATTTTAAATGTTGACCAACATTTCATTATAAATGTCATTGAATCAGTTTACCTTGAAAGGCTACATTGATCTCAAGTCCATCATCGAGTCTTTCAGTTTAAACAAAAGATGTAAAAAAGTGGACATTGGTTGGAGACTTGATTTCAAGGCTTCAGGGTTAATTGCGAGATTCAGAGTTAATTTAAGGTTAACAATCAATTGTATAGGACAGTTGTGAATGTGGTAAAACAAGAAACAAAAGTAAGCTTTTAACTTGCGCTTAAGGGAATCACGTGAGGAAAACATTAAACTCATAGAAAGATGATGTAAAGGAGGAGTCATGATGATAATGATGATGATGATGAAGAGCTGATTGATTTAATAACCAGAATACAATAGTTAATATTATTATATAGAAGGTTAATGTTGATATTCATTTTTACCTTTTCCTAGTTACTCATCAAATGTAACTCCATTTAATCAAATAATATTACCATTGGTTCACCTTAACAGTTCAAGGTGGGTTTAAAAGGTAACATGTAATTATCTTGGTTACCTTTTTCCTTTCCATTAACATTATTATCATTTTTAACACTATTATCATCAATTGATAGGTTAATCTATCGTAATGGGAAAACCAATTGAAATGATTTTCTCAATGGTAAATGTTTCTCTCTCTTAATATTTCAATTCTATAATGAAAATTGAAATGATTATCATGAAACACACCAACGCCCTGTTATCAAATGTTAGTTAATTGTAATATGAGACTGATTCCACCTCTTAAAGACACACAATTAACTCAATGATCACTTTTGTTTCATCTTTAATCATCTTTTTGTTGGTTTTTTTTTCTTCAACTTTCATCTTGAGCTTGCCTCTTCCCTCAGGTAACAGACTCACAAATTGAGTGAAAATTATTATCAAAACTAATAATAATTATCAAGAAGAGACAAATTAACAGGTAAAGCAATAAAAGTTAGTTTCTAATTAAAAGAAACTTTTTTTATGAATTTTCATCCCATTTTGCAATTTATGTTGAATCAGTACTCTAGTGGGTGGTGTTGATGGTCAACCTTTTTTAACTTGAAAACAATGAACTTTATCAGTAAACAGTCGATGCTTTTCATGATGTTGATCATCATTAAGTGCAGCAACTCCTCTTATCTTATTGCATTTCATTTGACTGGACATCATTCATCTCGATGACCATAGGAATGTAATTGGATATCCTGTTAACAACAAAAGGGAAAAGAAACTCGCAACTGTTCCGGTTGTTTCTTACCTTAACCTCCTCCTTTTATCTTAAGTAGACTCTTAATTACCTGTGAGATGTTGGAAGAAAGCAAGATAATCAGGAGAAAAGTGTATAAAAAAATTAACCTCTGACCTAAAGATTTCATGATGGAGAAGAAGAAAAAAGGAGAAGAAGAAGAAAAGTTAAGATGGAAAAGAAATTTTCGTGTTGTTCATGTTGATCATCTTTTATCTTCTCTCTTCTTTCATCTCCTCCTTTCGTTTATCATCTTCTCTCATCTCTAATGTAAAGACAATTAGTAACATTAATTAAAAAGGTTGAAGCAAAGAACCCAAAAAGGTAACCATTTTTTTGTTGGTTGCTCGTTTTGTTGTTTTTTTGCAGTTTCTTGTTCATCATAATAATTAGAGTCACACAATGTACAAGTTTACAAGCAAATTGTTGATAATCACAAAGGTAATTAAAAGGTATTTACATTTGCAAAACAATACAAATGGTTCAAGTTGAAGGAGGAGTTTTGGCTGGTTTCAAGAAATGCATTCTCAATGCAACGATACGAGGTGAAGAGGGCGGAGGAGTGGGAGGTGGTAGTTGGGTTTGTGTAAAGGGCAGTGGTGGGTTAGTTGAAGAGTCAGTTGAGGAGAAACAAAAAGGGCAAATGAGATTCAGGTTGTCATGTGAAAAAGTAAAATGTACGTGCTCAGGATGCTCATGAATGGGCGACCATTCAAATGGCAGAACAAGAAAGAAAACAGTTTTTTTCTCCTCATTTTGTATCGCTTTTTTTACCTCACTTTCAAAGCAACCCAAATTAAATTGCAATTAACAATGATAGAAATTACTCTTGATAATTAATTTTCTGTTTCCACTGCTTTTTGCCACTCAAAATCACAATCATTTGGATAATTTTTCAACCTTTTTGTATCGCTTGAATTACACCCAAACTCAAGTGAACAATTTACTGGACAGTTTTCACTTGATTACTTGATTACCAGTTTACACTTGTGTTTCATTTTGGGTTAAACATTAAAATGTTTTTCAGACAAAATGTTTTCAAATAAATGAATCTGAAATGTAAACCTATTTGAAGCTGATCAACATGAAGATGAGATGAGTTATTGATGAAAATATGGCGATCCATTTAATGAATAAAATTAATTTCATCTTAAAGGTTTATCAATGCTTCTAGTGATCTGATTCATCTGATTAAAGTGTAATAACGACGAAAGGGGCTGAAATTAATAATCATAACAAGAGTCTGGATAGTTTTTTGAGCAAAAATGGCAAATTTATGCCCAACCCGAAAGGCCTCTTCAATGTTTACTTTATCATTTTTTGTTCATCATTAGCTTTTTGTTAAACTTTGTTTCTGTTACCCTGGTAAACGAAATAATAATAACAATATCATCATCACCATTATCATTATAACTGATAACAGCGTCTATGTTACACTGATAATACTGGAACAGTGTTCATGGACAGAA